TAATAAACTTCAAACTCGACACTCCAAACCAATAACGTGTTTTTACACCCTAAGGCAATGTATCAATTATTTGTTTTCATATTTGCAGGGTGTATAACATCGGTAACAGTGACTAATCCCTCTTGCTGAATTATAGGCACCTCGATGGGTGAGACAGTTGGTCAAAGTATTTAAGATTACTCCATACCCATAGCGAGGTTCGAATTCTCGACCTATAATTAAGAGTGGAAGAGTAACTTTCATTCCACACAACCACTTTGGTTGAACTCCTTAAGCAAACATGTATGGTTGACTCAAGTTCCAATTTATGGCCGGTGAAGCTAGCTAGCTAGCTCTAGTAACGTAACAAGTGAAAGAAATATAATCCTTTCGTTCTTGAAAATAAGTGATTGTGGTGAACTGTTTTCATTTAACAATCTAAATCATGTTTTAAAGTGGAAGAAATATAATTTTATTAAAAGAAGAGAGAAATATGAAAAGAAATGTTTAATAAGCGGAATATAGAGGTAACTCTTCATGCATAAAATTAAAGTCCAAAATAGTTGTAGATTTTTTAATTACTGTTACGTATTTTAGTGATCATCGCAGTTCTACCCTAGCGGATCTAGAGGTCCCAATCTTCATTTGGGTATTTGTCGTTCAAGTGGGGCGTGGTATTATGAGAAAAAAAGCGATCTATTTGTACGTAGGTAAAATACGCAAAGAAGTGTGTAAATAATATTTTTTGTGACTTAAAATGATCGTCTAATTTAAATTTTTATTTTAAATAATGTACAAGGAAATAAAAAATCAAACTGAACTATATTTTGAAACAGATAGAATATATTACTTGCACTAAAAGTGATCATACTTTCTCGTCCCAAAATTATTATTCCATTCGTTATTTTGTTTGTAATACTCCATTCTATTCGGATACTACCGTATATTCAAAAAACCGTCTATACAAAAAACGTCAATATGGTTAGAGTTTCATCAAATTAAAAGGGAGGAAAATGCAAAATAATGATAATAATAAATTTTTTTAAAAAAAAAAGAAATAGTAACAAAATAGAAGAGCATCTACCTAAACTTCATCCAGAAGCAATCAACTTCCCCATTAAAGTTCATTACGCAATACTGGTAGCAGTGTACTACTGTTTGATGGAACATCGAACTTTGGTGAGTGGGCAATGGTAATAAAATTCCCTTGAGATTAGATTTGGTTAGGTCAAAAGTTGTTCCCCCCTGATATTATTTTCTGTTTTTTTTTTAAAAAAAAAAAAAAGAGAAGAAAAGAAAAGCAAGCTCATCACCATGTGTTTGTGTTGCTGTTGTTGTAGAGGAGAATGATACCACGAAAACAAATCCAGTCAATATATTCCAAAAACCCTTCAAACAGAAAATTTGATCCTTTTACATGAACACTTTCCACTATATGTCAAACTGAAAAGGGAAAAAAAAAAAAGAAGAAGAAAGAATAATTCAGCATGACCATATGAATGGAGTTCTCCAGCTCAAATAAGAATCCTTTTTTCCTTTGATTTAGGGAAGAGGAATTTGTTTCATTTCTTTATATATTTTAGGACAGGTATATATATTTTGACAGATTACTGATCATGTTCAGAGTAATTCTCATTCGACCGAGAAAAATATTATCTTTAGCTAGTAACAATCTCTCGACAATAATTTCTCATATTCAAGACTGATGTATTCAAGTGAGATCAAACTCGTCGCCATTTGATCCTACAATTGTTGGCTCTGAGCAGTGACGGAACTAAAGGGATCAGGGTGGTTGATCGACCCCCAGTCAGTCGGATTTGGCAGAATTTTTCTTGAGTAAAGTGTTTGTTAACTGAAAAATTTTCAGTTTGATCTTCGGATATCGGTTGCATAATTATATTTTTAAATCCGCGATTTGAAAGTTTTCGAGCAAATTCCGTAACTGGCTTTGAGCAAGGAAAATTATCAAGTGAATGAGTACTTTTTTTCTCAATGATCTGATGCTTCGTTGGGTTCCACGTGAGTAAATTGCACCTAAAAACAATACCCATGCATGTGCCTTCACACACGGAACTTAACTAACAAGACAACCATTAATACTCCAATTAATTTATTATTATTATTATTTGCTTGTACTTTTAGGTCAATTTCTCTCAACTGGTCGATCTAAGATTGATATCCATAATTCGAGAATCTTATAGGCCCTAAAAGAAAGAAAGAAAGAAAAAAAAAAAAAGGATTTCTAATTCGTTAGCATTTTTCAGTTTCGTCACGTAAACTACGAAAGTTGTGTACATTTTAGACAGCAAAATTGTGTCCATTTTCTCATAACTATTTCACGTAATTGTCATTGTTGTTGACTTCAAATTACTACTATGCTTTGAACGCATTCATTTGTTCAATTTTAGCAAATAGAACCAACCAATTATTCTTAGTTATGATTAAATAGGACTTTAAATTCAATACGTTTTCTTTTTCTTTTTTTTTTTGTTTGTTTGGGTATTAAATTAATTTCTCATATAATAAACTACCAACTCAATTTAAAAAAAAAAAATTAAAGAATAAAAATACAAATTGAATCAAAGGATCTATCATTCCGAAACCTTATCGATTGTTCAAATCATGTTTTCCACATAAGTTGCATACTCTTTTTTGGCCAATTATTGTATTCAAAATGAATGAATTAGGAGTATTATTTTTCATGCAATATTTTAAATTAAAAAAAGAAAAGAAAAAAGGGAAGACCTCAATGATAATACTATTTAAGGCACGGTAATTAAATTGCTGGTATTTACTGAAACGACGTACACTTTGAATCGTCAACAGTATTTATATTTTTATTATTAATTTGATTTTGATACCTATCCAACAAAATGCTGACGGCGACTGATGAATCAGATTGTCACCAACTTATTTAAAATTGTGCAATTTTTTTCGTACAAGACAATTAGAATTTCAAAAAATTATAATGGCATCAATTCATATATAGCTCAAATGAATATGGCACTTAACTAATTGGTTGAGCTTCTTCTCTAACTAATTCAGCTACTAATTAATTAAGGACCTTTGAGAAATTGATAAACAAAGTACAAACCCTTTGAGGCCCCCATAATTGAACGGAATTATGAAGCGCAAGGCATTTTCTTTCAAACCAAAAAAAAAAAAAAATGCCTTGTAAATTTTCATATATATCTTTGAAAAAAAAAATGCATGCTCGCCTTCCGTTATTGCCTAAAATTAATCGAGATTATAGGTGACAGACATATAATAACAACAAAATAGTTCTGTAAATTTTTATTCTGAAGGTAAAAAGGAATTAATTCATAATTTTTTGGTATAGGAAGAATCAGATGAGAATGTAATTAATTAATTACGGTTTATGTGCAATTATGTAAAGAATGTTCCACAAAATCTTGTCATATTTCTTCTATCACTGATTGATTGAAACTTTCCTTCACAATTATTCCACTAGTTAATTGGTATTTACCCAATAAAGATGACGTTGAATGTGAAGATAATATATTATCAGTGATTTATATTCCCAAATCATACCAGTTAAATTTAGTAATGAATTAATTCATATATTTGACTTAAGTGGATTCCTAAAAAAGTGTAATAGTTTTTTTTTTTTTAATTCCTTTTGTTTTATAGAGGAGGAGGCCACAAATCCATGGGTTAATTACTCAATGGTAGTATTGTATAATCCAAATGGTTGAATTACATTTTCTTTCTGTCCTGAGTTAATTATTCTAAGTTGAATTTTTCACTTTTAGCATAAATTAAACTAAAAATAAAAATTCAAACTGAACAATCATTTCGAGAACAGAGTAATCATTTCCCTTAACACTAGTGTAACCCTCATTTTTTTAAAACTCGACAAAATAAATAAAAAAATTTAGAGAGTAAAATAACTGTCCAGATAATTTATAGAAAAAAAATCAAATCAAATCAAACAATTATTTTCGGACCAAATGAATTAAGAACTTGTACTTCAATGAATTTAACTGGCTAATAACTGAATTTTTCGATAATAAGGTTTCTTGTTCGGATAATAAATAGCAGTACAAACTGCACAAAAAAGACATCAATCACCAAAGGAGATGCAAATCAAACAAAACATGGGCAGATGGATACACTTCAAAAGCTCAAACCCCACCCATCAAAGTCACGTGGCATCATCACTCCACCCTCTTTGATCACCACTTCTTTGTTTTTGTCCTTAATTTCATATTTTTCTTTTTTTAAATTCGCATATATTGTTTATATTAATTTTATTTTATGTGGATCATTTCTACGGGAAAAAAAAACACTAGCCTTTTTCAATTCGGAAGTTGAAGAAGGAGAAGAATAAAGAAGAAGCAAACTATCAGATTGCGATATTTTTTATATTTACACAAAACAAACACATATCACATTCAAATTAACTCTATGTCTGAATCAAACGTGCCGCTGTTATATATAAATTCAAACTCAAGATTTTATAAACATTACAAATGATGAACGCCTTACTTGAATTTACATACGTTTCCTTTCGTACACATATTCAAATTCGAGACAAAATCACGTTATTAAATGATGGATCTCCACAGTTATTGTTTGGATAGGAAGAAGAAGAAAAAAAACTCAAAAAGAAAGGGCTAGAGAGAGGAAGGGGAGATAGGGAGAGGGGCAAAAAAAAAAACAACAAAGTAGAGTCCCCACATCTTCACAAAAAGCCAACTCACCGAAAAAGTAAACCTACCTACCAAACCCAACCCCATCATCTCCCTAACAACTCGTCTTTGTCACCAACTTGGTCAAATATCCTAACCCCAAATTATCCTCAAGAAATTTAAAAGAAACCAAAAACTTAAAAAAGAAAAAGAAAAAACATCAATAAATAAAAAAGTAGAAGCATCCAAACTAATTGGTTAAACTCCTACCTTCATCATCATTATTGTTTTTTTTTTTTTTTTTGAGAAAGATCATCATTATTGTTATTTGTAACTAATTTCCACTTTTTTTTTTCTTTTTTATTACACATCTTTTTCAATCTTACATCCCATTCTCATCTTTATTTTTTTCTTTCCCCCTTTCTTTAAAACCTTATCATATAAATACATCCTCTTTTCCCAACTTCCTTTCTCTCAAATCAATAAGGACTTTTTGTGTTTGTTGTTCAAGTTTTGGTACCACTCCTCTCCCTCTTACCAAATGACTACTAGATACAAAATACCATAACCATAAAACACCAACAAAAACACCATTGATTTCCTCTCTCCTTGACTACCCTTTTTTTTTTTTCGTTTTTTGATACTTGTTTCTCCATCAAAATTATAGAGGGAACAAAGAAAGAAATAGGGGAAAAAAGGGACAAAGGCCTATTATTACTTCTTCTTCTTCTTTTCTTCTAGAGTTGTTCTGTACTAACTTAATACTACAAGAAAGAAAAAAAGCTTTACTTGATTTTAGCCCTCCATTTCTTTGATGTTTTGAGGGTTAATTTGGGTTCTAGACAAGAAAGAAGAAACAAGGAATCATGGGGCGTTCACCATGCTGTGAGAAAGCTCATACGAATAAAGGGGCATGGACTAAAGAAGAAGATCAGCGTTTAATCAATTACATACGTGCTCATGGTGAAGGTTGCTGGAGATCTCTCCCTAAAGCAGCAGGTATTAACAACGTTAAAACTCCTTCCTTAAAAATCCCTACTTTTTTTTTTATTTACTTTGGGTTTTAATCTCTGTATTTTTTTCTGGGTTCCAAAAAACAGGGCTGCTTAGGTGTGGTAAAAGTTGTAGGCTTAGATGGATAAACTACCTTCGTCCTGATTTGAAAAGAGGAAACTTTTCTGAGGAAGAAGATGAGATCATTATCAAGCTTCATAGTCTTCTAGGCAACAAGTAAGCTTCTTTTCTTTTCCTCTGTTTTTCCCCTTTATTAGGGTTGTTTTTATCTTCATTTTTCTTGGTCTTATAATTGGTTTTTCTTATAAAGAATTATACTTTCTGCGACCCTTTTGGTTCAATTTGCAGTAGATGATAAATGATAACAATAATTTGTAGAATTAAGAAATAAGGAAATTAGTACTGGTAGTTTTGTTTATGTAGGGCCTGGAAAATGAAGTGAACTTTATCACAAGTCGTATATGCCTAATCTTAGCACATTTACCACTGTTCTTGGAATTGGGACCACATAAATGTATGAAAGAAACCTAGGTGTCCCAGAATTGAAAACCATTTTTGTTTTTCCTTTTTTTTTTTTCTGAACTAAACTTTTTGAAACACTTTTTCCAAATATTTTGACTTTGTTTGGTAGAAGGTGGGAGTTGGATGTTGTAATCTACTCATCTCATCAGTTTCTTGAAAAGCTCAAATTAAATTTTTACACCAACCCCACCACTCAAAGATAAGATCATTTCATCTGCATCTTATTACAATTTAATGCACACACCAGTTACCTCACTTACCAAGCAGTAAATGTTTTTTGGTTTTATTTGGCACAATGCAAAATCTGAATTTTGAAAAGAATAGAAGAGGAATGCATTGATGAAATGATGACCACCAAACAAATGATGCTTATGGTGGAGTAAATTATTCTATTCCTTTTGAATTTATTCTTTGGTCTTTGGAAATCTTTCCTTATTTGGTTGGGTCCTTGTCAACTGTTCGTAAGAATATGATCTGATTCTGTATAAGTAATCTGATCTATTGTCTCCTGTGCTGTTGATTTTCATGGTCTCTAATTTAAATTTGATACTGTTTCAGATGGTCATTGATAGCTGGAAGATTGCCTGGAAGAACAGACAATGAGATCAAGAATTATTGGAATACGCATATTAAGCGAAAACTCATTAGCCGTGGGATTGACCCTCAAACTCACCGGCCGATGAATGGAACTGCAGCCGCGGCCGTTGCTGCCACGGATACTTCCTCAACCCAGCAACCTAAAACCATCCCATCCAACAACATTTGCCTAGACTTCAGAAATATTACATCCTTTCCCCAGAAGCCCATTTTCGCCGTGGCAGGGGATGATCAAATCGGGAAGTTTAAAGATACTATCATCAAAACAAGGGAATCATCCGTTGATGACACGAAATGTAGCAGTGGCACAACGGAGGAAACCCTCACGCCGCGAGAACAAGTGGTGAAAGTCGAACAGAACGAGGACGTGTGGGGTGGCGGCATTGATCTTGAGCTGTCCATCGGACTTCCGCAGCCCAAGTTGTCTACTGGTATTAACTTCAGTTCATCGTTTAGTTCCGCGGATTCTAAGGCTTTCACCGGTATCTGGGCCGCCGCCACCGCACCACCGCAGCCGGTGGCGATGACCAACGGAGCAGTTGTGACAAATCTAGTGTGTTTATGTTGGCAACTTGGACATAAAAGTGGTCAGCTATGTAGAAATTGTGAAGTGGCAAATGGTGTATACAGATACCGTTGAACAATTTTAAAACAATGTTATTAGTAGTACAACTTTCTTTTTTGAGGTGCATTAGTTATATATAAGTAGTGGTACCTTGGTAGATATCATGTAATGAAATCCCCAATCATAGAACTTGTTAATTTTGGCACTCACATAAAAGTGAAATCACGAGATTATGAAAGAAAAAAAAAATTGAGAAATGAGAATTTATGGAGGTTAATTTTTTTCTTTTCTCTGGGAGCCCTTTTGAGTTTTGACGCGAGGATTGATTAGAATTATGATGTTATTGTCATTTGTTCCAATAGTCAATCTCGTGTTTCTTCTTATGTGTGTTGTGTTACAAGAAACGACTATTTGCTTGTCGGAACAAAAGAACTCTCAAGATCAAAAAGTCAAACCTCTAAAAACTACTACTACCGGTTAATCTTTGACCAATTAATTCTATCATCTATGTTAGAAGGTCAGACTATCGGATTTCTTAACATTAATAGTATCAACTATCAAGGTCTTGACAGTGCCATTATATCCTTTAACCAATTGATTTTGCGATAGAAGTTCATATCTAATTTATGTCATCTTTTCTTGATTCGCACCTAGCCAATATCGTTCGGTTTGGGGTTAAAGTTTTCTGTCAATTTCTATTGTGCCCTTCTGTAATTCAACCCTAAGTAGTTGAATAAAACTTCACTGAATAGATATGATACCTAGAAGAAAAATGTACAGGAACTTGCAATATTGTTTAAGGTCACTTGAAAAGTCAATTTTGTGTTTCTGTGTTCCTTCAGTCTCATTTTAACAATTCAGTTTGCTACACTGTTTTAGTTTCACAAAATATGCCATGAAAAATAGGTTAGAGAGATTAACAATAACCACAAGTTTTTGCCTAACTTTTAACCAGTGTCACCCTAACCTTCACAAAAGAAAAATTGAAAAAATAAGTTTGACCAAAATACTTCTTGAGTGTGCACTAGGCAGTCTAAAGCTTCATTAGTTCTAAATTATACAAATGTAAATGTAGGTAAACAAACTAAATCCCTTGATAAGATAGTAATAAAATGTTAATTAGTCATTGTCAGTTGATTTGAAAAAACATATTTTGTCTTGGAAAAACAAAAAAGAAAGAAAATGTGACAATAGAGATACTGAATTAAAAAGTAAAGATATTAATTTTTTTTTCAAAAAAAAAAAACAAAATTAAAACAACAACACATCAAATCAATATCTTGCTGAGAAATTAACCACATAATTCACTCTCCCAATCCACTATCTCTATCGCTTCCTTCATTTCATCATAAAAGCGTATCCGATCCACAGGAAACATCTAAAATGATACAAAATGTCCAGGAAAATTACTCAGCCTCTACAAAAGGAACTGAAACATTGAACTCTGTATTAATCCGTTTCGTTTTATAAGGCACAAGTTTGAAGTAAATTTAGTTCAAAATTGTGCCTTACAAATACGACCAGAGGGAGTTTTTCAAAAGCCTCTTCATCGAAGGTACAATAGTTATAGAGCTACTCCAAAACAGAATTTCCTACCATATTCAAAGCTACAATAATCAAAAGAATAGGTGTTTTTTACTATAATCTTATTTTACAATCAAATTGCTTGTTCTTTTTGAACAAATTAGCATACATATGATGCACCTATATGAAATTACAACCTCGTAACTATAAAAACCCCAGGGATATCTCGTAACAAAGAATAATTACACTTTCTCAACATATAAGACAAAGCGTATAGCAACTTTTCAGGAGTACCTAGATTTTCTGCACAACTATTAAGAAATTATGAGAGTCTTGTTATGTTACCGTTATCATTCTTCACATCCACATGCTTACACATGCAGTCTGGCATTGGATATGTATAAAGCGAGCCGCTTGGCTTTCTAACTTCAACCCCCTTTACATCGCTGTGATGGAGCATATCTTGTAAATGATGTTTGAAGTCCTCCCATCTGTAAAACAATGTCCAGAGAAGTCCACATAATAAGAAGATAAATAATTGAAAAGGAAAGTAAAATAGTCAGAGGAAATCTGGTACAAAATAGCAATAGAAGTGAGGAAAGGCAATGGATAATTGGAGTTAAACATTTACTGACAAGGTGTGATTGTCCTCACCACAAACTCATTATAACCGGTACAAATCAAGATAGAAATGCACAGAAAGTAAAACCTCCATTACCTGATATTTGGGCTATCAAATAATAAGGCTAGCTTTCTTTTATCTGGTTTGATAGTTTTGGCATGTCCTTCGTTTAGATATCGTCTGTGACCCACCAAGAAATGTGGAAAATTACCACCCTGAGTTGTGACAAAAACTTCACTGTGCAGGCAAACCGTGTAATCCAGAGCAGCCAATCTAGACGAATGCCCCTACAGTTTAAGAAAAGAAGTGTCAGCAAAATCATATCAGAATAGTAGCGTAAAAGGAATACTTCCTGGCATCCCACAAAGCACTAAATGAAACCTTGAAAGGAGCTAATTCTTCAGGAGATGCTAGTGTATCCTTTGTCTCTAAAAGTGGAAACATCTGCTTGAGAGGTGCCATATACTTTCCCGCCTTATATATTTTTCCTGCTGCAACATATAGTGATGTGTTGTTATCAAAACCCATTCCGCGGAGCATCATACCCACCTACAGAGTCAAACCGCAAGATTCAAATGTGACTCTCATTCATGTAAAGAAGGCAACAAGTACATGGTCCAGAAACATCACAATGACTAAAAAAGTAGTGCGTAAATTGGCCACAGGCTGATTTTGAAGCCCTATTTCCGCCAAATATAAATTAACTTCCATTCCTAGCAAATCCTGTAAGGGTTGCATATTTGTGTAACTTCCAGATTGAAACCTCAAGAAGGGACTCGGAACTGATTTTAAAACTACTCGCACAAGTTAGAAGCTAGCTTCTGCGGAGCAACAGAAATTGATTTTGCAACATTAAGTACCAAACATATGAGATATTTATGAAGCCGTCTTTGAAATCAACTGAAATAGCCATTTAACGGATGCAATGTAAGTCATACTCAAAAAACATAGTATATAGTTCCTGCCAGCAATTAATTCTTAAGGGTGTCATATTTTTTATGCTCTATTCAAGGACCAGAGAAATACAACAAGAGAGAGGTCACTATGCTCCTTTGAAGTGCACAACAATATGACTTTCTTAGAGCAGACAAAAGAAGTGAGGAACAATCTCATTTAAGGGTCTTGGTTTATATTATCTTTACAAGGATACTAGGTGTTATCTTAACCATACAAATGCAAGATTCTTTTGAAATGTTTCGTAGTTATAAGTTATACAGCGCCTAGGATGAAGAACCAATCTTTAAACCAATAAAAATGTAGTTTTTTTCTTTTAACATTTGCTTCAGATGCAATTACATCCCCTGGACTATAAGATGGTTATACTAGTTATTATAATCCATGTGAAACGAAAGAAAAACATTGTCTAAACTAACCAGTGACAAAACATTATAATCAGCGACAAACTTTCAAGGAAGAGAAGGACAAGAGAGCAAACAGTTAAACCAACCAATGAAGCTGGAACAGAACAAAGACAGGGAACAGAAAGAGAAGGCAGTTTCTAACATATATCTACCTCGAGTGGTGTTAGTGGGCACTTTCCATCCCTCCTAATTGCACCTGGCCTTATTATTCTACCCCTTCGACGAAATTTTCCTCGCCAACTTCTTTCACGTGCAATATCCATCTCTTTCTTCTCTTCCTCGCCTCCGTCGTATACACAACATGAAAAAGCAACCATATCCTAGAGAAAAGGAAATGAGAACTTTCAGCCAAAAAAACTTTTTAAACTGAAGAACGAAAATGCTATCCATGACAAGAAACAGATGTCTATGTCATGTTGTTGTGGCTAAGTGTGCGTGTGCGTGTGTGTGTGTGCAAGCACGTGCATGCACGCGTGTGTGTCAGAGACAGAGAGAGAGAGAGAGAGAGAGAGAGAGAGAGAACCTCTTCAAATCTGAGATGGACTGATATGTACTTTCCCCCACTTTTTGAGCTCCTTTTGACCATCCTGTCAACCAATTTTGCAGCTAACAGGCGTATTGATTGTGAAAACCGCAGTGCTTCGAAATTTGATAAGCATCGAAGAGCTTGGATATTTGGAGGTACAGCATGAGCCAGTCTGTTAGAGAAAGGTGCTATCCGCACTGCCCTGTGCCATTAATTGGAAGACAGAAGAAAGCTGTAGTAAGATATCAACTCCTTGAAATCTTGAAGTCAATGTCCCCATTCAATAATCAGAGGAGAGAAATAAATAGAAGAGTAGTCGGTATGTACCCCAGCTCAACCAACTTAGGTACAACTTTGTGCAGATAATATATTGGACTTGACCATGCTTTCACCCTTAGATTAATGATATTGCTAATGTTGTAATCAAACTGTTGAAGTACAGTATCTGGAAGCTCTCTAACAATTTTTACATGGTTTCTGAGGGCGTATATGAAGAAATCCTCATCAAATATTTCTCCAAACTTGCTGCAATATAGCAAAGAAATTGTTAAAATTTCATCATAGCTCAACATCTTAGGAATGGTCAGACTATGGCAAAATGTTGAACAGCAAAATATCATTCACGAGGCAGCAATACGGAATGCTAACCATAGTAACATGGAATCTTTCTAAGAGGTGGAATACAATAACCTGGTTGATAGCAAAACCAAATTTATTCTAAAACAAAGACACCTGATATAAAACTGAAAAAGTAATTCAGTTCAGTTTCGCCTTCCATTCATGTGTCTGTGTCCACATATATTTGCAAGTATCATCAGTTTAAAGGGGTGTCCCAACCGAACCTCAATATATTTAACTTTATTCCTTTTTGGTTTCTTTTTCTGGGAGACAATATGGAGGAGAGGTGGGGGGAGAAACACATAGCTCTAACATTGTCTCACCTAGAATCCCGCCATACGCTATTTAAATGAAATATCGGGATAACAAGAGTGGAGTTTAACATCCCTGCTACAGCCACAGCATCACATATCTGTAGAGGAAATGATAATCAGGTTTAAGAAACATGAAGTCCCCAGGTAATTTATCCATGAATACTTAAAAGCATAATATAATTTGAAGAAAAGTTACCAATGAATACAACAATGACTAGCATCAACTATCTTATCAGTTGATTAAAAAGAATAAAGAGTGCAATTAAGCAATGAATATCCCGACATACCATACCACTAAAACAATTTCACTGAGAGAAAATGGACAGGGAAAACAGAACTCAAAGACGAAAATGTACATATGAAAACTGAGAAGTGTGCCAAAGTTGAAGCCAACTGCAGGATTATGTACACAGTCTATTGAAATTAATGAAATATACAAACAGATGAACCAAAATTCATAGCACTTAAGCTTTGTGTAAAGAAAAAAAATTCATCAGAAAGGGTAACAGAATCTGTTCACAGTTAAGTTAATAAAATAGCAAAAAGAAAAATGCATTCTATCATCCAAGAGGCTTTGGTAAAATATTCCTCTAAACTTTAGCCATCGCGAATTCCAAAGCATTCAGACAAGAGTCATGGAAGATAAAAGAGCCACATACAAAACACGGTTTTATGCTCAAGCTTTTTCAAATGAGCAGGATGAAGAAAGAAGATGAATACAAAAGACTTCATCTAAGGCAAAATGGTAACATTCTAATGTTAGAATGCCTAGTTTCTTTGAAATCAACATACCGACAATCTTTGTTGGTTCAACCCACCATTTGCTTCAATTATGAGGTAACCATTGGACTTGGGCAGCTCCGAGGACCCTTTAAGCAGAAGCACCAAGTGTTAAAAACTGGTGGACGGAAATAAAATTTTCTATTTGGTGAGAAGATCAGGGATCCAAAGCAATATTAAGCATAGTTAAGCCACCATATGTCTCAATAGCCTCAGAAGGAAGAATCACAAACAAATTCGAAGGCATGCTACATGTATCTTCACAATTTCTCCACTTAAAACAAGGCAAAAGATTCAATCTATGTTATATATGCACGGAGCCATATTAAAAGTAACACGCACAATTACAAACAAACTTCTGATCTGTTCATTCCGAAGCTTTGAAGTACTTAACAAGAAAGACACAATTGCGTAGGCAACAGGAATGTGTGTATATTCAACTAGAAATCAACAAGAAAAATAAAAATGAATTCAACCTGAATAAGACACTGTCCGGTCAAGACAGGGCTTCCAACTCTGCCGTTGCTTGGAACTCCAAACATTCATTAACTGCAACATTACAGACAAGGATTAAGTTAGTCCTGAAAATTGGACAAGTTCAGAAGCCAACATGTTTTTGTTCTATCAACAAATAATCTTGCTACTGGATCAACTTCATATTTTTCCTGTCACTAGGTAAACAACGAACACAGAAATGGATGCACAACAAGCCTTTATTCCACCATGTGGGCTCAGCAAGCAAATATAGATCATTCTAGTTGCAACAATATGATTTAATTGTTTTAACTGGAAATCATGCTCAATACATCTATTCTATGGGCGTTACCAAAATGTCGAACATTTAAAATGCCACTAGTTTCCTATGCTCACAGTCAAGAAATGCATCCACATTTGGCTCACCTTGCAAAGACATCTATGGAAACATAAAATCTTATAAAAATCATCCTTGGATTTTAGTTACGCATGTCCACTGGATCAAATGGACTTAAATGTTTAAAAGTTACAGATTTTACAAGCAACAGTGGACAATAATTGTGAAATTTAGCACCACTCCACCAGCCAAACTGCAAATTTACTCAACTCTGTTTTGCTTCTTATGCCAGAAGTGGAAAAGAAAGTAAAAATGCTGAAGTAATATATCTCTTTAAAGCTTGCAAAACTGAGATTATCACTTCCTAGGTAGAAGAAAACTGATTGTTTTGCTAGCTGAATTACTTCATTTTTCTTGATTAAAAAAGAAAAGTTACAAAATCTGCGCCCAAAGACCAAAATTTTCATTTGTTAGGTGCCATTCACTATCCATCCTCGGTTGATTATAACCATGAAATCATTGTAGACAAATCCTGACCTACTAAACCAACATATTAACAAAGTCCACTTCCTAATCCAAAAGATATAATGAGGTCAACAATAATCCCATTTTAAACTTTTACAAAAAATGTAAACCAAACCATTTGAAACCAACGCAATATCTGATCATAACCAGTGCCACAATGCCAACGAGTAACAGAGGCCAAATGTCCAAAAAAAAATCAATCACGGGAGAAAAGAAATGCTAAAAAAAAACAGAATTTCAAGGAGTCTCACCAAATTTGAATTTGAACTCCCGTTAAGGCTTTCAGCCTCCATAAATGGCCAAAGCTTCTCAAACACCTGAGGGCTTCTGTAAACTGAACCCGGCCGGGTGAGATCATCCCCATTGCCACTATTTCTAATACTAAAGTTAACAACTCCATCAAGACCTACTGAACTCATATACAACAACATTAAGGAAATGTACAACAATGGCGCTAATAATAGCACCCCTCTTCTCCTATACACGGTGGAAATCACCGCAAAACCCAATCTTTCCACCAAATTCTGCCACTTCATCTTCCCAAAACCGCCAACATCGCCACCACCATGCCGGTGGAAGGCCCTGCCTCCTCCTCCACCTCCCCCGCCACTTCCAACAATTTCCGGGCTCTTATTCCGGCCACTGTGGCGGTATCTCGGAGACGACGGCGGCGACACCGACGGCGAAGAATTCAAGCCGTTGCCCAGCCGGCTTAAGCCGTGCATGTGGCCCCCCACCACCTTAAAACTCCCAACTAACTCCCTTTTAAACCCACCTTAATTTTGATCTATCAGTTTCCCACCTTAATTCCTTCCGATGAAAGAAAACCAAATGAAGGAAAATTCCGCCAGAAACAGACAATTCGGAGCAGACCCTTTTGAAATGGGGATGAAATCAACAGAGGGTTGTCTTAATTATGGAAAATGAGAGATGGGATCTCTCTGTACACTAAGCTAAGAACTCGAGGGGGAAAAAAAAACAGTAAAGCGCGTATCTTTTGAGGAAAAATGAAAGAAGAAGAATCTCTGGAGAGTGAGGAAAGGTGGTTATTATTATAATTAGTAGTATTAGTTTAACTGACTGTAACAACAAGAGCTGAAAAGGAGTGAAGAGCAGTGTGTGAGTGTGTGTAATTTTTCTACCATAAAAGTTGGAGGAAGAAATAAAAAGGAAAAAGTTGGTATACAAAACAACAATGGAGAAGATGGGGTACACGGGATTGTTGGAACCAGAAAAGCACGAATGAATTTATTACAAGCACTATATATTAGAGTATTTTACTGCAGCATGTCTTTCCTTCTGTGTACTAATAATAAACCAACAAAAAAATACCACAGTTAAGTAATTAAAAGTGCATTCATACTGATGTGCTCTCATTCACTCATCTTTTTACTGACAAATGAATTTTGGGGTAGATATTGTATAGTTTTGTTGTTTTTAAGGAATGTTGGAATTTGGGATGAGGGGGAAAAAAAGTGGTGGTGATGTGGTGGCGGTGGTGGTGGTGGGTGGTGGTGGAGGAGAGGGATTGAATCGTGGGTGATGCTCGTGAGGCGCCACCGGTGTTGTCGGTGGTGTATTTTTTTTTTTATATATTTTTTTATAATGTCTGTAAGAACAAAAGAAAGTTCTACAAATTAAGTCAACGTGGAATTAAAAGCCTATTGATTTTTCTTACTCCCTCTATTCAAAAATAAGTGTCATTCTACACTTTGCACATAGTTTAAGAAACTCTTAAACAGGGTAATAGAATTACTCAAATATCCTCAACCAACCTATTAAAAAAATATCCACCAATAATATTAATTCTTTTATGGATAATTTTTGAAACTTTGACCAAAAAGTGCATTGAAATGTGAGAACGACATTTATTTTGAAATTTTTCTATTTTACTAAAACGACACTTAATTTGGAACGGAGGAGTACCATTTACAACCATTCATACACCAACCTCAATAATCAATGAATTTATGTCCTTTTCAATTTTATACCATGAGGAAAACTCATCATGAATGTCTAATTTTTTTTATTAATTTTTTTTTGGTCCGAGTTGCATGCGAGATTTTTTGTTTATAACATCTGATTTCTCATCAGTGAAATTAACAATACGATTTGGTGAGGGTTATGATCAAACAAAGTATTCTGGCTATAATCTTTTTCATAAATTAATGGATTTAATTTTTTACATATAATATAGTATCGTTTTCATATTCCAATGTAATTTTTGTTCAAATTTTTCAAACTCACTTTGAAAAGAAAATATTAGTAACAACTATTTGTACAATAGATTAGATCGAGAATAATCTAGTAATTTACTTATCATATTTAAGTGTTTCTTCTTAAAATTGTGTATAAATTGTGTAATGATATTTATTTTAAAATGTAGGGTGTATTAATCTTACTAGGTCAAGGTACCGATGAACAACCTTTTCGTTTCCATTAAGATCTGTTCATGTAATAGCCTAATGGCCTTTTTTTTTCCACCAAAAACTAGTATCACTAAATTGATTGCTGTGTTTTACTCTAAGAGGAAATTAAACGCAAAAGTTACTCACACATTGCATAAATAGGTAAACAGTGAAGATGCATGTACTGAAGAATAAAATGTACATCAACCTCACAATCAATCAATTTCAATACATTCACATGCATTGTTTAGCCCCATTCAATGCGCATACTAATGAGAGAATCTTAAGAATTTGATTACGATTTGTCATTAAAGAAAACTGAGCAATTATGCCTTTGGAGTTGCAAAGCATCTAGGAAGCAATAACCACATAAAAATAGTGTTAAGGTTTAGTTGCATCATAATGTAATAACATAATTCTTATGACTTTATAGTCAAAAGGAAGAGGTTAGGTTACCTTAAAAACATGTTTCACATTTCATACCATTCTTGGAAATGAAAACAAAATTAGTCAGTAATGGCCAATTAAAATTGAAAAATGTCAAAAGGTTGACATTCATGGTACGAACTTACGGAATGAGATCAACAATGCCGATCACAACCAAGTTATAGTACAATGAACATGTATTGTTTGGTTCAATTCAACGCATTGTACGTAGTGATGAGAAAATCTTAAGAATTGATTCAATCGTAGAAGAAAATCGACCAAATATGGTAGTGCGACTTAATTATTCACTACCTTTTTTCAAATTTGTCATTCAGTGAAAGGAATGGAAGCAAGCAACACATCAACACTCTGGATATAAAATAGAAAATATAAAAATTAAAAAATTAAAAAAAAAATTCAAATAGTACTATGAAATTCATCACTGATTATATTCGTATTTACTTTGCATCTCTGTTCAAAAATAGTCTATTGAAATAAATATATAAAAAGAATTTGAAATTTTCTATAATAAAAGTCTATTAAAATAATTTAATTAGTAGGGGGAAGAGAAAAGGGAAACCAATTAGATTATTTGTTAACAAATGACAAAAACCTTCAGATTTGACTTGTTTTACAATCTACATGGTAGAGGAAATGATGTTGTGGAGTTACTATTATACGTTGACAAATGGCAATAGTTTGTGGTCTGTATAACTAAAAACATATTATTTATCTTATTTTGCTAACAAAAAAAGAATTGAAGTGAGATCGCTTTTATATAAGAATAGAAATATTTGACACTATGAATATAGTCGACTAAGACATAATCATATAAAGGCCTATCCCGTTAGCGAGCAGACAATTAAACTTATTCTCATGTTATAATGCATATATTCCTATAGACCACAAAGGACCAAACACATCAAACTCTTCGATAGTATTGCACAAGTATGTATGAAATTTTATCCTAAACATAGTATTTTCTTTCTTAACATTTTCCGTCACATTGTAATAGCCAAACATTTCCAAGACACCAATAAGAATCAGACTAAAATAAAGAAATATGATCAGTAAAAAATATTATGATTATAATTTAGAATGTCTTTGTGTATTAACAGAGGAGGATTTAAGGATGAACTGAGTCTTCTAGCTCAATTGAAAATTTTAAAGAGATGTGTGTCACAAATATAAAATTTCATAAAAAATTTCATTTATTACTATTGTTGTTACTATTACTTAGATAAAAAATTGCTAACTTCTAATCTTTGCACATGCACTAAATCTTTAGTTTTTATTTAAAATTTAAAACGTAATTAATTGGTACCAATCCAAAATCTTCAATTCAACCACAAAATCTTTCATTTTTATACAAAATTTAAAACGTAACTAAATAGTTCGAATCCAAAATCTCCAAAAATCTGATCCCAATCTAGAATCTAATATAAAATTCAATTTCAATTTTCATAAAAATCTTTTACAGTGTTAATGTTTTTTATCGCTCTACACTTTATCATTCAAGATGGGAATCTAGAATCTAATTTAAAATTCAATTTTAATTTTTGTAAAAACTAGATGTTAAACCCGCACGATGTGCGGGGTAGATTATATTGCTTATTAAAAAAATAAAAATATACGTCGCGTGTGTATAAATCTTGTAAAATATTAATATAAAAATTTTGAATAAAGGAAAATGTGTAAAACATAATCAAAATTTTTTTCATGCATATAAACTATAAATTTTATACAAACAAAATCAAAAGGAACTGAGAAGAGGTTTTTTTTTCCCTCCTTTCTCAACTTTGTATGAGTTATATATAGATTTGAGACATGTTTTCACGCATATAAACTACAAATTTTAAATTGCATTTTCATTATTAGGAATAAGTACAATAAACACTATACATACATTAAAAAAATGATGGCAATATATGTAAATTAATCATTACTGTCGACGGGGAGGGGGATTAGTCACTGTTTCCGACAGTGGACACTCTGCAATATGAAAAAAAAATGTAAATTAAAGTAATGTGACATATTGTGGCGTTAATAATTTAATATGTAATTTAGAATCAATGCCTCTGATCATCCAGCATTTGCATTCATTTCAGCCCTTAAAAACATTCTTAGACCTTTTGAAGTTAAAACTTTATTGAAATAATAAATATGATATTTTTAAAAACAAAAATAGAAAAAAAATCATTGAGAAACAATCACTCACCAATTCTTGTTCCATGAGCAAACATGTTTTGCTTTTTAGCGTGCACGCAAGAGATCACCGTAAGTTGAAAATTAAATAGCATTAATCATATGGATGAAGAAATTCCATCAGAGTCAAAATTTGGACATCAAATTAAGAAGAAGCACCAATCAAATCAAATAACATAAACTTCCATATCGTGTTGAAGACTTTCTCGACAAATTATCTATCTAATTTCATAGAACAAAAACAAACATGAACGATTAGTGATTTGCAAATCGAAAGCCAAGAGAAAAAAAAAAACAATATATTGAATTGCATGAAAACAAACACCACACGCACACATATTTGTAAAAAAAAAAATAAAAAAATAAACTACTACACATGAATTTATCAAATTGTCTCGGTTTCGGACGTGACTTAAAGAGTATTTTGGAGCATAAATTTACTAGGTTTTATAGGGGTGAATGGAGTGATAATATCTATGTAGTTGACAATAGGATGGGGATTATTTTACTTAAATGTTTGTGGTCAAATAAACGTGAATTAATTAGCGATAAGACGTGGATTTTTCTTAAAATGATATCTACGGTAATTATCTCAAATTTTTGGAATGGGCTTCCGTTTTTAATGATTTTAATCACCCTTTTATTGTATTTACTAAATTATAGTAATATTAGGCCTATGTTTTACTTAAAATAAGTAAAATTTAAAATTCAAACATTGGACTACATTAAATTATGGATTTCCAAAAGATTAATTAAGTAATAATTTTGAATTCAAAATTGAGATCATCAATTCGTGGATTAAGAATATAAGGCAGATTCCAATTATTTTTTTTTTATGGTATTTATATGATCACTGATTTGTTTGATTGTTTTAAATAAAGACATTGGGTGCAAAATTATCTCCAAATCCAGAGGAATAATGAACTGTATTTATTCCGTATCAATTTGATCTAATATTTTTTAATTTATTTTATAATTATATATAAAAGCTTTACTTATATATATATATCAATTATGTCATAAACAGTAAGTAATGATGAATGTAATATGTGTTGGTAATGTTGGACGGTAATTATTGCTCTATTAATTATGCATTGTTTTTTTAGAAGATTTAGGGACCAAAAATGCAATACATAACGGTTTTTTTGGAAAAATAATTTAGAAAATTCCACATAGGATTTTCCAATGTGGCACCTTTAAAAATCTTTTTTTGTTTCTCTCTGGTTTCTCTTTTAGTATAATATATACTATAGAATTTTTTATAGTGTTAGTGTTTTTTACCGCTCTACACTTTATCATTCAAGGTGGAATAAATCCAAGTAATTGAGAAGTATTTCAATGGTATATTTGAGCATACATAAATTCATTCAAGAATAGGTTTTCCTGTATTAATTTCTAGGTTCTTTTTAATTATCAATTAGTTCTTTCCATTTACTTATTTATTTACAAAATTTTGGACAAATTTCAGTAAAATTAATATAATACAATTTTATTTTAGAAAAAAAAACCCTGCAAGAACTAGTATAATTGATAAGAAGTCATATAAACCTCTTTTTTTTTTTTTTTAATGAGAATGGTCATATAAAACTTGATCATATGTAAACAAATCGATTGTTATTGTTTTTGTCTTAAATTCATTAAAGATTTAGTTAAGAAAATGACATTTATAGAAACAAATACATTGTAAAGAAATATAGCAATTGAGGTGTGTCCATTTTTTGGTTCGAGTAGTATGACGACTCCCTATTTTATTGGCACTTTTCCATATAAATTTTATTTTCCACTAAAAAATTACACTTTTACTAATCTTTTATATAAATACCAGTTGCTCTAATTTTAATTATATATTTTCAATCGCTCTATCAATGCTCATTTAGAGTTTATTTGATAAAAACTAGTGTTTAATTGTGAATACATAATAATGAAATAAAAATATTGAATTGATTAAAGTGCTTAACTATGAATACTTATTCCATATTGTAAAATAGCAAACAGAAATGTATATTGCATTGTTCTTAATGTATTGAAAAAGCAAAATTATGAAGTATTAAATTATCATGTCTTTGCAAATAAATAAAAATAAAATTATATATGTGTGTGTGGGTGGGGGGGGGGGGTGGAATAAATTTAGAATTTTATGGGGAAAAACAACACCCCTCTATTTCATTAAGATATTGAGGGTTATGGGCAATGTTGGAATCCAATAATAAATAATATTTAAAAAAATAGATGAGAATAATTAGCAACAAGCATTAAGTTAGATTTTATTGCTCCAAATTTGTACCGTAGTTTCAGCATTGCTAATTTAAATAAGCGAACCACTTTTTAGTTATCAAACGTGCTTATTTTAAAAATCACTTAAACCAATAGTTTTAAGCAATAATTCAAGTTATCAAACATGCCTTTAGTTGTAATATTAAAATTCAGAGCAATGATAGACTCAGTGAAATTAGTACTGCAAAAATTCATAATTACTGATATATAAACTTAATTATCAGCATTAAAAATATGATCTTAGAGGAAAAATAAAATTTTAATTAGAAAGTGCCCACAACGTATTTGTTTTTACCATCCATATCGGTCATTTTTTTTCTTCACTACAGTATTTTTTTTTCACTATCCATATTAATTTACTAAAATTTAAATCCACAACGTATTCAATATAATTTAATAGGACAATTTCTTTGGATGGCTTATAGTTTAAACAAGTTTATGCATGAAGATTATGGATATGAAAATTAAAAATAAATACAATACTCTCTCAAGTCTTTATTATAAAATATTTTGATTTGTCCTAAGTTTAATTTATTGTGTTCTTCTAATTAAAAATAAAAATTTTACATTTATTTTTTTCAGTCGAATATTATAAATTAATTTTATTTTAATTTTTTTAATTAAAAAAACGATAAATGAAATTTATAAGAAATCAAAATATCTCATACTCCATTTGAATCTTGTTATATTTTGATTTCTCCCTAATTTCATTCATTGTATTCGTCTAATTAGAAACAAAACCTTAAAAATACTTATAATAATTAAGAGAACACAATAATTGTGAAAATTTATTTTTAAGATTATATTTTTAATTAGAAAAATACGATAAATGAAATCGAGGAGAAACCCAAATACTAAAATGTACTACTACTAATAAGGATAGGAGGGAGGAGGGAGTAATTGGTTTTATTTCAAAGTTTTTAAAATACCAAAATACATCTTTTTTTCAACTCAAAATCATTCGCGCCAGAGACCTCTCTGTGTATTGGACATGGCTCCAAGGAAGTCAAAACGATGCCGCACCGGAGCGCCACAAGAAACGAAGGAGGCGAACCGCTCTAATTTTCGCCCTATGTTTGAAACCCTTTTCTCTGCCCTACGATCTCCTTCCGAGGTTCGTCAAAACAAAATTGGTCTTCTTTCTTGCTTTTATGTGGTAATGCTGAATTTTCTGGGGCTTTTACTGATTTTGTTTCCGAAATGTACTTGCATTTTGACTTGGGAATTTAGTGAGGTGTTTGATTTTTTTGTTTTTGTTTTGTTTTGTTTTGTTTTTTTTTTTTTAATTTCGAGTGAGAAAATGCCAGGTTTTTGTTGATGGGTTCGAATTTTGTTTGATGTGTTCATTGTATGCTTGTTTTCATCTTATATTCATATGTTCTGAATTTTCTGGAGGGGGTTTTCACGGCTTTTGTATTGGCAATGTACTTGGGTTTTTTTTTATTTATTTAAAAATTTGCGGGATGCTTGAATGTTTTGAATTATGAAGGAGAAAAGACCAGGGTTTTGTTAATGGGTTTGAATTTTGTTTGATTGTTTTTTTCATTTTTATGCTTAAATTTAACTTCATTTATTGTTTTTCTCGACTCAGGGTGTAAGGCCGGCAATTCTGAAGAGGTTGTATTTAGTTCTTAATAATTTGTGCTCAAACCCAGAGTGTGTAGTTGATGAATTGCAGTTGGACAGGGAAGTTGATAGTGATAGGAGTAAAGTTACAGCTAATGATATTCAAGGGCTATCGGATGTACTTTTTGAAGAACTCTCTCAGAGGTTCAAGAAATTCTTTGATGCTTTGTATACTGGTAGTTCTGATGAGGACCTGGGTAATGATGTTTATGGAGCTGCTGAAACATTGAATTTGCTGTTGAGGTGCTGTTTGGTTGTTATGATACTGTTGGAACAACAGAAAGTTGTTCTTGAAAAGGGGCTAATCGTATTGGGCATGCTCCGTAGTTTGTGTTCTGTTGACTTGAAAGTGGTAAAATGGAGAAAAAGGGAAAAAGCGATTAGGTTTGCAAAGTCTGTTTCTGTCGCCTATGAATATAGTAACAATGACTCCACAACCTTGACTGAGGATTTTGTTGCGTCATTGCATTTCCTTGAGCCATCTGATTCTCGCATTCCTCTTGTGACTTCTATGCTTGAGGTAAATAAATATAGCATTTCTCTAATTAATTTACTTTTGCTAATTGTATAGTGGAAGTTTACTGTGAGTGGATGCCCCTGATCCATAGCAGAACATGCAGTTTAGAGCATTATGGAGAGGAAATCATTCTGGATATGAGCCTGAGTGTCCAAAATTTGTAGTTATTTTAGCAATTAATGGACTTACGTGAAAATAAAGAAGAAAAAATCGCTCCATATGCTCTTGACTTTTCATAAATTGCGATTAATAGCTTGAAATCAGGAGTGAAACAATGCGTGGGCAAGTTCTTTTTAGTTAGCAACCTCATATATCAGCCATAAGGAAGAGGATCTGGTTTTCTTTCCTGAATATTGCCAATTCATAATAGCAGCAGATTCATTGGGGGACTTAGCTCCTGAGCTTTTTATCTGTTAAAGTTCATAGTACCTTCCCATGTGGGTTGTAGCCACCTCAGTTGTGTGGTTTTTTGGTCCGGATATTTGGTTTTACACATGATTTTCTACTTAAAATTGGTTTAGCAATCTTTCTTCACAAAGTCGTTTAGGTTAGTATGTCTTTTTATATGTAATATAACTTCTAGTATTGCTTCCCCATAATTTATACATAATGATTTGAATATGCTCTATAAATGATCTTGCTAGTAACCCATTTCAATCATCACTGGGATGGGGATCAGATGTAGCTACGCAAAACTGTGGTCAAAATTCCATTGATGTTATAGGCTGTATATGAGTCTATATTATGGTTGAACTTATAAAGATTGCAAATTTGAAACAGTATAAAACTTAACCTCGGTGATGACAAATGCCCTTTCCTAGCAATCTTTCCAATGCTCATGCCCAGCAAAATATAGTGAAATGTAATCTTTTTGACATTATGTTGTTGTAGACCTTTACATATATATGTTTGCTAATGCAGTTACATCTATGTATTCGATTTTTGAATATCAAAGTATAGACAACACAAAAAGACCTGTAATAAGTTGTTGGAACTTGGAACATGAATATTCTTGTTAGAACAAATTGGATAAGTAAATGTTAATGCTTTAAGCTTTATGTAGAATTGTGTAGGTGTTTATGTTTTCACTTTGTATGTAATCATTTCCATATAATTTATATAGGCTCTATATTTCTATTCGTAATGTTTTTAATAATTCTGCATTTAGCTAGGGGTTGCATCCAAATACTCTGGTGTATCACGACATGATCTTGAAAGTGAAGAACGGAGAGGTGTTAGAAGCAAACTTCAAATTATGTACATTGTATTTGTTAAATGACAAAAACATATAATAAAGATTAATAAGTTACCATCTCTTCTTTTATTGAATTTGAGTTATAAATTTCAGATGGATGAACTGCTGAAGCTCATGGTGCCAATTTACTTGCTCTAGTTATGGACAATTCCTAATCTCCAGCTTCAGTTCCAGTTCCATCTGTTCTGTGCCTTTTTTTTTCAGTTCATTTATCCTCTTATATATTCTATAGAAACAAAATACTGTACTATGGCCTCAATGCGTGCTTTCTTATCTAGTTTTATGATGCCTCAGTTGATGCTCTCTTGACCTAGTTTTATGATGCTTCTGTTGGCGCTTTCTTTCTCTTGTTTTATTATGATACTTTAGTTCTTTTCCTTTTCCTATTTGACTTCATACTTATTATAAAAATGCTATGGGAATTCTGTCTACAGGTATTCCTGGATGAACTTTTGGTTTCTGGACAATTAAGACCATTGTTTATTATAATTAACTCCTTTGCGGCCACAACATGTACTGGTTTAGCAAATCCTGGTCATGGAGATTTTGGACTGCTGATGGAAATCATATGTAATCACTTTTATCTGTCATTTTCCGCTGATGGGGCAATTGAAGATTTCTTTGGCAGATTGTTTTGGATGAACACCAATGAATTCAAATATTCCTTTAGAGCATTGGAACTGAGTCCAACTGCAGCAACAACACTGTTGTTACTCAATACATTCCTCCTTTCTGCTCCAAAGTTTTTACAGGCTCATGTTATTGCAGTGATTTCGGAGGCAACTAGTATTGTTATGGATTTTAGAAGTTGGAAACCAGATGGTAGGTTCTTGAATTGCTTCCTTTCAGTATTTGAGAGTTCAGTTGGTTTTTACAAAGCAAATCTGGGCAGATGGAAAATTGATTCGAATCATAGGAGTTCTGAAGGTTCTTATAAATCAAAAAACCATGGAGAAACGGTTCGACCATCATTTGATTCTTTTCTGTCACAGGACACTCGAAAGAAGATTAATTATGTCATGACAAAGTTAAAAGTTCCATCTTATTCTTGCTTACATAAAGTATCCAACAAATCGGATCTGATGAGCTCCTCTATTCGGTACGCAAAGGAGTGCGAGCATGTTTTTGATGAGTCATGCCAACATGAGATATTGTCAGTCTTAAGTTGTATTGTTCAGAGGGCATCTGAAGGCTTAGGCGATGCTGAATCACATTCTATTGGGCTTGGTGATCTGGAAGATCTCTGTATTATTGCCTCTGTTTTGAAGCTGATGGCCAAGTCATTATTGCTAGTCATTAATTGTCTTAGGCATGGTGGTGATTTACATGGTCTGAAATCATTAAGGGACTTTTCTTTGTGTGTTGAGTATGACTCAATTTTGAGTGCTATCAACTGCTTCACAGAATTTAAAATCCATCTCCCCATACAAGATTTTCTGAGCAACACTATGGATTCAAGCTCTACCAGTCATTGCAAATCCAAAATAATGTTTTTGCATTTTTCGGGCTTGCTATCCTATGCTTTTACAACTGGGCTTGATTTTTTAGTTAAGGGATGTCTGCTAAATATCGTAGCGCTGCTGAATTTATTCATTTTTGAAGAGGGTAGCTTGTATGCATTGCATTCGTTGCTTTCTTCCAGTTCAGGATCTATCCCGTCTAATTTCCCTTCAGTTACTATTCAAGAGGTATGTCCATACACCTTTTGCTCTTTGGGAGGAATTAATTGCTGAACAATCATTATTTCTAACAGCTTCTCTTTGATGTAGACTGTGTTGGGCAAAAAAACTAGTGTGATAGTTGCTTCAAAGATCCAGAAGATGCGTACTCTGTACCCAAGGTGATAAATCTACATGATGAATTCAATCAACATGTGAATTGTCTTCTCTGATCATTCCTTACCTTTATCCTTTCAAACATTCTGCTAGTCTTCTGTTAAAGGAAATATTCACTTGCAATGTCTGCTAGGGCTATTATCTCGGGTCGTACTACTTAAACAGCCTCTCTGTATTGAAATACAGGGGTAAGGCTGCGTACATCTTGACCCCCCAGGACCCCAACCGAGTTGGGAATATACTGGGTATGTTGTTGTTGTTGTTGTTGTTGTAATGTCTGCTAGGCCTATTGCGTATGAACGATGAAATATGTTGGAATATTCTGACCGCTTAGTTTTATTGTTGTTTACCATATATGTATGTTTTAGTTTACGTTTTTCTCTCTCATCACAGTACCTCTTCCCTAGCCAATCAACACGACCATTCTCAACCTGATGGTCATTCTCAACCTGGAGAAAATGCTTTAGTCCATGAAGCCATGGCAGGGGATGTAGACACACAAGAAGAAATTGAAGAGGCAACCAATGGGGAGCTCTTTCTTAGATGCGTATTAGGAAATAGTGGCAAAGTTTCAGATTATGATGAGTTGGCTGATTTTATTGAATGCAAGCAGGGGAAGGACTACTCTTCCTGGCTAAAAGCTAGAGAAAAATTTAGAAAGTGGAAAGGTGAGAAGATGGCAGTTTTGAGATGGAAGCGAAAGAAAAAAACTTGGAGAGTTGTGACTAATAAGAAAACTTAAATGCATCTAGCGTGCCTTGCAATGTTAGGGCTGACATGTGGAAAACCCTTTGAAGAATATTTCCTGTGCTGGGAGAGGGAACTGATGCACTCCTTTTATGATAAGCATTCTACAGAATCCCAAAGCTCTCCTGTTGAAAGATATACTGAAATGGGGCAGGACAACTTTGGTCATTCCTCTGCATTCCAGACTCTAAATTTGTGAAGAATTTCCTCCCGAATTCTCATATATGGTTCTTTTCAAGAGATGTGTTTTGCGTGAAACTTTCTGATGGACTGCGTCAGAATTGCTGGTTCCAATCTCTTTGGATTAGATAACTTGGTAAGCTTCAAAAACTTGAGGGGGAAAATATAATATTTCTAATTTCTATTTTACACGGGGAACTCCCTTTTTTAGTCATTTGTGTTATTGGCTTGTCCATGGTAGTCTTTTAAATTTTTTGATAATCAAGCAGTATATGCATCAATTTGGTTTCATGTATATTTGAACTTCTCCAGCTGTTACGAGGCTATGGAGAAGGCCAGCTTTCTCTATTAGGTCTTCAGAATTGATAAGAAAGTAAGAATTTTAATTTTTGTAAATACTTGGTGGGGGCAAAGGCTTTGTTATTGCCGTCTTAGTGTTTGTAAATGGAGTTAATGTATTCAGAGTTAATGTATTCCTCTTTATTGAAGCAAACCAAAATGGGTTGTTAGCAGTAGCGAGGGATAGTTCTTTGTTCACAGAATAGTCAAATGAAGGAATTTTGGTTGTGTGTAAATTTTAATGTGTAACTGAAGATGTTACTTATTTATTCTTCATTCAGTTTGAAATTTAATTTTGAAGTGTCACTATTTCGTGCCATTTTTTTTTCGTTCTCTGATATAAATGAATAGAAAGGGCCAGAGAAATCCAGGTTTTTCAGGGATGAGCCAAATTGAATAACATTTGCTGGTAATCTATTGTACAGTATTCTGATTCTATAGAACTCTATACTGTGATGAAGTGTTGATTGTAGGATGTGTTTTGGTCGTACAAAAGAAAAGCAGACTTAGCATGACTAGAATTGGAGCAAAGAATTGTGCTCTGTGCTTTTTATTATTCTTGGCCAGTGACTATATGCATTTTTGGTGCTTGCATTAGGAAATAAATTTATTGCTACTGAATACCAAATTCTGTTAGTGGCAAACAAATCTGTAGCTACTGATTATGAATAAGCTGTTAGAAGAAATGAGAAAGAACTGTATTAGAACAACCATGCTTTATATTAGAAGGTCGAATAGCGATTTTGAAAGGTTTGAGGATGTAACATATGCCTTATTCTCAACAGTTACCCCAATGGATTTCAGGTTAGCTGAAACAGAATCTTGAAAAACAGAACACAGTTGCTTTTTGCATAACAGGGAGTAACACGGACCCATACAATTTGTCTAAAGAGATTAATTCACAAGGAGTTCAAGAGCATAATATGCTAGTAATAAAAACTGGGAATACACCAAGAAGTCAACTTGCAGAATCAACATCACTGTAGGGGAGCCACAAATCTAGCTGCAGAAGCTGAACTAGTATTGAAAAGCTTGCTGTTTCTCTGGATATTCACAACTCTGAATTACAGAAGAAAAGCATGAACGGAATAGGATAAACATCATAAATACAAAAGACCTATAGGTGGATGACGTAGGTTGCTAGTGTCCCTTGTTCTCAGAACTGGCTTGAATCTTTAATACATTTCTTTGTTATGAAACTTCCTTGTAGGTATTAGGGACCTTGTTTTTGTTTCAGTTTGGGCTGCTGCTGATGCATTTGTATATTTTTCTGCCTCTGTAGCTGATAAAGATTTTGCAATCTTCCAAGTTCTCTCTCTAACATCTCTTGCTCCACTATGACAATTACCAAGAGTAACATTAGTTCATCCATGATAACCATTTATAGAAGGCATGTTAAAACTATAAGCTACGACAGCCAGATATCCAAAGCATTAGCATTCAGGTTTGATTGGTACGGCACCTGATTGGTACGACATTAGGTAGTCTATTTTGGTTTTCAAAAGCATTCTTAAGGCACAAAGATCTTTTAGGGCCTATTTGGATAGATTAAGAACAATTACTCTCGGTGAATGTATGAATGAGAAGCATGAATAATTACTAAGCCACTGGAGCCGAATTTCGCTAGAAAAATTTTTTCATCCTTGTGAGAGTTTTTATAAACAGTGAACGATCAAATGATGGATCTGAGAAAGTGTTAGTACGGCTCTGAAGCTGTATAATGTTACCATTCTCTTCTTTTATTCTTAAAACTAAGTTCTATAGATTTGTTTTCCTTTTTCTTGGACTTAAATAGGCGCATAAGATCCATTTTGCGAGGACGAATTAGTCTGGATAAGATACTTACTTTGCTTTATGAGCTGCTCCTGAGTTATGCTATCTAAACGTTGCTTTAGGGCTTTGTTTTCCATGCTCAAAATAAGATTCTGACGGTCAAGGAATTCCAGTTCAGCTGAAATCTCCGACCCCTCTGCCTGATACAAGTTTGGAGTGGGAGAAAACACATCATTGTGAAGTCATAGTATGAGTGCAGCTAGAATTTCTCTCTCTCTCTCTCTTCAACATATGACAGATGAAGGTGAATTACCTGCAGAAGCTGAATAGTCCTTTCAAGCTGAGATATATACTGAAGTTTCCTAACCCTTGATCTGTGAGCGGATTGCCTGCATCAAATTGTTGATCATTTACATGCAGATAATATTAGTTATTGCAATAAAGTTGCATAAAATCAGAGAATAGGACACTAACTGTTTAGCACGTTTAGCATCTGGTTTGGAACCGGGATGCTTGGATGGAGATGAGTTGATTCATATTTCCACTGATCCCTCGGGATTGAGTGAGCTACCATCATCCTTTTCATGCTTTTCGGATAATCTAGAGACTGCTACATTAGTATCCTGCTAAATACAAAATAGTTTTAGTCCCCATGTAAGTTGGAAGAGAATGATAATCTTCATACTTGGAGGAAACCATGAAGTTTAAATTGTACAATCGAAATTGCGAACCTTCTTACATTTCTCTTCGTTATAGCTAGTTCTTATTTCATACTTAATCTGGCTTGAGTCATGGTAGTGGATAACATCCTTCCTGACTGAGGCTACATCTTTCGGTTAATGTCTTCCCTTGTGTCCAATCCTCCTAAATATGCAAAAGTGTCACTGGCTGAACGTCGATGATTCCTGTGTATCTGAGTATCTGGCTCATTTAGGAGATCATCAAGCCAATGTGGTTGTTCCTCAATGAAGAAGTCGGAGGCCCACCGGTGTGCTTGGTGGTGACCTGATGATACCTCTTGGAAATCTTCATTACCTTTAAATCCTATGAAGGAAGACTGACTAGAGGATAGATGATAAGTCTCTGGTTGGAGAAGGGAGGGGCTTGCTGTCTGTCTGCCTATTTGTGTAGAAATTTTGGCAGCAGATATCAGGCTTGAGCTTTCCATTTCTTTCCAGCAAGCCAGGCCCTGTCAAAAGAATTTGCATATGAACAAGAAATGGAAGTGTCATATGAAAATCTTCTCAATTTGCTGTCATTACGTTTCTTATTGATCTTATTATGATATATAATCTATTAAGTACTATACCGCCTAGCTGTGAAGGGTTAAAAATACGATTAGGACGTGGGGCTTCCCATTACACACCCTAATTATTAAATCCTACGAGGAGGGGAAGCCTCACTATCCTTCATATATTTGGCGAAGAAGGGCTAGAAAAAAAAATTAAAAAAAATTTTAAGAAAACGAAATGAGCTTCAAAGGATTGAAATGTTGAAATATAAAAAGGATATTGAGTAGCCTTAATTGAGTTATTCACATCTTTCCTTCTTTTTTCATGGAAATGACAAAGAAATAAGAAAAGCAACGCATTTTTCTCGTATATCCTAATTTTACTGACATGAATTAAGTTTTGGATAAATCTACATGTGGATTATGTGAAATCTTGACCATGTAAACTAGATATAGAGAAAAATAAACTATTTCTTGGCCACCCTTTTTAAATGTTTCTAGAGGATTCGTTCAGTATTTGGTTACAATGGCCTAAGAGAAGAGTTGAGATCTAAGTGAGGGTAAATCAGTGGAAAAAAAAAAAAAAACTTCATCTACATTAACTTATTATGTATATTATACCTAAGTGGCCTAGAATTAAGCATGACTAGATAATTAAGACTCTTTGGTCATGTTAGTAGTAGTAAGAATATAATGTTCTAGAAGAACTAATGTTTTGACAAAAAGATACCTCGATTAAGGATTCAGTTAGAGGGATTAATGGGATGCCATTGTCGGATTAGTAAAATCAAACTTCAAATTATTTTTGTCTAGTGAACGTTTCTTTGCTCATGTCACATGTCAAACCACTTGACTTTCTAGATTTTGTAATGTGTCTTGGAGATCGTCTAAATTGACATATGGAAATTGTACAACATATCAATGATTAAAAGGTAAATAATTAAAAACCTCTATTGTTTTATCCCCCTATATGCCGATAACTTTGAAGAAATATTGATACACTTTTCATAATTGCTAATGGTGTATCAGGCAAGATATTAGTCTCAATCGTGTTGTATATTTGAATAATACAAGACTAGATATAACCTGTGTAATCACGATTTCCCGTTATTTATTTATTTTTTTTGTGTTCGACCAGCATCATTTATGAAATTAATATTTCTTCTTGTTCTTATTATAAGGCATTTTGTTTTCTCTTAAAATTTATTTATTGTGTTTTTTTAACTGAAAATAACACTTTATAAATATTTTTCATACTTATTGTGTTATTGCAATTGCTATAACAAAAAATTTAAGATTTTATTTTTAATTAAAAAAAATACTACATAAAATTTAGAAGAAATAAAAATGACTTATAATAAAGATCGGGGAGAGAGTACATCATGATATTATAAAAAATCAACTATAAGTAGTTGATCGGTTTCATCGAACAGACGAACACTCCCATTAAAAAATACCAACTTATATGAAATAATTGGTTTTGGCAAGATACTATTTCTGATAAGACATTTGTGTTTTTCAATTTACAAACTTATATCTTTAGATCGGAAGACACAAATTTGGTTAAATCGGATAAGTTTAGAACTGTTTAGATTGTTCAGTATCGTAAATGATACTTGTCATAAAAGAGAAATTATGCTCAGGAATTTTTAAAAGGTTGAAAAAGAACTCTCGACTAAACGGTTGAAACTTTGAAAAGCTCAAAACCAACAAAAGAACGAAAATGAGGCAGTTTTTTAAAACATGCAACTGTGTTGGAAAAATTAAGATAGACTGGAAGGTGATAAAATCAATTGTTGTTTGGACGGCAAATCTGAAAATTGATGAGCATAAAAAAAAAAAAAAATAAATTGAACAATATAAGTAAATTGAAAAGAACACAAAAATTACGCAAATTCTAGCGGGAAAAGGTGCTTCTGTTTTAGTATATTGAATGATGATTTGCTCCAAATGTACGTAATAAACTCTTGGTTGTCACCTCATTTCGACCATAATAAAAAAACATAACAACCCACTTGATGAAAATTCTTAGTGAAAACTTGTAAATACGCTACCTCGGTCCAATTATGCTATGTAAATCTTACATTTTAGTTATTTTTGGAAAATCTGTACAGTTCCTTTTGGACATTTTTCCTAGAAGTTGACCGGAGTAGTTTCAGGTTAGAGTATACTCTTGAAGGCATCAAACACAAATTTTTTTGGGTGAGAGTAGATGCTTTTTATAATTACAAGAATACATCTTCTACTCGTTTCATTAGTTAAATTACACAACAATAATTGACGATTAAGCATTTTTCTCATTATTAGGCACGGCACACATCCTACGTTTGAATTCACGGAGCTCATTCGCCGATCAATTGCAATTTTGCAGATGCACGAAAGTATCCTGTAGACGAAAGAATCCCAAGATTTTTAATTGATTAACCTGAGAACCTGAAAACAACTGGAGGAGACATCTGATCTACGATCTTCCTTTGATGGCTTATGTTGCGAGGACTAAGAACTTTACAGTTTAAAAAAGGATACACCATGTCATCAAGATGAAAAATCTTAGCATCAACAGATACAGAAAAAGCCCCTCAGATGCCGTAAATGATCTGGCTGGCTCAATATGTACACAGGGAAAGAGGTAATGATATACACATCAACGAGAGACATTATGCTTTCTTGTATGTACTGAGTATTCGTCGCAGGTCAAAAGCTTCACCCTGATCACCATTCAAGGACCTCTTCTCCAGGAAGCACGTGGTTAGCTGCCTCAATAATCTCTCAAGGCAAGAATGCAAGCAAATTTTCGAGTCTTTGATATTAGGATTTGTTGATAAAACCATGGCATTAACTGCGTCTGCCACAATCTCCCTCTGAGAATCTCCAAGCAGGTATCCAACTGAGGACTTCAGAGGCTGCTCATATGCCAGCAAAGCAGCACAGTCCTAGAGAGTGAAAGAGGAAGCATAATGGAAACACTAAATAGTAGAAAAAGCCCACACACAAAGTACATAAAGCATAACAAATACTCAAAACATTATCTAATGCCCTAAAACAAATCATAATTTTATCCCAGAAAGGAAAGCCCGATGTTATTTGATAATATAGAAGGATAGAGACACAAATTCAACCAGCCAACAGAATCGTAACATTTCAGAATACTCATCGAACAACCTTTCCGTCAAAAAATGGGGGTAAAATGGGGGCGAAAGGAAATAGGAAAGCTGGTATTTTCGTTGTTGACCTAAATCGCCATTCTACAGTTACCATTAAGGTAAAAATTAGATGGTTAAGTAGTGAAGGAACTAACACCAAGAGCTTAATTAGGCTTCAATCTTAATTTAGTCTTCTGAAATCTGAATCAACCTAGCAATGGGAAATGTTGAAAGAAAATCAGGGTACCTTGACCAGATCATGAACCTCGGTCAACCTGTAGAACTTTTCAAATTCAGTTCTGCCAAAGGCCACAGCATCTTCCAATCTTCCAACCTGCATAAATAGGCCATTACTTAATATTCATGATGTACACTAATAATTCTAAAACCTGTTTTTTATGAACTTCCCCTTAAAATTGACTTTTTCAATTACAACCTCATCCTCAGCCAAACCATCCCCTCCCTCGGCCAAAGCAGAAAAGGAAGGAAAGGGAAGGGGGAGGAGAAATAACCCCAAACAAGCAATTTTAACCATCAACTTCAGATTGCACAAATTGAGCTACCCGAACCAAGCCTTTGGTAATTTCAAATCTTTGCTCAATTCATTGTAAACAATTGACCGAAAACAGAACAGGCAACCATAGTTCAACATAAGTCAACGAGAAAAATATATTACCCGAACGAGCTCAATAAATTTTTGACAGTGAAGCAGAAAGCATAGAGCTGATTTGTCATCCTGCAAAACAAACAATAGAGATCAGCCGGGTATGTGATTAGAGAGCAAATTAAGATTACTACGCGCCAATGGCAAGGAGAAAGCCAGGGTCTTAGTAGGTGGTATGACATCGGCTGCAAGTGGGCTCTCTTTATAGACATACCAGTTCAAATGAGCAATGTAAGCACAACACAAGCACAAGGGAAAAAACAGCAGATAGCATATGTATTTAAGTCGTGGATATTCGTGCAGGGATTGGCTCAACACGGTCAAATAGTGTTCAAGAAAGCTGAATGGCATATGTTTCTGTGAAACAATCACCCTGATCACATGCCCCCCAATGGTGAAGAGAAGCGACAAAAAGGGCAAGAAACACTTCCTAAACTACTAAAATATAGCCTTACTAGCAACTTAAACTTGAGCCAAGAAGATCTCTGATAAAACAGAAGTAATAATCCCACTCTATATACCTTACTTATTATTTTGCCCTTCCGCTAGAAGCAGATAAAGATCCAGTATCAATACACCCTCAGCCAGACACTAATCCCAAAGCTTGGGAAGTAAAGAAAAAAGCAAACTCAAAGATATCATTCATCCAGTATATTGATCCTATGATTCTGGATAGCTCCCAAAGCAAAAACCACGCGAAAAATAATTAACAGATAATAAAGATAACAAGAAGCAAGCCATAAAAAACACGAAAGACTAAGAACCAAAATCATTGAGCATTGCTGAAGGTATTGTGAATTATAAATATGCAACATAAAAGATATAGTTTCACATTTATTTACCTGCACAAGGTGAGGATACCATTGCTGAAGCTTGCAGAAAGCATCATCGATCTCACCTCTCCTTATCAGCTATCCAATCAAAACACCAGGAAATCAATTTGAGATGCACAAGTGTATCAGGTTAAACTCAAACGTAATGACAAAACAGCCTCACAACAATAAAATTACAACAAATCCCGATCTAAATGATCCACAATGATAAGGTGGGAGTCAAAACTAGCCACTATCACCAAATCCTTGATGTTAAAGAAATTAATCCAAAAGCACATCGCGTGAAGAGAGGACTTGATAGAAAAGGCCCAGCAAAATAGAAGAAACTGTATAAGAAAAATTGAAATAAGAACAATATGGAAAAATAAACTACTTCACCCAGTGATAAAAAGGAAAGAGCATAAAACAAGAATGTTCAATGTAAAATTCACAATTCCTTGGCATAGCTTTAGCCATATAGGAAGGAAACCTCACAACCAATATATTGAGTGTTAATATACTATACCGACTAGCAGATGTACTCAAAGTAGAAATCAACTAAGCTACCCTGCATCAGAAATGAGAAATATCCAGCTTTAGTGCTGATAGTTCCCAAATCTCTATCATATAAACTATCCATATTTCTCCCCTGTCCACTTTGTACACTTAATTTATGTGACGTCTAAACCACCACTATTTACTGACACTCGCAGCAAGAGTAAGCTACTATTATCCCCTTTACAGTGTCCAAACAGATTGAGTAATGAACACAGGTTTCTGAAGATTTCATTCAATACTGGGCCTATATTAGGTTACCGACATCAACCATTTGGCATCTCTTTGCAAGTCATCAGTAAATCAATGAAGTATGTAAGAAAGGAATTGCTCGTTCTTGGCCTAGTCATTTCATTCTCCAAAAATATCTCGAGACAAAAAAAAACCCCCACAAAAATCGTTATTTTTAGTGAAGAATATTTTTAAGCCTATAAGTAGTTAAACCTTTTTAAATCATAGCAGACCAATATTCAGTTAATTATGGTTTCACAAATACTCAAACCATCCAGCGTCAAACCACTGACAACCAAATAATCAGTGCTTAATACCTGACGAAGGGTCTTTCTGTGATCTATGGCATACGAGTTTCCTTCCCCAGTGCATCCATTCTCCTCAGCTAATGAAATGGGTGGAAGGGTACTTTTGCTAGACATATCAAATAGTTCAAGAGTTTCTTCATATCCATAATATTGCAAGTACGAACGAACAATTCTGGTGCAGGAAAGAGGAGCTCATTTAGTTTTTCCAAAAATTTATCACCACCAATATGCATAAAATCCAACAAAACTAAAAACTGACAGGGAACTTGTTATCATAAACTAGAAAAGCAACTACTAAATGACACTTCAGAGATTAAAAGATGAGCAATTGTATTTACAGCTAAAGTATTAGTAAAAATATAAGAGCAGGCTACAGGATTGACAATTGTATAATACAGAAGTGACCATTAATCATCTCACAGTGCAGACTTACCCATAACTGGCATTCTGCGGTATAGCTACGTTGTCAATTGTTGCCTGCTGTTTAGCTCGTTCCTCTGCTTCAAATGCCTGACCAGCAAATAAAAAGGTATTCCTCGTAATCCAGCAAGCCTCATAAAGAACACACGATTCCACTACCACAATTGTACCAGTCATAACACAATGAAGCCCTACCCTCCACAGTTTACAATCAACTAGAATGCATAATTCATTTTACACTTGCAATAATTCCGCTATCATAAGGTACTAGCTTCTTATTTGCTGATAGAACGAGTCATGTACCAAAACTTATAAGCTGCATATCGCAGAATCCAAGTAACTAAAGAAGACTTTACACCTAGAAACCATTGACCGATTCAAGTGAACACAAATCAAGACTCCAAGCCATATTGCTCTGACACTAAACTTACAGCTTTTGCCCGCTAGTGAATTGTAAAAGGGGCAAAGAGATTATAAATTTGCTGATTAACCTATCAAAATCAACCTTATTAAGGGGTTTCCCCTCCAATTAATATTAACTTTCAAAACAAACAAACTACTGATCAACAACATTAAGCCTTTATCCCACTGTGGCTTGCCCATATTGTCACCATCACATAGAGTGGACTTGGAGCTCTACAACAATTAATAAGTTGGAAGACGTTCTGATGGCCATACCCAGCGAATTTTCAGATACCCCCATTTCGGAGTCAAGCGATCCAGGTTAAATTCAGGAGACCGAAGACTCAAGTATCTTCCACCCAAACTCTTATGGATATAAGGAATCACCAGCAATCAAAGTCAGAAAATAACACTACAACAAATGTAATTCTGTATTGGAATTCCTACACTCAAATTCACGAAACAATCACTAGTTCTTTTCTATTCTTTCTACGTAATGGAACTTTCAACATTTAAATCAACGACTAGGACCAGAAGTCATCTCCTAAGCTTACCAATTTACCCAAACAACACATTATGGGGAGTTTATACTCATCTTATTTCACAACCTCATAAAAATTTTAACAAAACAACTAATCTTTTTCATAATATCCGGTAAGTTCAACTTAAGAAATAAACTTCAATGAAATTATTTGTTTTGACAAAGCACGATGTCAGCCTATGATCCTTATAGCCTGTCTCGTGTGCAGATAAGCGCCTTCTTGTCATTGTGATTGAAATTAAGAAAAGGTGAGAGACGGTCATACCTTAAGATCAAAAGCAAATTGCTCCTGCCCAAAGTTTACAAGAACTCTGCCACAAGAAAGCCAATGTTATTCACAAATGATGCTCCACCACAAAAAGCATAAATCAAAGAGTCATTGGAGCTCTTAAAGAAGGGCCCAAATAAATAGAATGATAAGAGATCAAACAAGTACCAAAAAAAACTACTTTTTACAGGAAAGGATAAGTAAAACAGGAGGCATTCAGTTACAAAAGATTTATGGGTTACCAGTCAAAGTTCACCAGTGTATGAATTTGAATTGTAGCAAAAATACAATCACTAGAAGAAACTGTCCAATATGTCTTTCTCTGTCATAAAATTATATAAAACGCTAGTGTACCCTTTACAATTGATAAAGATATCAGGCTTTCTTTCCAATCAAGGAAGAGTTTCAGAACTTAAGTAAATCAGATTGAATCAAGAAACATATTCTAAACAAGGTGAAGCTACTGAAAATAGCATGACGATGACGTGATAGTAATAAGTCTACCAAGAAGAGGGGAAAAAAGGAAGCCACTTGAACAACTATGTAATTGCATAAACTTGGAAAGTATGAAGATATGTCAACCCAAAGTCATTCTTATTGATGCCAATCATCATGCAACATAATGGTTTAAGTAATTGCCTTCCAAAATGTTCTTAAGGAATCAATCAAATAACAATTCTAGAGGAGAAACTGCTCCACAAGTGCATTTAAAGACAGAGTGCATTGCTTTTATCCTAGTAAAGAGAGTGGAGAATATCTACCCTACAAATCGAAATGTCAAAGACCACCCCTTTGGCATCTAAAGACAAAGGGAAGAGCGACTACAAAAAACTACTAACCAGGTATTTAAATTTGGTTTCGCAGTTGGTTATTCTTTTTAGTGAAATAAGCCCATCGTGACGCACACACCTAAATACATACATCCTTAGATAGGAAATGACATACATTAGAAAAATCCATATTTGAGTTCCAGAAAGCGGGCATATACATTTCATCAACGTCACATACATGATTTAGCATATTGAACGTCATGTAATATACTAAAAGGATCATCACGATGGCATCTCACAACTTAGACGTGTTAAAGTTTGGAATCTTGTAATATGTTCTATAGGAGTAACAAGGTCTTCTCTATAAGCATAGATTCTTTACTTTATTTTTGTTTCTATTCTATCTCCAATTGAAAAGTTCTAGTGAATGAGAAAACCTTGTTCTCAACAAAACTCTGGACAGTTATATGAGCTTTTGATGCAGTTTTTCCAAGCAAAACACCCATATTTGCAGAAAATCATAGCAAGGGCCTAGTTGATTACAAAGAAATTCCAAATTCAAAAGCCAATTAAAAAAAGACTAAAAAAGACATACTACGTACTCTTCATATTGGCTATGAACAGCAACCGTAGGAAAGAGTGGACCTTTCACATCCTTCTGCACATTTCCCACTATCATCCCGTTTTTCCTAGACCAACCAATAACACAGCAACAATCCATCACAGCGTTAGTAATCACAGTCAAAGGATCACGAAAACACAGATCCAAGAGGAGGAAAAACAAGATGTTTGGAGAAGCCACAAAAACAAGTCCCCTGGATTACTTTAAGTCTTTCCTCAAGCATTAACAGCAAATCACACGTACCACATGGAAGAATAAGAAAAATGTTGCTCAATCTTACGTGAAAAAGAACTCTTGTGCAGCATAGTTGATTCCACCACCAACAGTGTCTCCAGTTGAATATGTTGGGCCAAATGACTCTCCTTTTCCATGTCCTCGATAAAGTAAACCATCATCTCCATGATATCCGTAACTGTTTGCTTCCCAACTGACAGAAGGAAAAATGACAAAATTGAGGTAACATGAAAGGAGAAACAAGACCCAGAAAGGAGCCACCCACGCTCCCACTCCCTCCATCTATCAACCTAACAAGATCCTGTAGCAAGGAATCCATTCAACAAACAAGCATAACACATTCAGCGTAGCTGATATATTACATGGATACTTTCCACTCTCCTAGTAATCATTCAGCAGCAGTTTAGATACTTTCCAGTCTCCTAGTCATCATTCATCAGCAGCTTAAAGAAAGATCTGGTATAAAACAAAAAGGTGAAGAAAACTCCGTGCATAGGCTAACTACGTATGCTGCAAACTAACCACCAAAACCTTCCTGTATGCAAATCCATGTCTACTTAACCACCTCAAAGTGGAATCGTCAAATCTTCATTCCCACAAAGACAACAAAAACTCCACTTTCATCTCATGAGGCACAGATCAAGAGCAATACATCCAAATTTCGACCTTTGAAACGGCATTTATGAGACTTCTCAAGGACAAAAGCAAACAACCAATTATCAACTGATATTCACCATCCATGTTTTTTTATTCCATGTTCGAGTCTTTATTATTAATCAATAACAAACAAATGCTACAAACCAGCCTCCAAAGTGGCCATAGATTTAACTAACAAGAAAACAGAAACATTAAAAGATCCATTGAATAGAACTCCTATGTATGTCCGTTTTCCCACTCAAAGCCAGCATCAATTTCATCATCCCATGCTACCAGCTAAAATTAACTAGGCAAGGAAGATCAATGAAGTATACTAGCACCACAATACATCTCCACATCTAAATTCAGAAATAACAATACATAAGTAATTCATTATTCACAATCTTGTTCCCGATTGTTACTTTCATCCATTGCAAATCAATGAATGCATATTGCACCAAGGAAATGCGTGTGCATGCCCACATTCATCCCACAAACTTAAAGAAAACATGCAGATACGGAAAGAAAGTTCAGATAAAAACAAGACAGAGAAAAGGATAATTCCAGGAATGAATAGAATCATGCTTCATCAACACAAAAAGAGAAAAGAAAAAGAAAAGTCAAAAGACTGTTAATTTACCACAAGTCGTGAACCTACCCAGGTTGGCGGCGCATTTTAAAGCCAGGGGAGGTGAAACCAATAGCAATCTGCCCTCTCGCGCCGGCATTCTTCACATAGATCTCAAAGTAATAAATCAACCGCTTCGACGGCGCCGGCTTATTGGCCTGAACCACGCCGACATCGTGGCCGTGAAGATTCACACTGGGATACTGGACCGACAACTTATCAGCTCCAACCAAAGAAAACCCTCCCGAGCTGTTCACGGTGTCCAATTCCGTCGGTTCCTCCTCGAACTCCGAGTCCTCCGGCGACAATCCGGATGCGGAACTCGAGGTGGTGGCGGCGGCGGCTGAGGCAGCGGATTTCGAGTGGAGACGCCATAAGTCGAGGAAGTAGAATCCGATGGCGTCATTCTCCTGCGCCATAGCTTCGCTTCTCGTTCGAACAAAATCGTTTCCCCTTCTGACCCAACTGTGTGAGTGCGTGGGAGAGAAGAGATGAAATCAAGATGACATTCAGTAAAAGAAAGAAGAAAAAATCGTTCTTTTTATTCGTATTCTTTACTTGAGAGATTTGATTTGGGATGGGAAAACCTAGAAATGAATTAGGGGAAAAGGGAGGACGGAGATGAGGACGAACGGCGACGAGGAACCAGAAGGGTTTTTCTGTAATTTTACGTCGATTAGCATTATACTTCACGTCTCACGAGTATTGAGTGATCGACGGCTTAGTTAGTTTCATCTCCATGTTAAGTTCTTACAGCCATCTGCCACAGTAAAGCAGTGAAAATAAATTAACTGCCATAATCAATAAATAGTTACTCGATTTTTACAATTTTTAAAATCAACTAAAACAGAGTAAATTATGTTATAAAATATTTGATTTAATTTAATTGAATGTCCATAATTAACATGTATTATTATATTTACAATCAAATAGATATGATTCTATAATATTTAACATTAATGATATGTGATCTATTTCTCACAGTTTGATCCCCTATTTCTTGTATAAATAAGGAGTTCATTCATGCTTCAAAATACATGTGAATATAAGTCTCTTATCTCTCTCTACTCTTTTATCTCTCCTCTTTGTTCTTATTCTTAGTTTTACATTAGTGGTCTAGCATTAATTTTATAATAAATTATCAGCACGAAGACTCTAGCAAAAGAGCTTCTACCACCGCCGAAGTTGGTGCGTATTGATTCTGAAGGTCTTAAGCCTCAATAAATATTTTAAAAGGTTTTCGTGATCTAAAGCGACGCGACCTCAAAAACTTTCCGGTGCATAAGTCTCTAGCCACACTGAGACGATTCATCATGGAGTTCAATTTAGTGAATCAAAATGATGATGATGGGAGAAAAAGGTAAATCATACATCATGCATATTTGGTTTGCATATGAAGGAAAAATATTTTTTGTTACAAATTTTATTTACTCATATCATACAATCACGATGCAATTTTTATGCTATGTATCTGATTGTTGATCATGTGAATGTATAAAATTTATATAAGTTGCATGTAATTGCGACAGTATCCATGTGTGCAAAGAAAAAAATCGTTTTCTTTAAAAAATTAATTTCTTTGATATTTAGATTGCAAGGAAAACACTTTGTTTTATTAACATACATTTATTAATATTAGTAAAAATGTATTAATAGAAAGAAGTCTCCTTCTCATATTTTACTTTGTACTTTTATATTCTACTTTACTCATAGTATTACTGATATTTACTAGTGCAAGTAAAATATATTGATAGTAGCAATCCGAAAATGTATCAAAATTACTCATGAAGTAGCAATGTTGCGATAGCATATTTACCATATTAAAGTGCTCCAGTAGTAACATTATCCCAAAATATTTGATGAAATCTTATGAATTGTTTTCTTTCTCTGAAGTGAGTGGGCAGTAAATTATTTCAAAGAAAATCATAAACATTAAATCTACATTAATTATATATAATATACAATTCTTTATCTGAAGTTGGAGAGTAAATTTGAAGACATATTCAATTTAGACATGGTCCATTTCCTGAAGTAAATGTGACGATTATGAAACAATGATAGTGGTGATTTTGACAAATACACTATTAACCAATTGAAGTTGAAAAAATAGTGAAAACGCTATTATTGATCTGAAGTTAAAAAGTAGTATATTGCAAATACTATCGTTGTGGCATTGGAAAATCATTGGGTTTACATGTTCTATATATCCATAATTATCTTATTAATATATTTGATATATTATTGAAAATTGACGAATTCATTAATCCTGTCAACAATGAATTAACAAAACATAATTCGATCTTTGTCAAATGCCCAAAAGGTGATTTAAAATTTAGATATGAAATTGTCCAATATGTCAAACGCTTTGAAGGTGTTGTGGTCTTTTGGCCACCATAGTAATGATACTATTTAATTGACATTTCTATTTACATGTTTCGAAGAAAATAAGATCTAAATTGTGTATGTGCGAGATTCCTTCCTTTAGCAATGAATGAAATCCGGCCATCGTCTCTTTCCGGATACCAAACTACTTTTTAAGAATGGCACCTACGAGTAAAAATCAGTATGCTTCTTCCTTTTTAAAGGCAAATTGTGCTTAAAAATATCTAATCAAAATTAGCGGTTATCATAAAAGTGTTAACCTCCATAAAATAAACTATTTTATACTTTAATGCTTAGACCTATTTAGTAATTAAATTGTACATATTTTTATTTAATTTTTATATTAAAGCTAAAATCACCCACACAACACTAATACTCCCTCTGTTCCAAAATTATTGTCCACTTTGAGATTTTACTTTTAGTACAATTTATACTAAAAATGAAATCCCAAACTAGACAATAATTATGGGACACTAATACTCCCTCTGTCCCAAAATTATTGTCCACTTTTAGATTTTACTTTTAGTACAATTTAAACTAAAAATGAAATCCCAGGCTAGACAATAATTATGGGACGGAAGGAGTACATTTCAAAGAAAAGAAAAATAAAGACTATATTCGATGTTGGTCTGTCACGGGAGAAGTTTTTTCTATTTCAAACTCTAACATTGTTTTTATCATAACCAACATAAAAAATTAAAAATACATATTCATTTTTTTAAAATAATATTGTGACTATTACTAATGAATTATCATATTGTGACTATTACTAATGAATTATCATATATTATATTTGTCTTAAAAAGATAATTCACATTGGTTTATTAAATTTTTAATTTTTTAATATAAATTTTAAAAATTAATGTAAGTTTATTTTTATGGGACAAAAGGGGTATAATTTTATCGTCAAAGTAATTTACTCATATCAGTTTTTATTTGTATTTTTTTGGAAGAGGAAGATTTCTCATATCGTTGCCATAACCTATACTACTTGGTTCCCCTCCTATCGCGAACTTTTCTTCCCTTTTCAGCATAGAATTCAAGGTCACAACTCACAACAATAAAAATGTCAATGCTAAAACGTCTACAATTACAATGCTAACGGTGGATCTTTGAAGTTGGTGTTTTTGAAAACTATAACAGTATGCATTTTGTTGAATTTGTGCCTAGAAAATGGGTGTTGAATTTCATTTGTTAGTTTATACTTTATCGCCAATATAGATCTTTTGGTTGAAATATCTTGAAAAATTATGCTGAAAACAATATTATATTCATTCTTAAATGTTGTGTTCATTATATTACACGTAAAAGTTTAGAAGCGTGTCATAAGTAAAACTAATATATTACTCCTTTCATTTCAAATTTAAGTCACTTTAGACTTTGTACATAAATTAAAAAGACAATCATCCAACAATAATTTATGTATTAAATATATATTTTACTCCTCATTAATTATATTAGAACTATAAACAAGAGTAAATAAAAATACATTAACATTATTTATTGAAGTTAAAGTTAAAAAGAATAGTTATTAATTTGCCTAGAATTTGTAAAACGATTTACATTTTGAAAAATCTTTCCAAACCTAAAACGACTTACAAATTGAAATGGAAGAAGGAATAGTAATTATTTTTTTGTCTCTGTCGGGGTACATAAATCATGAGACAATCTTAAGTTGTCAGGTATGATGTATACTCTCAAACTAATCCACACTCATAAGTTGAGTTTTTTCTTAAAAATACAAATGGAATTAATATTGTATTACACAAAGATGATTTGCATGCATGTTGCAAAGACTAGTTTGTTTCTCACTCTCTCCATCTTCCCCCAAAGTGCAATTCTTTATTGTTGTGTTGTAAAAAAGAAAAAATTAGAAATACAATAAGTAGATGACAATTACTATAATTATTAAAAACCATGATGATGTGGTTGCTCATGGTTCAGCAAAATTTGCTAAATCCTCCTATGTAATTGAGACAATATGGAATGATCTTCCTCAATCAGTATTGGACCTTTTCCTGTAATTATGAACGCAAATATGTTTTCTTTCAAAAAGAAAAAGATGATGATTAATGAACATAACTAATAAAGAAGTAGGAGAGAACAAAAATGTACATTAAAAATCACTGCTAGTAATGAGTTTTTTCCTTCATTCTTAGTTTTTTTTTTAAACATATATATTATGAGTCTATGACTAATGAACTAAAGAAGAGGTGAAGAGAAACAGAAAAAAGAAGAAAAGAATATGGAATGATGTGGTTGCTCATGCTTTTGCAAAATTTACTAAATTCTCTTATTTAATTGAACAATATAGAATGATCCTCCAAACTTTGTAACTCAATCAGTGTTGTACCTTTTCCAGTAATTATCAATGCAAATATGTTTTCTTTCAAAAAAAAAAAAAAAGAAACGATGATGATTAATGAACATAAGGAAGTAGGAGAGAACAAAAATGTACTACAAATGAGCCAGTAATGAGCTTTCCTTTCTTTCTTTGTTTTTTTCACATATATATTATGAGTCTATGACTAATAAACTAAGAAGAGGTGAAGAGAAAAAAAAATGAAGAAAAAGAAAATAACGGTAAAAAAAAAGGATGAATACAGTAAAAAGCAGAGGAACACCATTTTTTTCCGATCAAGCCGACGGGAAAGGGACGACGGCGATATTACGCATCATATCCTTAAACTCCACGAAATCCACAACCCCATCGTGATTGGTGTCCACGCAGGATATCATCTTCTCCACTCTCTCCAGCTCTTTCCCTTCCTCCCCTAATCCCAGCTTCTCCAGCACCGCCTGAAGCTCCCTCGCCGATATGTACCCGTCGCCGTCCTCGTCGAACACCTTAAAGGCCTCCGACAGGTCCGACTCGCACTCCGACTCCGACCCCGAACCCGACCCATTCCCCGATTTCCGTTCCTCGTCGTCGTCTCCCCCTAGATCCGGGTAAAACGCGTCGTTTATGGACCGGTGGAGGGCGCGGAAGCCGTCGAAGGTCAACCCGGGTTGACCCGGCTGGATGTAGGATCGGATCGTGGCATCCAGGTCCGAAACGTCGGCGTCCAACCCGAGGAGCTTCAGGGCCTGCGTTAGCTCGTCGGAGGAGATGAGGCCGTCTTTGTTCTTGTCGAATATGTCGAAGATCCGGCGGAGACGAACGGTGTTCAGGCTTTCCGACCGGAGCTTGAACGACGACCACGATGACCTGATAATGTTGCCGCCATTTTGCTGGGGTTTGGCGCCCAAATCTGACTCCGTTTCCATGGTTCAATTAATATATGGGAAGGAAAGGATGAATCAGTTGATCAAAGAGGAAGGAGATAATCAGGAATTCAGATTGGAGAGATTTCAATCAAGCTGGAAATGATGATAAAAGGGTTGTTAATTGTTATATATACGTGGGAAAGAAAAATTAAATGCGTGTGATTTGAATTGAATCGGGGGCAGATGGGCGATCATGTTCTTCCAACGAGGCAATAACATATATTTCTTCCATATATTCCACATTTCCATGTTCTAAGCTGGAATACTTTTATCCGGTCTTTGTATTTTTGGCAACACGGCATTCGTGTCCCCACATGCCTTATAAAAATTCTTCAAATCGTCACAAAAATAAATAATAAAAAGCAGTAAAAAAATTGTTCAAACACGTTTATATCCTATCTGTTAAAAAAAAAAAGAAATACAATTGGTTGAACTAAGATTCTACAATTGAACGTCGCTAAATTAATAATTTACTTAATAATTTTGCATTATAAATATTTTTTTTCCGTCTTAACTTATGATCAGAACAAAAAGTGAGTAAAATAATAATAAAATAATAATAAGATAATCATATTTTAGTAAATTAGGAACCGTTGATACTTATTTTTAAGTCCTTAGAAGATGAGATGGATTATGTATTGATTTTAGTATTGAGAAAAATTTTAATACTTGTTTGATTCGGATATTAAATATAATTAAAAGTTAGATAATTTAGTAAAGATTCGGTTTTTTTTTTTCTTCAGGTATCTCTTTATTAAATTAGTAATTTATTAATTTTTAAATAATTTCCTAAATTAATAAAATTCGATGATCAAAACACTAGTAATTTAGAGAAGTTATAATATACTTCCTCTATTCCAAAGACGGAACTTTTGGTCACTCGCAACAATGTAATACTATCATATGGTTTAGAACCGCTCTAAAAATATTAATAATATGTTCTTTTGTCACAGAAAAATAAGTTTATATTCGTTTTTTTGATTTGTTGGTAAACACGGAGAGGGTATTCTATTATAATTATGATTACCTAACTCATGAATTAATAATGTTTAATTCGAAATCTATCTGACATAGTCAGCGGAGTTCAAAGGTTGAATAAGCACCGGGCATCAAAAATAATCTAGTACTAGTAGATTAACAAAAATGTAAAGTAATGAAAGTTCACTGGTGGAATAATATTTGAAGTCCAAGCCTTTCAAACTCGAACGGCTGACCCAACGAACTAAAAGGACCGCCTTGACCGACTTAATGTCGACCAATAATAAGGCAGTAAGGTGATTGGCCTTCTTCTTCTTCTTCAAGGTGGTGTTTATTTTTTTCACAAAAAATCCTTTTAATGTCATTTTTAAAATCATTTTGTTAGCATTTTCAATACAATTTGTCACACTTGTATTAAACTACAAAAAAAAAAAAAAAAAAAAAACCAAACACACGCTTCTTTACGAATTTTAGGAATATCAGACTTTTCAATTGAAAGCTTCTGTCTTCACACAGTGACATGGACACATCAACTTGTATATGACTAATGTCCAACTTGTATAGATTTTTTTCTCCCATCTTTAAGTTCACTTATTACTTTTGCCTCCTTATATTTGAACCAGTTATAGCCTTATAGGTTTATCTGACAAATAATATTAAGCTCCCTAAGCAGTACGTGTATCACAAATTTGGAAGAAAAAAGTGATCATTTTAGTCCTAATTTTTAGTCTCATACACGCATTTAATCACCCAATTTTATCTCCATTTTTTTGACATTTAATCCCCATAATTTTATCTCATTTTTTTGGGTATTTAACTCCCTGATCTTATCCATATTTTTTGACACACGTTTACTTTTAAACCTTTTTTTTTTGCTTATCATGTTAGCTTTTATATTATTTTATTATATGAGATAATTTTTTTTATAACGATGGATTTTATTTTAGTAAAATTGACTATGGTTAATCATTAAGACTTATGAATATGAAGAATCAATGTGTATTTTTTCAGTAATGAATAACCAACGTTTAGACAATGAATACTGTTATACAATTATTGAAAGATGATTGATGTAGAATGTATTCGTTTTATTGGTGAATATACATGCGTAAGGTAATGCACAATATATGGTTACTGATGAGCAAGAATTTCATTGTTGTTTTTTGGCAGATGGTGTATCATCTTGTTCAGATTTACGATGATTATCTTATTTTAAATAATGAATAACAAGTTGTTATTGATGAATAACAGATGATGTGCTTATTGGATGATGTTTCAACTCTGAAAAAAAGACTTTTGGTACTTATAATATCAATGTTATGGACGTAATGAACAATGATGTTCTTATAGTGACAACGTTATGGATGAATAAATTTAAATTTTGTAATGAATAACTATATTCACAAAAATGAATAACGATGCAAACCTGACGAATAATGATCTCATCCTAAATGAATAACAATATTACAATGAAGAATAGTTGTAGTTTTACAAAATGAATAATTGTAATTTAATGAATAACTAAGCGAAAATAATGAATAACTAGAATATAAGATGAATAAACATTTCACTAGAAGAAAAAAACATGACTAAAATAACCCAAAATTGATGATGAATAATGATATCGAGATAATGAATAACCGCCAGAAATAGATAATGATGTAAAAATCTGATTTCCAAAATCAACCACAAATCGATGAACAAGACTAGAACATCGATGAACTAACATGTTTTAAACATGAATAATGATATTAAACTGATAAATAAAGCCTAGATTTATTCATTTTTTCCAAAATCAACCACAGATCGATGAATGAAACTAAGAAATTGATGAACTAATATCATTAATCGATGATGAATGATAAATAATATTTCACAGAAGAAGAAAACATGACTAAAACAACCACACATTGATGATGAATAATGATACCGAGATGATGAATAATGCCAGATCTGTTAATATTTTCTGAAATCAACCACAAATCGATGACAAAGACTAGAACATCGATGAACTAACATCTTTTAAAGATGAATAATGACATTAAACTAATGAACAATAGCTAGATCTATTAATCTTTTCTTCTTTACACAACAGATCTGAATCCATAAGCCTCCGGCGATTCACCAAATTTGAATTTTGTTCTTTTTCACAACAAATCTGAATCCATAAACCTTCAAGGATTTATCAAACGAGCTCGAACTGGCAAATTTGAATAGCGAAACAAAGATTTTGATAATTCCAAACAAGATTTAGCGAACAAATTTATATTTTTAAGAGATAGATTTTGGAAACAACCACACAAAAGGGATGAATAACATGATTTTTTACCGTAATACTCAGCAACGTAATGCAAAATCCCAGTTTTGGCTGCACGAATTTGATTTCGTCTTCAAGAGTACTGTCGACGTGAGAATTTGGTATATCAAAATGATGCAAAATGATAAATATCTGAGATTATGGTTGCAGATGGAATGGATGGAATGGTATCATAAATGGCGGATAATTAGGGTGAATAATCGGTTATGGAAATTTGGAAATAAAAAATCCCATAAAAAGGGATAACAAATAGTAGTTTCAGAATTTTTGAGATTGTGGGCGCGAGTGTTTCACACTAAGTACACATAGCTAGGTGTACCTAAGATCCCTATATTATAATTGGGTTTATCTCCCTCTCTAGCTTCACTTTGTTCTTTATTGTCAAAGTCAAAGTATCAGTTTCCTTAATCAGCCTTAATGTTTACTCATTAACGTACTAATACGGCATATGGCAAATGTGATTTGTGAAACTTACCAGATTATAGCTGAATGCTTAACGATCCAGGCCTTGTATATATGGGACGATCAAAGATGGTATACATGTCTACATTTTCGTATTACTCTTTTTTAGTATGTGTTTTTAGTATTTAAAAGTAAAAATGTATGTTGAGATAGAACAATTATTAATAAAAATTATTTTGAGAAAACTATAAGAAAAATAAAACAAACCAAGCCTTAAGTTCTCTTTGTCAATCATAACTCGTTTCAAACTCCAATAAGCTGCATATGAGAGAACATTTTCTTGATACCTATGCCTTCTTTTAGTATATCTGTACATTTCCGATTTCATGCGATGTCGTAATTCAATACACTTCAAACTACATTTTTTTTCAAAAAAAAAATCATGAATACAATAAATAAGAAAATCATTTTGAGACGGACGAATTATGAAAGAAAGATAAAGCAAAACAATGGAAGGGAGCATGAGATGTATAAGAATCAATCAAGCCTGCTTTCTAAGAAAATGAACAACACTTTTAAATTAACTAGACAAAATCTTATTCTGCGCCTAAATTACAAGCCGAATGGGAAGAAAGGTAGAAGAAAATTGCTACTGATCCAGAAGGCATTGCTTAGCAGCAACAAGTTCTTTTTCTAGAAATCTATCTTAATTATGAGCGCATTCATCACACCTTCAAACTTCAATTCTTCGTAGTTACAATGTATTTCATGAGCATTGCAACAACATCTGGCGAACTTTTCGACGCAGCTGCCTTCAAATTCCCGATTTTGGTTTCGGTTTCAGTTTCAAGCCTCTTCACCGTGGAATCAGAGCTCCCACTTTTCTGCAAATTAGGTACATGAAACTCTGCTCACTCCCAAATTCATTACAGTATCAGTTACTCCTATCGTCCCGAAATTATTCTCCAGTTTGGATTTTTCAGTTGTAGTATAAGTTAAATTAAAAATAAAAATATAAATTGAACAATAATTTCGAGACGGATTGCGCATTAACATAACTCCGTTCAATATCAATAAGCTATTTTATCGATGGAGTGCCATCATGTTGAAACACATTACAACTTCATCTCATCAAATTAACACAAACCTCTGAGAGGCTCTTTTGGTATTCATCTTCCAAATGGGCACGGTATTGGGCTACTTCATTCTCAGCTTCTAGTTTAGCTTGTCTCAATCTGGCAGTTTTGTCTGTTAAAAAAGTGATACATGTTAAACTTGTCACTTCCTTTCGGTAGCGAAATAACCCAAATTTACATGATATAATAATAAACCCTCGAGTACAAATCACAATTGTGTATAACCATGGAATAAAATCTACATGATATAATAATAAACCCTCGAGTACAAATCACAATTGTGTATAACCATGGAATAAAATCTAAAGTGCAATTATTGGTACAAGTCTAACCTTACAATGAGTAACAACAAAATAAAGGGCTCATTCTTTGTGATACTATATTATTACTTAATAATTTACTGCATCCTAGAGTATATTAAAATTTTCAAAATCATGGCAATGTAGCTAAAATGCTATTAAATGGATAGTTATAACAGATTTGGACAAAATATTTATTTGAGGGAAAAAATTAGGACGGCCTTACTATTTTTCGCGGATGTAACGATTTGTTGTGCCTCTTGTTCTGCAGATAACAGCATCTGAATTCCTCCTTGTCCTCTCATTGCATCCATTGTAGCTGTTCCAATGGTAAAAACTGTACAAGATCAGGCCTTTGGAACAGAGTAAGGAAATCCAATTATCATCATGAAAAAATTCAATTCATCTAAGATTTCAATTTGTAGCCAAAATCAACAAATTGGGTGAAATAGATGCAGCATATTGAATGTGATCTATACCTGAAACAAGAAATGAAAAAGAATAGATAAAGATTAAAAAAAAAACTGGAAGGATGGTTTTCCATCTCTTTTTATCATTTATGAAGAGATCCATAAAAAAAAAAAAAGAATAGAAAAGAAAAAGAAAAACACTTCAATTCCATGAAGGGATTGATTTTCTTAGTAACTGTTGCATTGACAGCATTGTTAGAATTACCTGAAGTGGACAGAAGGGGGAAAAGAATTATTAGGGCAGGAGATCGCTTAATTATTTTGCAGAAAAGAGAAAGGAGAAGCCCGAAGAGAACAAAAACAGAGAAGTTAAAACTTGCACATTGAATTAGTATTTTTCCTTGTGAATAGGGGTGTAAAATTTGTTATAGTTAGTCCTGGTAATTTGCATTCCATTTCTGACGAGGAAGATAAGTATTTTTTTTTTTTTTTTGAAATAAGGAAGATGAATACGTAATTAAATAGTCTTTAACGACCTCCCATTCCCCCAAAAAAAAAAAAAAAACTAAAAAAGACGTAGTCTTCAACAACCAGCTGCTCTGCCAAACTGATGTCCATCAAGAGCAGTTAAACATTGGAATCCATTAATTGAGCATCCAAATATGTGCATGCCCCCAATCATCAAACTGTCATCTTCCCCAATCGAAGAAGAAAGAAAATTTGAAGTTCCCCTTTAATCCATTCGCTGGAAGCAATTAGGGCTGTTCTTTTACATAAAACCGACCCGAACCGTTAGTTTGGACCAGTTCGGAATTGGGGCAACTTTCTTTTGGATTACCATGGTTCAGTTTAGATCGGTTCGGGTTAATTTTTGGGTCTGAACTGAATTGACCCGAAAAAAACCATTTTGTATCCGATGATGTCATCAAAATATTATGATGACGCCATCTTGCCGGCGCCGGTCACTGGTTGCCGGAAAAATTGATTTTCCGGCAATATTGCCGGAATTTTTGACCGAAAAAATCAATTTACCGGCGACGTCGTCCGAATTTTTGGCCGGAAGTTGTTGCCAGCGGCGGTCAACGGCGGTCGGTAGCAGTCAACGTCGGAAACTATTAAAATTTATTATTATTATTTTTTGTTTAAATTAATTCGGTTCAATTTAAATATTTACTTAACCCGAACCGATCCGAACCATTCCACTCTTTCAAATAATTGATACGAACTGAACCGAACCAAAACTAAATTTTCGGATCGGTTTCGGGTTAGTTCGGTTCGGATCATCGGTTCAACCTGAACCGTGGGTCAAAATGACCAGCCCTAGAAGCAATAGTCCCAACTTTGAAACCCATCATGGCCACCATTGGAATCAGAAATCCAAGAAGTCAATTCCTCTAGTAAAGAATCGGAAGGAGTCAAGGCATCCTCATGCTCAAGAAAGAGCGGCACTGTCAAGGAGATGGTTGTTGATCCCGTCAATGAAATTCGAGTTGTGCAACGGGGACGAGTATGCAACAACCTAAAATATGCTCGTTGACGTTTTAATGATGGTGTTACAGGTTGTCTTTACTGCCATGGGAGCGGCCATCCCGAAAGCAGTGCTTGGTGTTGAGTTGCTTAAAAGGAAAATGGGTAGTCTTGCTCAGTAACATCTATCTCTTCTATTGTTTTGCCAGCCCCAATGCATAGGATAGATTTAAGTCCCTTAAAGATTATCCCCATCATCACTATTGTTCTCTCGAGATGTCCTTTAAATGATGAGAAGTCTCCGATTAAAATCCACAAACAAGAGAATTATAGAAACCACAGTCGGTTACAAGTTTCGCCGAATAGGGTGTCTAACTTCAAATCAAAGAAACCAAAATCAGTGCAGGTGTGGCGACGAGTGAGTCCAAATTTGATTCCAGACTCGTCAATGGATTTAGATTGTATTGTTGACAGTGTAACAGTGGATACAAATCAGAATAGTGTTGAGTCTGTGGTGGTCAGTACTACTAAACTAGAGGTAACACATCTCCACGAGACGGAAAATCAGTGGATAAATGAGAATAGTGCAGAGCTGAATACTCAATTATCGGTGGAATCCACTTGCTATGTTAATGAGGCTGATGTAAATAAATGGTGGCAAAGGAAAAAGGTTCTCAGGTCGTTAAGCCGAGTTAAGCTCCAAAAATCTGGCGTCAGTTGGTTGGAAAAATCTGAAAAATTACCAATAGTTAGCAAGAGAAGGTCCAACCTTACACACATCCTCAGGGACCCTGATGTATCTCGCTCAAGTAGCAAGAGGAAAGCATAGACAATTGTAGATGAAGATTCAAGGCCTCACAAGAAGCTCATGTTGGCACACACTTGGGTACCAGGACTTGAAAAAATAAAGAGCTTTGCTTGTCCAGGAAGCTTAGGATCAAAGGACACCAATGTGGTGTCCTCAGCAGCTTCCTTTAACAGCTTACGGAGTACCCAGGAGACATGTAATTTCTCTAATATTCTGAAGTGTTTTGCGGCGGTTGAACCAGATCAACTGCCTTTGGTTCAATGAGTATTCTTTCTTGGAATTGTAAGAACATGAATAATGCCTCATCTAAGCATCTAGTAGGTAGGTTAGTTAAGCAATATAAACCTTGTATTTTGTTTCTTATGGAAACTAAGACTAGTAAGGCTAATGTTTTATCTTGGCAACAGTCATCCGTTTTTAAAAATTCTCTTGTAATAGATGAAGTAGGATTAAGTGGTGGGTTGGGACTCTTTTGGATAGGAGTTCAATTAAGTGTGTTTTTTCATAATTCCAATGTAATAGTAGCAAAAATTAAGGAAGTTCATGGTCTGGAATGGTTGGCATTATTTCTCTATGGTCCTCCTTCTCAACAAGGGAGGCCAGAATTTTGGTTGCAGATTAATGGGATCCTCCAAGGCTCTAGTTATCCTATTATTCTATTGGGAGATTTTAATCAAATAGTGGATCAAGAAAACAAATTTGGTGGTCGTCAAGTTAGACCTCAAGATACTAGAAACTTTCAACAACTTTTGTCCTCAAATGACCTGGAGGAGCCGAAACATTTGGGATGTTGGTATACTTGGACAAACAAGAGACAAAGAAATGAGGCAATCTTCAAAAGGTTAGATCGTGCCTTTGTTACCAAGTCATGGCTCAAGACCTTTAGCAAAGCTGTCATTCGAAATCTGCCAATTATGAGTTCTGATCATGGCCCAATTTTAGCACAACTAAAGCAAAAGTATAACCATAAGAGGAAGCAGAAATTTGAGCAGTTTTGGTCCAATTGCCCGACTTCCAAGGATATGATTTCTCAAGCTTGGATGCACCCATCACTGCAGATTGAGCATTCTCAGGAAAGCCTCTCGTTCAAACTTGATAGAACTCTGTCTAAACTGTATAAGTGGAGCAAAATAAGGTATAGTAATTTGGACATTCTTGTTTTTAAACTGTTTGAGAAGTTGTCTCAAGTTCAATTGCAATGGGAAGGAAACAAGATTGATGTGCAGCTGACCTTACAATTGGAAAATCATCGAAGGGAACTGGAGGAGGCCCTTCAACTTCAGCATGATTATTGGCAACAAAGATCAAAGCTTAATTGGTCACAATTTTGTGACAGAAATACCAAATTTTTTCACCAATGGGCTGCTAGGAGGAAAGGTAACAAATGGATCACTGAGCTTCGTGATGATCAAGGAGTGTGGATTCAGGATCATGTCCAAATTAGTTCACTGCTTCAGAGTCATTTTTCTAGTATATATATGTCAGTGGAGTCCAGTTCTCAAAATTCACAGAGCTCCTCATTCTTCAACAGTCTTCTTGATAATGTATAGGAATCCATATCCCCTGATCAAGCTGTTTATTTAGATGCTCCATTCACAAAGGTAGAAGTGTGGTCTGCAGTTAAGCAAATGTCTCCCTGGAAATCTCCAAGACCTGATGGCATGCCAACAGGTTTCTATTATCATTACAAGGACGGTATTGGTTCAGAAGTTCAAACCTCTATTCTTGAAGCTTTAATACCATGTGCTTCCCTCCGGAGTGGAACCAAACTCATTTGGTTCTCATACCTAAGATAGCTTCACCAACAACTCCAAATGATTTCCGCCCCATCAGTTTATGCAACGTCAAGTATAAGATCATTACAAAGATGATAACAAATCATTTTAAACAGGTGATGAATGATCTTATTGATGAGCATCAAAATGGATTTGTGCTTGACAGAAACATCAGTGAGAATATTCTTATAGCTCATGAGGTCATTGAGTGTATAAGGAAGCAAAAGGGTGTTCATGGAATGGCAGCCATCAAACTTGACATGAGTAAAGCTTATGACCGAGTGTCATGGTCTTTTTTACAGGCAGTTCTTCACAAGGAAAACTTCCCTCCAAGATTGTTTGATTTAATCATGCATTGTGTCTTTTCTGTCTCTTATTCATTCAATTTAATAGAGAGAGCCTACCACCTTTTTCTCCGAATAAAGGTTTGAGGAAAGGCTGTCCTTTGTCACCGTATCTATTCATTTTATATCAATAGGTTCTCTCCTCCGCAATTAAATCAGAGATCCAACACTTTCTTGGATTGGGAGTCAGAATAAGTCGTCATGCGCCTAGGGTGAGTCATTTTAAGTATGCAGATGATAGTCTCTTCTTTATTGAATGCAAGGAGACAGCTGCTTAGCTTTGGCAAGACTACTAGAAACTTATACCAATTTTTTAGGTCAGCGTATTAACCTTCACAAGTCTTCTATTCTCATCAGTGATAATACTAGTCAGGATATGAAGCACTTACACATTCTACTCTTAAGATTCCGGTTGGAAGGTTTCATAGTAAGTATTTGGGAATGAGCTTGGATTTCAATGAAAAGAAGACGGCCATCTTCAATAAGTTTATTGCAAAGATTAGTAATAAGTTTGCATAATAGAAAACCAAGTTGTTGTCGCTACCAGGAAGAGTAACTCTAGCCAAATCAACTTTGTCTTCAATGTTGGTATATCCAATGGGAGTATTTAAGTTACCTGTTCACACCTTGAAAAAAGCAGACCAAATTATTGGTAATTTTGTGTGGAAAGGTGACAACCAAGACAAGAAAGTTCATTGGAGGGCATGGAAGAAAATCACAAAATCTACCTTTCATGGAGGTCTGGGTCTTAAAGCTACAAAGGAATTCAATCAGGCACTTCTCGCTAAGCATGCATGGAAGATAGTGTCTGCACTTCATTCTTTGTTGGCTAAGCTTTTCTGTGCCAAATACTGTCTAGATGGTGTGTTCCCTCCGGTACAACCTTCCAGAAACCCTTCGTGGGATTCAAGAGTATAATGTGAGGAGCTGAGTTACTACAAGATCATATTAAGTGGAAAGAGATTTCAGGTAAAGATATTCCTCTGGCAACAAACTGGATTCCTGACATTCAAAATCCAATGACACACGCATCTTCCACTCACATGGTGGTTCACCATTCTCAGTTTCCACATTAAATGTTCTGCACCGCACAGCCCACGTCCTTGGACTACTCGCGGCGACCGTATATTCCCTTTTATGATGGATGTTCCATAATTTCACAGCATGCTTTGCTTCTGATTGAGATTTGAAACAAACACCAATGTCCATTCTTTCGGGCGTCTCATCCCACATCTTAAGAGCAAACTCATCCTTGTCCACACATGAGGCATCCCAGTTCCCCATCTTACTATATACATGGCGTCGGGCCAATGGATTACAATCCCTTTCCTCATTTTCCAACCTTTCATCATCACTTTCTTCAAAATCACTCTCTCCGGAGACATCACAGTCTTCTTCGCTTTCACTTGGAGCTATATAGTCGGAATCCGACTCTTCCCGGTAGTCATCTTGTGCAAATAAAGATGTCTCCTTTTCATCACGGTTTCGAGAAGTACTAGCACGTTCCCCCCTTTGAAAACCACCAAATGACACGTTTTCCAAACTCGCTTCTCTTTCTTCTTAAGTGATGGTGGGTGTCAAACCAACAAAAATAAAAGATTCTACTCCTAACAAATTTAGTAGTATAGCAATGAGTAGAGTCGTCTCCTCAGGGAGCAAGGAAGTGAAAATATTTCTAATCAAAAGCAAAGTAACTAAATGGGAGAGATTTTGGATTTGTAACTAATGAATAACAAAAATAATTTGCAAGCAATAAAAGATACTTTTGGAAAATCAATAATAAGAGCAACTCTAGTCAAAGGAATAATTTCCACCTTGATGTATCCAACTGATCATTGATGCAAAGATTAACTCAACAAATGATGAATATATTAGTTTTCGTTGTTGGAACCTCCTAACAACTCAGTCTTTTTATTTAACTACCAGTGACTAAGAAACCTTCATTAATCACTCTATAGCCAAAAAACACTACCTGGAACCTCCTAGGATTCAGTTTTTGACAAGCAAAGACCCAATTCAATTTCTAACAAACAAACCTTATTTCATTAAAAATTAATTATCTATTCTCACAACACAAGTAAACTACTTACCAAGTAATTATTTGCATTGTCTCTTCTAAGGAACAAACAAACCTTGTTGTTCAATAAATTATATTATCTAGGAGAATTGAATGCTACCAGCTATTCAAATAATACCAAATAATCATCAATACACATCAAAGAGAATAAATAAATACTCAAAATTCGTTGGTGAAAAGCAAACAGTTAGATCTCACAATTGAATAACATCAAGGCTTCAATAAAATCCTTTAACTAGAAAAAAAAGGTTTAGTTGCTAATCATGGTGAAGTCAACAACACAAGAATTGATGTTTGACATTACAGAGCTAAAACTGACGAAAACGGAGAGAAATCCTTGTCCTGAGCTCCAGCTGTTGCTCCCTGTGTTGTGCCTCTTCACTTCTCTCAAAATAATAAGAAAAAGACTATTTATATGCAAATTTAGGGCATCCCCACGTTCAGCCCGTCCAAAAATCGCAGCAACCAATTACAATTTTCAGAATTTGTAAATTGGTCCTTGAAGTTAACCAAAATTACAAATTGACCCTAAAACTTTGGAAATTTTACACTTTAGTCCCTGTTTCAGCGTGCCCACGCGGGAATACAACATTGTTTCTGGAATTTCCTGCTTCCTTCATTGATTTTGGCATGGATTTTGTGTGCCCACGTGGGAATTAACCACTTCTTCTCTAACTTGAAACTTGATTCAATAAAACCTTCAAAATCTCTTCAAAATCAACACTTTTCTTCTTTTTGTTCCAAATCCTTCCTATGATCAAATTAAGAATCAAAACACTAATATTAGCATAGATAATATTCAAAACAACACATAAACCACCACAAATATCATGCTAATATTAACATTATCAAGTGTTATCTTCCAAATCTATGTATAAATCCAAACATGACATTGGATCTATACGGTTCATGAACTCTACATGCGAATCATTCTTTATCTTCACTACACGCCTACCACCGGGACTATCGAAAATCAAAAAAAGGTGGAGTTTCACGTGTGCTGGATCCCAACCAAGTGTCATACAAATCTTACTAATCAATCCCTCATATGAAAACCTTTCTTCGACAAACAAACCATCATCCGGCATATTCGAAAAAGTGTTGATACTACCGTTCTCTATCACATACTTATTTGTATGATACAAATTAAGCATGTATGATACATTATGTGCCATTGATAATTGTTAAAAAAAAACATCAATAACTAATCATTTCTTAATAACAAAATCAACAAATACACCATACATACTCCATTCATAATTCAAAAAACCTATAAAATACTAAAATACTTATAAATCAACTTCGATATCTCATGAACAACTATGATTTCTCATCTCTAACCTCAAAATTAATACCGAAAACATCCAAACAACCAACCAACATAAACCCTAATATATCATACATCATTCTAACAATCAAAATAACACAAAACTAAACTAAATAACATGGTTTTGCAATCTAACCTCTTTCAAATAACGATTTCCACGTATCTAGAGGCAAGAATGCATCAAAAACTCCAATTCGCCCTTGTTTGAGCTGCAAAAATAGAAAAGCCAACTCAGTTCTCGAATGAGAACCACCTGAAATTTTTTTTCTTTTATAGCACGTTAAACTCGGATTTAAGAAATCTGAGTTCGTGAGTAACTCGGATTTTTGAAATCCGAATTACATTAGTTTCGGATTTCATGAATCCGGATTTAGTCAATTCAGGATTATTTTATTCATTTTTTGGTCCTCCAATTTATGGCACATGCCTACTTCCACCAACCAAAATTAAAGGCAGCTGGATTTCCAAAATCCGAATTCATAAAACCAGATTACGGACTTCCGGTTTTTGGATTCAAAAATTTTGCGCCGTGATTTATTAATTTTTAATTAAAGTCGGATTTCGCAAATCCGTCCTTCACTGTTCATTTAAGAATTTTTAAAAAACTATTATTCAACAAAATTTATGTAATTATTATTTTATTATTAAATATAAACTCGGATTTGCAAAATCCGAATCTTTAATTTTAATCAGAACTCAGATTTGTGAAATCCGAGGAATATAGTTCTGTCCACAAATATTCTGAAAAATTTAAATTTGTCCACGTTTATTTTAATTAATTTTTTTTGGGAAAAAGCCCTGAAATTTGCATGCTTGAATGGTGTAAAATTGATATCTATCACACTTGACCTAAATTCGACAAATATTTAGGTGTTGAAGGGAAATTAAACGATAGAAGGGATTTGCCCAAAGTTCAAGTCGGAGCGGAATGGTGTTCCATTGACCAGGTCATGCAAGAAATGTGTACGTTGATATGGATGATACTGACCTTCTAGCTCCACAAATGAAATTAAAGATAGACTTCACACCCTTTTTTTTAATAGAAAATTGGATAGATCATTTGTTTTATTCTTTTACAAGAAAATAAAGATATTTTTTTGGAATGATTCTTATGTTTGTTTATATATTAGAAATATAAATAAGATTTGCTTTGAAATAATTTATAAAAAACTCTTGGAAATTAGAGAAAGAAGTTACCAAAGAAAAAAAAGAAAAGAAACTACAACCATACAAAATCATGCCAAAAAGGACCATTTCTATTTCGAATTATATTGAACGGTATCTCCACGTTAATGGCCGAGTGTTACAAATTACAATATAGTATTGTATTTATTTTTCATTTTCAATTCGTTCTATAGGAAAGGGAGGCGGAAGACCAATGCGTCAAATGGACGTCCTAAGTCAACCACAACTCCAAAGTAACTAAGGAGTGAGTTTATTTATTTTCCTGACAACATTTTTTTTTGCTTGATCTGGTACTTGGAAAGTCTTTTGGCCGGTGCAAACTGAAAACCTGCACAATTCAACACTTAATGTGTTGTTAGTGGGAGTCAAACTCTTGTTTTCCATGATTAATGCCAAGGCTCAAACCTATGTTTTCAAAATCGGAGCGGAAAGTGAACCGTTAGCGTGACCGGGTTGGTGGATTTATCGGGTTAATGGGTTAGTTTGTTCCTCGAAACCAGTAAAAATCGATTAAAATAATATCAAAAAAATATTTAGAAATTAAATTTTTAAGAAATATATGCAAAAACCGGTTCAACGATACCGATTTTTGGTCAAACTGCAGTTTTACCCGGGTTTGACCGAGTTTGACCGGATTATACAGAATCCGATTTTTTATGAAAACCGGACTGGTGAGGCTTCCGGTTCTCGGGTTAACTGCTTAGATTGTCCGGGCCGGTCCGGTTTTGAAAACACAGGCTCAAATCACTAGGTCACTGTCTTATTGGCGAAAAAGAAACTGTTGTGGAGTCTCTCCTAACAGTATTATCTCGTCCCATAGACCCCACTCATATGTAATGGACTAAGAGTTTATAATTGTCTAAAATAAAAAAGATAACTTTTTCCTTTTATTTTTATATTTTTTGGAGGCAAGTTTAATTAATGGTAATATTGAAAAGTCGCATCGTGGATTTTACTTCTGCGGACTTGTGAGTTGTGATTGCGTGAGTGCTCACTTATTAAGCAAAATCTTTTTAACTCTCCTACTCAAATAAAGTTTATGATGAGGTTTGTGTTGTTTAGTCCACATTATGCTTATGTAAAAATAACTGTTTGTACGATACGAGAATAGTTGAATATGAAGGGGTAGTCCGAATTAAACATGAGTTCTATGAAACGAACTTCACGGTAGATGTTTTTAATGATTTCTTTAACATTATAGTGACGGGGAGGTTTGCAATCTGTATTGAGTAAAATCTACATCATTGGGTCAAATCGTAATTAAAACACGATATTGTACGGGTTATACTCGAATAATGTGTTAGTCTAGTATTATCTGCTTTCATTACACTGGAGAAAGAAAACTTTTCTTTTCTCACAATCATTTTTTCTTCTTTTTTCTAAGTCACATTTATCTTTTGGACTGTTGTTTCCAAGTTTTCCAATAGACCATTCAAATGGAGGACGGTATTGATTGATTTGATTTCAGAGAGTGGAAAATGGTTTCTTTGCAGCTAAAAAATTCACAAAAAATGTACCAAAAATTAAAAAGTCTGATTAAAATATTGCAGACTTTGCATTCCATAAAATATCTACAAGCCTCAATAACAAGACATACTTTGTTAATTCGACAATATGCACCTAGATTTTCTTGTCCTTTTTAGCCAAAGTAATACTCGACTAAACGGGTTAAAAGTACTGAACTAACTCTTCAGCTGGTACTGCTAACGATAGTATGTATATACAAAGTAAAATTAGCTTCCTCTGTAGGAACTTTCTCATCCCAATTTTAATAATTCACTTTGTTATACTGTTGTTTTATTTAGTAAACTGAACTATTTAAATGAAATAAACGGGATATGAAGAGAACGTTTAGAAATTTTGTATCGAGTTATGGATTTTTTCTTTTTCTTTTTTTTTTTTGAAAAGGAGTTATTATGGAGTTGAATGGTAGATTTTATTCACTTTTCATCTTAAAAATAAAATTGTTTTGAAGTGAAGCTGAAACCACGCACATATCAGGTAGTTATCGGACATCACATGTTACGTTATGAACTTGATCTTATTTATTTATTTTTCTCGTACCAAAAAAAAGGAAAGGAATAAAGTCAAATATTTCATTTCCCATTTTATAAAAACAAAAATAGTGTGTCATTTCATGCTTTTTAATGTAAAACTAAAACAAAAATTATTCCAGATGTCAATTATAGAAAATGCAGAGAGATGCCATAGTACAGCTCCTTTGCGGCTGATTTTTTGGCTCCATTTCAACGTTTGGAATAAGATTTTATTATTTATTTATTTATTTATTTTTACTTTACGTTTTTATGATCCTCTACAAAATGTCATTCCATGGTTGGCATAGAACACGATATAGTCAATATCTCTAACCCAAGAAATGTGTTATATTCACGATTTAGACTTATCTCTTATTTGAACCAAAAAACGAGTTGCCATAGTACAGTACAGTTATTATTGGCTATATATATTACTAACACAAGTACTTATTCACCATCCAGTTTAATAGGTTCTATATTTTAAGACAATAAACTCAAAATTGCAACATTTTCAGTGCCAAAATCAGCCCGAAGAAATGAGAACTTGCTGGCCTTTCAAACATATTGTTCTTGTAGTATTTCTTGCTCTATCAATCTCATTCAGAACAGCAAATTCAGACCCTCAAACCACATTTTTAATTCAGGGATGCAGCCCGTACAATGCATCTGATTTCAAGGATTTCTTCAACAATCTTAATGCCAGTTTTGCTGATCTCAGAAACCAGATATCACAAGAGAAGAAGCATTTTGCTACCACAAGCCATCCTGTTTATTCCCTGTTTCAATGCAGGAATTACCTTTCCAACGCTGATTGTGCTTCTTGTTACAAAACTGCTGTTTCCCAGATCAGAAATTGCTCTAAAGCTAATGGAGCTCGTGTTCTGTTTGATGGCTGCTACTTAAGGTAAACTTCCATTTCATTCTGATGATCATGAGCTGCTGCATACTATAATGCAGCTTCTAGAAAAAAGGGTCTTCCGATAATGGAATCTGAATGTTGTTTAATGTATTTAATCAACAACGTTTGTCCTGTTTTAGGTACGAGAGTTCAATTTTCTATGAAGAGGCCGCTCCTCAAGAAGGATATGGTGAGATATGCAGCAGTACAAATGCTTCACAGCCAACTAATTTTCAAACTCAGGCTGCGGGTCTGTTACAGGATCTAAAACTTGCGACGCCGCGAATTAATGGATTCTTCGCTGCTTCGAAGAGGCAACTGAGCAATGGTAAAGATGCAGTTTATGCAATGGCTCAATGCGCGGAGACACTAAGCCCGAGTGGCTGTCAAGACTGTTTGAATGTGACATATAGCAATATAAATGGCTGTTTACCCAAGGAAGATGGAAGAGCTTATGATGCAGGCTGTTTTATGAGGTATTCAGCGACTCCTTTTTTTGCTGATAACCAGACAACCAACATCATTCCTTATCTAAATGAAGGTGAGATGTCTTGTCTTTTTTCCATTAATGATTCTGTGTTTTGGGCAATATATCCACATTTGTAGTATTTCCGTTCTGCTTTATAATCTGACAATAACTGCATCTTCTCAGGAAACACAAAGAAAAAGAAAGCGATTATTGGTGGAGTTGTTGGTGGTGCTGGCCTTGTCCTTGTTATCATACTTGCTTCATTTTTTTGGTATCAACTAAACCGAAAACCAAAGGAAGTTCAGAAAGGTTAGTATGGCTTTTGTTTCATGGTGTTTTTGTTCTGTTAATTGATCAATCAGAAGTGGATGGTTTATATTTCGAAGTATACAACATTAAACATTTTTATTTTCTGACCAAATTTCACACCATAGAGTTCTTGTTATCCTCTGATATATATACCAGGTAAAATCCTGGGAGCAACAGAACTGCAAGGTCCATTAGTCTACAGTTACAGAGTTCTGAAATCTGCAACTAAAGACTTCAATGAAGAAAATAAACTTGGAGAAGGCGGTTTCGGTGAGGTGTACAAGGTAATGTATCCATTTCTTTAGTACAATTCTTAATTCGATAGTTTTCTCTTTAGAAGTGTTTTCTGAATACCTGTTTCCTGTCCTGAATTAATCAATCACGACGAACAACACAGGGCGCGTTGAGTAATGGTAACGTTGTTGCCGTGAAGAAGCTTAGCCTAAGTTCAGACAGGGTAAAAGCAGAGTTCGAGAATGAAGTCAGACTTATTAGTAATGTTCACCATCGGAATCTTGTGCGCTTATTAGGTTGTGCTGACAAAGGGGCTGATCTGCTCCTTGTCTATGAATACATGGCAAACGGAAGCTTAGATAGATATTTATACGGTAATGTTATCTTTATCTTTCAAAATATATATTCTTCTTTCACTTCTACTCTTGCATTAATGATATCCGGGAATACCTTCATGTTCATGTTGACAGGGGAGAAAAGAGGACTTCTCAATTGGACGCAGCGGCTCAACATAATATTTGGCACGGCTAGGGGTCTCGCTTATCTGCACGAACAATTCCATGTTTGCATTATTCATCGTGACATAAAATCGGGCAATATCTTACTAGATGATGATTTTCAGCCAAAGATTGCTGATTTTGGATTGGCAAAGCTTTTGCCTCAAGACCGGAGTCATTTGAACACTAGATTTGCTGGTACCTTGTAAGTAAAATTCATCATCATACGCTTTTGAATCTGTCCATTCATTAGATTGGAATAAATTTTAGTAGTACTTCATTCATCTAAAATCACCAGACAGAGAAAATTGACAATGCTCAAAAGCCATATATGAGTTAATCTTACTAAACCTAAGTAACTGCATTCATTTCCAGGGGTTACACAGCACCAGAATATGCAAAAAAGGGACATTTGACAGAGAAAGTTGACACTTACAGTTTTGGAATTGTAGTCCTTGAAATAATCAGTGGCAGAAGATTCAACATGAAAGTTGAGCCTGACAGTGCATACCTTCTTGAGCAGGTATATCTCATTGCCAAAATTTATCTCGTTTTTCGCTATAAATTAGGTTTACGATTTCCATTGTGATAACAGGCATGCAAGTTGTATGAGATCGGCGCGCATCTACAGTTGGTGGATGAGACAATGGGCCCTCACGAGTACAATGCTGACGAAGTGAAGAACGTCATAGAGATCGCGATGATCTGCACTCAGCCGCAACCTTCTGACAGGCCTACCATGTCCGAGGTAGTTGTCATGCTGTCAAGTGATCACTCAATCGAGCAGCGCCGCCTTTCTCCTGATAGTATGATCGATATTGAAAGGAAGTTCACACCAGAAACCTTGCCATCAAACTCTAATGCCACAGCCTCTTTCACTGATTTCACTGGTCGATAGATGTTGTTTCCAATCTTCAGTTACAACAAGATTAATTACTCTTGTTCTTCTTTCAATGATATACAATAAATGTGAAATGATGGAGCAACATTAGTTAGAATGGTGTGCAAGGCTTAGATTGTATTAATGCATGAAAAGCCTAATTCTGTACTGCTTCCTTTCTGAGTTGTGGCAAAATTATGCCTTTTGAAGCAATCATCTTACAAAGATCAGTATCCTATAGTAATAAATCTGTTGGGAGTTTTGATAATGTGGACTTCTAGTCTTTTTTTTTTCTCTCTAAAAATATTGGTATTGTAGTATCGAGGATACAACAATGGCATTATGACTAACTTTTTTTTTTATCACAAGTTTCTTTTATACTAGTACTTAATGATTAAAATGATTGGATATACATTTTGTGTTGAAGTGTGTTGGATAGCAAATTATTTGTGTCCTATAAATTGATTAAGAGATGTTTTTAAACTACAACTAAGCAATAAAATTAAATTTAATATAATATTTGTCTTAATTGTTTAATAAATTTAGCATTTCTAACTCGTCAAAGTACTAATTTTTATCAAACAATGTAGACATCATCAATAGATAAACCACAAACTAGGTTATTTCTAATATCCTAATGATCAAAACCAAAAAAACTTGACCGATAATTTGTTTGAGCGTTCAGTCTTTCTTCACTAGAAAATGCAGACAGATAGTTTTCGCCAAAATTTGCCCAATTCATCTTCACATCCGCAAATGCACACCTAAGCTTTGAAAATCGATTTTATTATATCATTTGCTAATCTGAAGATGTAAATTAGGTTCCTGTATCATTATTTGCAGTGTATTCAGATTCAATTAAAGGCTAATCTTATTAACAAAATACAATTTAATCACCATAGTCTAATAATGCCGCCGCTAAACAACCATATAGATCTATTTACGTTCAACATTATTCTTTGTTTTTAGCCTCACCCTTTGTACATAATTGTTTCCATTATCAGTTAATCCTGTCTTGCATGCTTAGTTGCTCACCGGCCGGGCTGGAGTTCATCATCCTTCTTCTCGTCATTCAATAATTTATATTCAAAGGTCCAAATTTGTTAGTGTCTGTATTCTTTTTTAACTTTTTTTTAATAAAAAAAATTAGAGTACATAGCAAAACTCGAACCACTAATAACATGATAATAATAATAATAGTAATAATTACCTTCAACCTTAGCGTTTCTCTGTTCAATTTCCATGATTCTCTTGACATTTCTACTACTATGATACTATCAGTTATGAATTGACAGAGCATGTGTCGTGGAGGGTGGGCTATTGATTTTGACTTGGAAAAATGACTTTTTACACACTCTGGTGGTTGACTTTAAGTCTTCAGGAGAACACGTTCACTTGATGGATTTTGTTTGTATATTTCTATGTCCAACACAATCGTTTACTTGAAAGTATTCGAGTGTCCAAAGTAGTCATCAGTTTTAGTCTCGTTACTTGAGTTTATTATACGTCTTAAAAAAACAGTTCACTTTCTGGGACGACAATAAAGGGAGTACTTCTTAGGCAATCAGAAGATTATTATAAAACTCACAAGTGTACAATATTTTTCAGATAATCCACTCTCTGGGACGACAATAAAAGGAGTACTTCTTAGGCAATGGTTATGGTGGTGGCATTTCTTGCTGTATCAATAATAACATTTGAATCAGCCAATTCAGACCCCCAAACCAATTTGCTAGACAAGGGTTGCAATCAGTACACTCCAAATAATGTCACGGAATTCTACAGCAATCTTAATGCCAGTTTTGCTGATCTTAGAAACCAGATATCAAAAGATAATCAGCATTTTGGCACAGCACAGAGAGTGTGGACTTCCGACACGGTTTACGCCATGGTTCAATGCAGGAATTACCTTTCTACTGCTGATTGTGTTTCTTGTTTCAATTCTGCTGTTTCCCAGATCCGGGAATGCTATCCTTTTGAAGGAGCTCATGTTACATATGATGGTTGCTTCCTCAGGTATATCCAACATTTGTCTAAACACATACATGCATCCTCTGCTTTTACCATCTTCTTATACTCCCTCCCTCCCTCCCAAAATTATTATCGAGTTTTGATTTTTAGTTTTAGTTCAAATTGTACTAAAAGTGAAATCCAAACTGGATAATAATTTTGTTACAGTGGGAGTAACAATTTTTCTTATCCCTCTTCATTGTAATGATAAGAATTGGTTTGGGGTCCTGATTGATCATGACCAAGCTACCTTACTAAAATTCGGCTTCGTTATCCCTTTTCTTTTTCAGAATTGAATCTCTTTAATCTTACAGCCTCTAATGATCGATATTAAAAGTTCTGTAGGCTCTTAATCAACAAATTGTGCTGCTTTTTTTTTCTTAGGAGGGAGGCTTCATCATTCTATGACCAGACTGTACTTCTTCCAGGAAACAATCAGGTTTGTGGCGCTCAAACAGCACCACAGCCAACTAGTTTTCAAACCCAGGCTGAAGCTTTGTTGCAGGATCTCAAACTCGCGACGCCGCGAATTAAGGGATTCTTTGCTGCATCAAAAAGGCAATTGAGCAATGGTGGTGGTGATGCAGTTTACGTGGTGTCTCAATGCACGGAAACAGTCCGGCCAAGCGATTGTGAAAACTGCTTGAAGTTGGCATATGGTAATTTACTTGGCTGTTTACCGAAAACAGACGGAAGAGCTTTTGATGTAGGATGTTTTATGAGGTATTCAACAACTGCTTTTTATGCTGATAATCAGACAACCAACATCAATCCTTATCTAGGAGCCGGAGGAGGTGAGAGATAAAACACTTGTGAGCACTTGTAGTTTCATTTATACTTTCTGATATGAAAATTATTGCTTCTTCTCAGAAAGCTCAAACAAAAGGAAAAAAGCAATTATTCTTGGAGCACTTGTTGGCGTTGGCCTTCTGCTACTTATACTTGCTTTATTGTTATGGTGTCAACTCTTCAGAAACCCGAAGAAATTTGAGAAAAGTAAGATAGACAGCTTGTATTGTACCACTCTCTCTTTCTATCAATGTAGCTGATACTCTTAATTGATGCCAAAGTCATATGACTCAAATCATTATTTTTCTGGTCTACCAGGTAATATCTTTGGCACAACAGAAATACGGGGTCCTATAACATATGATTATAAGGTTCTAAAATACGCAACTAGAGATTTCAATGAAGAAAATAAACTTGGCGAAGGCGGTTTTAGTGAGGTGTACAAGGTATTGTAGCCTATTCCGCATTCATTTTGGGCTTTTCCTATCTTGCGATTCTCAAATGAAACTTTCATGTGTATATAATTCCTTTTGTTTTGGTCTCCGGATGCATCATTTGATTGCTGACATTGCAGGCAACAATGAGAAATGGTAAGGTGGTTGCAGTCAAGAAGCTGAACATAACTTCTGGAAGGGCAAAAGCAGAGTTTGAGAGTGAAGTCAGACTTATTAGTAATGTTCACCATCGGAATCTTGTGCGCCTACTAGGATATGCTAGCAAAGGAGCAGACCTGCTCCTTGTTTATGAATACATGGCAAAGGGAAGCTTAGACAGATTTTTATATGGTATGCATTTTTATATTAAAGAAGATCTGCTCCTTTAATCTGTCTAAGCTTAGACATATTCTGTAGTAGTTTTATTATTGCATTTATCAATCATATTATCACTTCCTATAGTAATCTCAGACCATGGAATTTTGCGGATATTCATATTGACAGGAGAGAAAAGAGGACATCTCGATTGGAAGAAGCGGTTTAACATCATAATTGGCATAGCTAAGGGACTTGCGTATTTACATCAACAGTATCATGTTTGCATCATTCATCGGGATATTAAGTCCAGTAATATCTTACTAGATGATGATTTTCACCCGAAGATTGCTGATTTTGGATTGGCAAAGCATTTGCCTGGAGATCGGAGTCATTTAAGCACTGGATTTGCTGGTACCTTGTATGTAAAATCAATTCAAGCCTTTCAACAACTATGCAGATATCATGAAAGCATTGATCAATTATACATATAAAATGCTCAGGCCCTTTAATGAATCCCAAGTTCTTAAGACTACCTCCAAGCAAAACCACTAGCTGAGTTGAATCTTTTTTAATTTTTATTTTATTATTATTATTATTATTTTTTTTGGGGGAAAGATAACCTTAATAGACAATTGCTCCTACAAGTGGTTATAATCTTGCAACATTGAGCAACTGCTTTTGTGATCACAGGGGATATGTAGCACCAGAATATGCAGTTCATGGACATTTGTCTGAGAAAGTTGACACCTATGGATTTGGCATTGTGATCCTTGAAATAATCAGCAGCCGAAGAAGCAATAACACGACAGTTGCACCTGTCAGCGAGTCACTTCTCGAGCAGGTAGCTAAAGTTCAACCGGAATTCATCATGTTATCTGTAGTTTAGCTTCTATGGCATTGCTCATTTTCATGGTGGTAACAGGCGTGGAAGCTGTATGAGACCAAATCGCACCTACAGTTGGTGGATGAATCTTTAGACCTTAATGACTACAATACTGCAGAAGTGAAAAAGGCCATAGAAATCGCTTTGATCTGCACTCAATCACAACCTTCTGAGAGGCCTTCCATGTCCGAGGTAGTTATCATGCTTTCAGGTGATCACTCAATCGAAGAGTGTCGCCGCTCTAACAGTAACATCAGCTCTGACACAAAATTCTAAAAGGGGAGAGACACATTGTCATTAAATTCAATGAGCTTAAATTTTCTCTGTAATTTCATGGACATAGCACTTGTTTTTAGATAATACAAATCCAATAATGACAACAAAAGTACCTACCTCTATCATTACCAACTCCTGAACTAAGGACATTTGCATCAAACTAGTTAGAGCTTCTATGTAATTACGTAATTGGAAAAATGGGTCTTTTCATCCCAAAGTTTGGGTCATACCATCCAAAATATCCCAAGGTTTAAGAACATGTCATTTACATCCCAAACTTTTTAAAAACATGTTACATTAGATATTCGTTAAATTTTTAAGTCCAGTTAATTAATTAATGGTGGTACTTTATTCTGTTTCTCTTCCCCCAATTCTTTAATCATTTAACACGTTCCACTAACTCTCACTTTATAAGAAAATAGCTAAACCTAATTTGGTCTTCACATCATCAATTCTTCCCTTGCTTAGAAAAAGAAAAAAAAAAAATCGAAGATTCACCTTCTAGATTGATAACAATCATGAGAGGTTTTGTGTGTGTCCTAATTAGAAAGTAAGCCCTATTTCATTTATTTTTTTAAATATGTAGCATCATTGTAAAAATTAGTGTTGTAATTGATGCAGGGGCATGCAACTTTTTTGCTTGGCATGGACCAAATTTACCAAACGCAAGCATGAAACTTTTTTGACTAAAAAAAATGGGGGAAAAGAAACGAATAAAATATCGCCGTTAAAAACTTGAAAACATTAACAAATGTCCTAATATTACATTTTTTTGAAAATTTTGGGATGAAAATGGCGTGATTTTAAACTTTGGGATATTTAGATGGTGTGGCTTAAACCTTGGGATGAAAAGGCCCATTCTCCCTTACGTAATTTTGTTTATTTACGTAAATAGTTTTAAGTTTATTTAAGTTTTTTTTAATAACTTTTTTAGTTTTTTAATTACATAAATTTTGTTTTTAGAATCAACTCAAACAAAAATAATTAAATTGAAAATTTTAATTAATTGCAAATACTACCCATGACAAACTATACATTATAAGTAATTCACGAAAAATATTTCTTAAATTTTTTACAAAAAATAATAAATAACTAAATAAATTTCAACTAATTCAACCAAATGATATACTATAATTTTAAAATAAATAAATAAATTTGAAATAAATAATTACATAAAATTTAATACTTAAAATGATATACTATAATTTTTAAATAAAAATAATTATTTTAAAATTAATAATTTTAATTAGTTAAACCATAAGTTACAACTATTTCAAACTAAATATACAAAATATAGTGATTAACCAATTAAGTTTCAACTTATTTAACTAAAACAAAATATCAACTAAACTATAATTGAAACAATTAATCTTTCAAATAAATAATTAAATTAATAAAAAATAATGATCAATAATTAAAAAAATTGAAAACTGGCGATCGGGCAAGATATCCACCCGGTCACGGATGAAACGAACAGAAAATTTGACCCGGGTGGCAAAAAAAAGGGCGGTAAGAAACGGACGATTCGTCCGTTCAAGACCCGAAAAGATCGGGTAAATTGTTCAACCAACTGGTTGTTGACCAGTTCAGCCCGGTTTTCAACTTGTTCTGCCCATAATGGCCCATTTGATCGGGCGATTTACCCATCCCATCTCCGACTTGCCCGTTTGCAATTGAACCGGTCGGATTTTATCTTGCCCGATCAGACCGGTTTTTTCAATTTTATTTTTCTTACCACAGAATCGTCATTCTCTCTCTCTCTCTCTCTCTCTCTCTCTCTCTCTCTCTCTCATTCAATTGTACCTCGAAAAAATGACAAGGACAAATGGCCAACTGGTGGCCGACAGAAGTATAAATGGTCGCTTGAAATACACAAAATTCGTTCAAATTAATCTTCCAAAAATCAATCCTCTTTTCATGACATCAATTTTATGAATTTTTTTTCCTTAAATATATGTAAAAAAAAAAACCTAGACAAAAATAAAACTTTTTAAAACCTTGTGGACAAATTTATATGCCCCGGATTTAGGAAATCCGAATGGGGGAAAAACTCGGATTTCGGAAATCCGACCCCAACTAAACTCGGATTATTAAAATCCGACTTTGTATTACGTAAATCTGAAATTAAGTTAATGACAAAAATTAGTGTAATTAATCTAAATCCGGATTTTATAAATCCGATTTTATGAATAAAATATTAATTTCCGGATACTATAAAAAGAATGTGTTGAAAAATTAAATTCGGGCAGAACTCGGATTACCGAAATCCGAATCTGCTCTGTTTTCTGAAAAATGGTGACTCCCAGTTGGTTGATCTCTAAACGGTGGAGTGCTGCTCCTTGGGGCGTCGCCGTACGTGTACCTACATTCCCACCTTAATAAACAAAGGGGTACATTTGAATTAGTGAAATAAATGAATAAGAAACAAATAGAATTAAACGTTGAGTTATTTTGAACTGAAAATACGTACCGCTGAGCTAATGGAGCGGTCTCATCAAGCAAATAATCTACTCCTTTTCTTTGGGGCGCGATCCTCTCGATCCGCTCATACGCCCATACCTAGTAAATTGCAATAATAATGTAGAAACTTCAAATTATAACGTCGAAAGCGCAAAATAATTAAAGCACAATATGAAAACTAATACGTACCTGTAGCAAATATAGACACCCAGTGGCGTCGTGCATGGTATACTGTGATGCCTCGCATAGGCCAGAGTACAACCCAGCCAGCAGTGCCGATCCCCAACTGTATCGACTACACTGATCCAAATCCTCAACCTGGGCCAAGAACTGTAGATTGACAGTGTTCTGCGTCTTGTTCGGAAACATGAAACTGCTAATAAAATGCAGTATAAGTGTCCTGGCCCTTTGCTCGAATCGATGGACAGTGGAATTTGAAGGTAGTGCACGGCCCATCTCATCTTCGAAAATACCAACATTGACACATTGGCCATTTACAATCGCCGGCCGGAATCCCAAATAAGCCTCACATCGATCCCTCCATTCATCTGCAGTCCGGCTAACTGTCGTGCCGTACACCGGGTCACCATCCACCCGAATACCAAACAGGACCTCGACGTCCTGTAGCGTCACCGTCGCCTCTCCGAAATTAAAATGGAAAGTGTGGGTTTCTGGCCTCCACCGTTCCACCAACGCGGTAATGAGGCCTAGATCAACTCTTTTGTACCCTACCTTCATGATCCCCTCAAAACCGGCTCTCCTAATGACTTCCTTAACCTCCGGGGCCGTATTTTTATATAACGCCCAAAAATCGCTGTCGTACCTACGGCCCTTGAGGCGGAATGTCTTAATGTCCGGTATCCTGTTCTCATAGACAGCTTGGGACCTATGCTTTGTTTGACGATATAGCATTTTATCTTGTATAGGTCCCGGGTGAAGATGTTTAGGTTGATAGTCATATTGGGAGCCCGATGCCGGCGTCGCCATTTCAATCCTACACAAGGTAACCAAAAAAAAACAAATCAACCAAACCATAAACATTCGGCCAAATAAACAAGACTACCAAACCATATACATTTGGCCAAATAACAAAACTACCAAACGATGTACACTCGGTCAAAAAAAACAAATCAACCAAACTTCAAATTATTCGGCCAAATAAACAAGACTACCAAACTATATATATTCGGCCAAATAACAAATCAACCAAACGATGTACACTCGGCCAAAAAAACAAATCAACCAAACTTCAAATTATTCGGCCAAATAAACAAGACTACCAAACTATATACATTCGGCCAAATAACAAATCAACCAAACGATGTACACTCGGCCAAAAAAACAAATCAACCAAACTTCAAATTATTCGGCCAAATAAACAAGACTACCAAACTATAAGCAATTCACAATAGACACAATTTAAATTCAACACAAACACTATATCAACACAAACCAACCACAATTCAAAAAAAAAAAGGACTCGGATTTCACAAAGAAAAAAAAATTTTGACAAAAAAAAAATAAAGAGAGGATCGCGAATTTCAAACTTACAGTGAGGAATGGAGGAAGTCGGGAGGAGTGGAGGAAGTCGCCGGAGGTGGAAAGTCTCGGAGGGAGTCGCCGGATTGCAAGGAGTCGCCGGAGGTGGAGAGTATTTGAGGAGACACGCCGGATTGACCAGAGGGAGGAGAGTCGCCGGAAATGGAGTCGCCGGAGAGTGGTGGGAGTCGCCGGAAATTGGAGGTCGTGGAGGGAGTCGCCGGATTGAGTGGTGGGAGTAGCCGGATTTTTGTTTAATTGGAGTTTAGTTTTAGGGTTTTTTAATTTTGGAATTGGGGGAAAAATGGGAAGGGAAGAGTTGACGGAACAATATATAGTCCCGTCAAACTCGGATTTGCTAAATCCGAGTCTTCCCTATTTCCCTCAAATTTCAACTCTCGGATGGTTTCACAAACACGGATTTCTGAAATCCGAGTCCTTTGCAAATTAGAAATAAACTCTGAGTTCGGATTAGCGAAATCCGAGTTAGTACTGTTTCTTCTCAAATTTCAACTCTCGGATGCTTTTCACAAACACGGATTTCATAAATCCGAGTTCTTAGTAAATTCGAGAAAGCCTCTGAGCTCGGATTTACAAAATCCGAATTTGCCCTGTTTCTCCTCAAATTGCAACTCTCGGATGCTTTTCACAAACACGGATTTCATAAATCCGAGTTCTTAGTAAATTCGAGAAAGTCTCTGAGCTCGGATTTACAAAATCCGAATTTGCCCTGTTTCTCCTCAAATTGCAACTCTCGGATGCTTTTCACAAACACGGATTTCATAAATCCGAGTTCTTAGTAAATTCGAGAAAGTCTCTGAGCTCGGATTTAGGAAATCCGAATCTCCCCTGTTTCTTCTCAAATTGCAACTCTCGGATGCTTTTCACAAACACGGATTTCATAAATCCGAGTTCTTAGTAAATTCGAGAAAGTCTCTGAGCTCGGATTTACAAAATCTGAATTTGCCCTGTTTCTCCTCAAATTGCAACTCTCGGATGCTTTTCACAAACACGGATTTCATAAATCCGAGTTCTTAGTAAATTCGAGAAAATCTCTGAGCTCGGATTTAGGAAATCTGAATCTCCCCTGTTTCTCCTCAAATTGCAACTCTCGGATACTTTTCACCCAATCGGATTTCTGAAATCCGAGTCCTTTGCAATTTCAAAAAAAAACTCTGAGCTCGGATTTCTAAAATCCGAATTCTTCACAAAACCTTACAATGATGAGTATTTTGCACAATCCGATTTTGATTATAAAAAATAGTACATATTTCATCACACTTTACAATCCGAAAAATTCAAGTTCACATTACAATCCGAATTTATCAATGTTCACATAAATTTATCAAACACTAAATAACTTGCAAGAACAGTAAATTACACTCAATTCCATTTGTCATTCACAGTGTCTTCTATCTACTCCTGGTGCGAGAACGGACATGAATTGGCATCATGACCTAGTTGTCCACATCTCCAACATTCCCCCCGGCTCCGGCGTCCCCTGTAATCCATTTGCATTCTATGTCTCCTTTTTTGTCTTCGTCCCGGTCCCGCATGCAACACAAGACGCTCATAATTCGGAATGATGTTCCAATTGACCATCGGCCATTGTTCCTCATCGGGAACCGGAACAAAGCCCGTGTAATGAAATTGTCTGCGCCACGTTGGAAGGCGCCACACACTATGGTATAGATCAATAGGCCGATCCCCTTTTCTCCGACAAACTTGGAGTGCATGCGTACAAGGCATCCGGTACTCTTGCCACTTCCTGCACGAACACCTATGTTCATCGTAGTTCACCGTATACAGAGACCCACCCCTGCCACTTAGGCGTGTGGCAGTAACAACACGCCACATAGCATCATCACCATCGAAAGGGGTGGCTTCAAAACTGGCTGCTTTATCATTCATTTTCTCGTATTTTTTCCATAACTCAGGAGGGATCGGTGTCATGCAATTTCTCGCAGACAATTATTCTTCTCTATAGAATTTAACAGTTTTACGAAAGGTTGCATCGATCAAGGCTCTAATTGGTAAAAAACGGATCCCTTTCAACGCATTGTTGTAACTCTCAGAAATGTTGGTTGTCGCTATGCCCCAACGGCGAAGACCGGCTTTCAATCGAGCCCAGTTACTCCCCCCAATCCCTCGAAGATACTCCCATGCAGCAGGTTTGAATTCAATAAGCTCTGCCCTCATACGGTTGTATTTCACTCTTGAAAGTGTCGTGCCCATCTTCCAACATAACCGCTTCACCTTTTTGCTATTATATCGCGACACAAGATTGCTGCGAACGTGGCGGAGGCAAAGAAAGTGCCCACCATCACCTAAATCACGCCATTCATCCATCTGTGACATTGCGCTCAACAACCCTGCATTCCGGTCGGATATCACACTTACGATTCTATCATACACAACCCACAACCTCAAATTCCTCATAAAAAATGTCCAACTCTCTACTGTCTCCTCATCAACAATCGCAAATGCAACCGGTAAAATGTGCTTGTTTGCGGTATACACCACCGCAACAAGCAATTTACCCTTGTATCCACCACGCAAAAAGGTTCCATCGATACAAATGACCGGTGGACATTCAAAAAACGTCTCAGCCACCGGTGCAAATGACCAGAAGACGTATTTAAATGTCCGGTTTCCCCTGTTCCAACCTTCTTGTCCCTCCTTCCATTCCCACTCTACTACAGTCTCAGGATTAGTAAACTTAAGTGCAGCGATATACCTAAACAATAACAAGTCATTGTTAAAATATTTCAATACATGTAAAAATAAAAATACTATAAATATTTCAATACACGGATAAAAGTTGATATTTACCGTGGAAGTTCTTCGAAATTGGAGGTCCAATCACCATAAACCGCTTCTATGGCTTTCCTCCTCCCGTGCCACGCCCTTTTGTATGGCACATCTACTTTCAATAAGGTCTTCACATCTTTCTGTGCCGAGGCTACCGTATAATCTACGTTGTCCTCAACCTTTCTCCTGATGAGTCTAGCAATCAAAGACGCGTCCACACACCGATTGTCATTATCATTCACAGGAGTCATGCAATTATGTGCATCATGCCATCTCACAATTTCATGAAGGCCGTGAGCTTTCAATGACACACGCATCTTCCACTCACATGATGGTTCACCATCCTCACTTTCCACATTAAATGTTCTGCACCGCACAGCCCACGTCCTTGGACTACTCGCGACGACCGTATATTCCCTTTTATGATGGATATTCCATAATTTCACAGCATGCTTTGCTTCTGATTGAGATTTGAAACAAACACCAATGTCCATTCCTTCGGGCGTCTCATCCCACATCTTAAGAGCAAACTCATCCTTGTCTACACATGAGGCATCCCAGTTTCCCATCTTACTATATACATGGCGTCGGGCGAATAGATTACAATCCCTTTCCTCATTTTCCAACCTTTCATCATCACTTTCTTCAAAATTACTCTCTCCGGAGACATCACAGTCTTCTTCGCTTTCACTTGGAGCTATGTAGTCGGAATCCAACTCTTCCCGGTAGTCATTTTGTGCAAATAAAGGTGTCTCCTCTTCATCACGGTTTCGAGAAGTACTAGCACGTTCCCCCCTTTGAAAATCACCAAATGACACGTTTTCCAAACTCGCTTCTCTTTCTTCTTGAGTGATATCTTCCAAATCTATGTATAAATCCAAACATGACATTGGATCTACACGGTTCATGAACTCTACATGCGAATCATTCTTGATCTTCACTACACGCCTACCACCGGGACTATCGAAAATCAAAGAAAGGTGGAGTTTCACGTGTGCTGCATCCCAACCAAGGGTCATACAAATCTTACTAATCAATCCCTCATATGACAACCTTTCTTCGACAAACAAACCATCATCCGGCATATTCGAAAAAGTGTTGATGCTACCGTTCTCTATCACATACTTACCGGTATGATACAAATTAAGCATGTATGATACATTACGTGCTATTGATAACATTAAAAAAACATCAATAACTAATCATTTCTTAATAACAAAATCAACAAAATACACCATACATTCTCTAAAATACACCATACACCATACACCATACATACTCCAACAAATACACCATTCTAAAATACTTATAAATCAACTTCGATATCTCATGAACTATGATTTCTCATCTCTAACCTCAAAATCAACACCTAAAACATCCAAACAACCAACCAACATAAACCCTAATCTATCATACATCATTCTAACAATCAAAATAACACAAAAATAAACTAAATAACATGGTTTTGCAATCTAACCTCTTTCAAATAACGATTTCCACGTATCTAGAGGCAAGAATGCATCAAAAACTTCAATTCGCCCTTGTTTGAGCTGCAAAAACAGAAAATCCAACTCAGTTCTCGAATGAGAACTGCCTGAAATTTTTTTTCTTTTATAGCACGTTAAACTCGGATTTACGAAATCCGAGTCCGTAAGTAACTCGGATTTTCGAAATCCGAACTGTGTTAGATTCGGATTTCCTAAATCCGAGTTTAGTCAATTCAGGATTATTTTATTAATTTGTTGGTCCTCCAATTTAAGGCACATGCCTACTTCCACCAACCAAAATTAAAGGCATCCGGATTTCTAAAATACGAATTCGTCAAACCGGATTACGGACTTCCGGTTTTTTGGGTTCAAAAATTTCGCGCCGCGATTTATTAATTTTTAACTAAACTCGGATTCTACAAATCCGAGCTTTACTATTCACTAAAGAACTAAAAAAACTATTATTCAACAAAATTTATGAAATTATTATTTTATTATTAAGTATGGATTCGGATTTACAAAATCCGAATCTCTAATATTAATCAACACTCGGATTTCAGAAATCCGAGCAATATATTTCTGTCCACAGATATTCTGAAAAATTTAATTTTGTCCACGTTTATTTTATTTAATTTTTTTTGGGAAAAAGCCCTCAATTTTATTACTTCAGAAATTCATTTACCGAAAAAATGAAACTGAATTTGTAAAATACATACAAATCCCTAGGATCCATAATTGAAACGAGAAACGAGGGACGATGTATAAAGATCTAAATGGCAAGATCATTCCAACTTATCATTACAAGGTTTATTACAAGGTTTATTTCAAATCTTTCATTGTACAAAACTAGCCATCAAGAAAGTAATATTTTACCTTCATATAAAAATACAGCTAAATAACTCTTATTTTAAAAATTTTCTTTTGTCACATAATTATTTTTTTTATAATACTCTTGGAGAATGGTCAAATCAACCATGAACATGATATCTTTCTTACCTGCTGAGGTGTGAGTCCAAGTCTTAATGAAGGTTTATTACACAGTATCTTGCAATTACGTGCAGACTTTAGTCATTAGTGACATGACAATATCAACAGTATTTCCTATTATAATACAAACACAAGTTGCAAAAACTTTTGTCGTGAAAAATCAAATCAGTAGCTTAGGCCTTAGCGTGAGATACTACAACAGGAAAATTATCATTTTTAGAGAATCTGGGTCCATACCTTTTTTCGACCTTGTCAATCAAAAAGGATAGGCAAAATGTTTATTTTTATTGGGAAATGTTGGACTGGCCTGAACAAGAGGGTTTTGAATGATTGATTATTGGATACGTATTAATGAATTAAATATTAGCTAAAACACTTGCATGTGACAATGTGAGTTGTGAGATACTGAGATATGGAGTAATTGGGTTATATGTAACAACACCCAATAAACCCAGCTTGTTCGCTTCCATTTAGAAAATATAGCAGTCCTATTTTATAAAAATAAATAAAGTTATTTAACTTGTAATTGGAGTAAGACAGGAGTAGAATGGGAAACAATCATAGTGGGATAAGATGCCTTTTGAGCTGTAGAATGGGGAACATTAATCATAGTGGGATAATATGCCTTTTGAGCTGTAATCATTAGCTAATCATTTGTTTTAAAATAATTAAAAAATACACTAAATTATTCCTGTAGCTGGCTGCTCCAAATGAAATTATAATCTTAGAGAAAAGAAAATGCATTTTTATCGGGAAATACAAATGAAGTAGGGGTTATATAATACCCTTATACTAAAAAAAAGAAATGCTCCTATAAACTTCAAGTTACAATTTTTTTATTTTTTATAGTTCACAATGAGCGTCATTGTTTTTTTTTTTAAAAATAGCATACTCTATCTGTCCAAATCAAAAAGATCGTATATTATCGTATCTCACCTACTTACTTGATCAGATAACTTATTTCATCATCATTTACAGGTTTCCACTTCTTCACCATCATATAATTGCCCTATGCAACTAGCTTTTGCAACCTTGAAGAAGCAATATTTCATTATTTTGTGTGCTTTTTATTTCTGTACTGATCCATTATAACTTTCTTCTTGTTCAAACCCACTAAACAAAAAACAGTAAGCACTTATTGAAAGAGATCATGGGAAGCCTAAAGATTGAAATCATAACCAAGAAGCTAATCAAACCATCCAAACCAACTCCAAAACATCTCCACAAACTCAGCCTCTCTTTGTTTGATCAAGTTGCTCCAAAAGTATACGTCGACATCATTTTCTACTATTCCGGCGATACTAATCAAACTTATAATATTACTGCTCAAAGGTGCGAACGACTGGAGAAAAGCTTGGCCGACGCGTTGGTCTATTTTTACCAACTTGCCGGAAGATACGTAAGAGATGAAGTTGCTATGGATTGTAGCGATCAAGGAGCCGAGTTCTGGCTAGCCCGGGTGAGCTGCAAGCTGTCGGATTTTCTTCCGATTTGTTACCAGGAGATCGAGGCCGTCGAAGAGCTATTGCCGTGGGGGATTCATCCGCCGGCTGTGGATTTGCCCTCGAGTCCGCAGCTGGCAATCCAGGTGAACCGTTTTGATGACGGAGGGATCGTGTTGGCAGTCCGCATTTCGCACATTATTGCTGACGCTACCACGGGGTCTTTACTAATGCGAAAATGGGCCGCCGCCAGCGCCGCCAGATCCGATTTGGATGACCATAATGGTTCGAGTAACGGTTTCCATCATGAGATTGCTGGTGTTTTTCCAGCGACACCGTCATTCGAGCTCAAACACCCGAGAATCATTGCGCGGTCCTCATGTGCCGACGGATCCTCTGACCACGATAAGATCGTCACCAGGAGATTTCTGATTCCGTTGGAACTCGTGATGAAAATCAAAGGCGAGGCCGCCGCAAGTTATGCGCCGGCAAAGTTGCCATCTAGAGTGGTTATTGCGCTTGCTATAGTATGGAAGAGCCTAATGGCGATGTCGGTGGCGAAAAACGGATACATGAAGGGTTCGACGCTTTCTATCGCAACCAGCTTGCGACTGAAAACACCCTTAGTTGGGGAAAAGAACAAGAAGTTAGTGTTTGGGAATTTTTACCTATCGACTATTGTTCCATTTGTGGGTGATAATAATAATGAAGATGTAAAGTTATATGATCTGATCCGTTTGTTGAGCAGTAAAATTGCGGATACTCATGCAAAGGTTGCTATAGCAAGCAAAGATGAGTTGGCCACAATGCTTATAAACTCGAGGAAAGGGATATTAATGGACGGTCTTGATAATAAAAAAGAAGTGAGAAGTACTCATGATCTTGGCTTAGATGTTTACTATTGTTCGAGTTGGTTTGGGGCATTACCGGTTTATGAGATTGATTTCGGATGGGGAAAGCCGATTTGGGCGAGTGTTTCTCGTCAACCCGGTCCAGGAGTTTGTTTGATGGATTCTGCTGATGGTAGTGTTGTTGAATTGTGGGTTAGCTTGAAGAACATTGAAATGAGTATATTCAAACAACAGTTTTACGGGATTTGTCCATCTCCAACCTCTAGCTAGCTAGCTACGTTTTTTGTTAAAAGTTTCTTTATACCAGTACTTGCTGATTAAAATTATTTGATATACATTTTGTACTGAAAGTGTGTTCTATAGCAAATTATTTGTCTCTTATAAATCTTAAACTAGGTGAGCTCTAATATTCTAATGGCCAAAACCAAAAAACTCGGCCAATAATTTATTTGAACTTTCAGTCTTGCGTTCACTAGAAAATGCAAACAGATAGTTTTCGCTCACCTTTGCCCAATTCTTCTTCACATCCACTCACGCCTTAAGCTATGAAAATCGATTTTATTATATCATTTGCTAATCTGAAAATGTAAATTAGGTTCCTTTATCATTTTTTTTTTTGATAACACGGTTCCTTTATCATTATTTGTATTACATTATTTGTATTGCATTTACTGCAAGACTTATTAGATTTTGACAAGCGAACACGAGCAAGAGTCAATTAAAGGCTAATCGTATTAACGATTATCTGACTTTCCCTCGACAATGCCGGAGATGTTACAATTTTATACTTAGTTCACAAAATACAATTTTAATCAGTATAGTCTAATCATGCCGCCGCGCCATGCTGGAAAGGGGTTCTTCTCAAATTCAATTCCGATCGGGAAGGAAGAGAATTTTTAATACTTTCTTTGTTTTTAGCCTTACCCTTTGTATAGAATTTTTTCCATTATCAGTTAATCCTATCATGCATGCTTAGTTGCTCACCGGCCGGCTGGAGTTATCGTCCTTCTCGTCATTCTATAATTTAAATTCAAATGTCCAAACTTGTTAGTCTCTCTATTCTCTTTTTACTTTTTCTTTTTCAAAAAAGAAATTAGACAGAGCACTTTAACCATTGATAACATGATGATAGTAATAATGATAACACTTTAACCTTAGCGTTTCTCTGTTCAATTTCCATGATTCTCTTGAAATTTCTACTATCAATTATGAATTGACAGAGCATGTGTCGTGGAGGGCGGGCTAATAGTGGAACTTTAGCTAGGGTTTTCTGCAAGAGAAAGTCTCGGGGGTCTCCCGAAGGTAGACATTCCGATGCTTAAGTTAGAAAAGGGTTTAAAGAATATATGTGAGTAGTAGTTTGTGCTAGAGATAGCGTACCCGTATTGTGGTCTGACTACCCCTATTTATAGGCATAAAGTTACCTTGAAGGATGCCGAATCCCACTAGGTTTCATATTTTAGAACTGCCTTTATCAGGTCGGCTGGACCATGTCTGGTTGATGGGGCGGTCCAGTAAACCTCAGTGGATATGGACTCGTCAAGTGCTCCTGTCAAGTATTAGTTGTACGAAATAAACAAGATTTGACACAAAATAAAAATGACTTGGACCCGGCCCAAGTGAGGCGGACCAAACATTGTCATGTATTGTACTGGGCAGGCCCGACAAAGCAGTTCGCGAGTCAGGATCCGACCCAAGGAGGCGACCCACCCTAAGTTCCCGCCCAAACTGTCAAATTGTGCGGTATCAGTGGACACGTTCCCCAAGCGACGGTACCTCCATCATTACTGCTCCCTTGGAGCTCGCCCTAACAGTCAAATCGTGGGCAGCAACAGCAGTAAATAAAACCTTTCGGGTACTTTATTCCCCCTATTTCATTCTGTGAAGAGAACAACTTGCCCGTACTCTCAGAGCCTATCCTGTAAAAATCTGAGTTCGCCACTGTGTCCCAGGTATTGCGGCCGGTAATATCCGTTTTCTTAACTGCGTTATCAGTAAACCATCCTGTCACTCTCCCAGCCAACGTCCAGGGATCGCTGCCGCCGGTGACTATTGCAAATTTGGGAAGCTACAACTCAAAAGGGGAGTGGAAACCGTTGCCGAAAATACCACAAGTAAGTTCCCAGATCTACGACTTCTTGATTACATTTACTTATGTTTTCCTGTGGTTGAATAGATTGGTACAAATCTAGGTTGAATCATGGCTAGGAAACTAGAATTGAAAATCGTAGATGATTTTGCCTCTACCATAAATTCCGACGAGAAGTTTGGATTAGTGAGAACAAAATATAACCTGCCCCAGGATTTAGAAATGAGAGCTCCCCTAGGAATTGAGAGAGCCAATACTCCTCCAGAAGGAAAAATCACCATCTACGAACGTTTCATGTTCCTGGGGTTGAGATTCCCCCTTTTCTCTTTGTTCGAGGAGATTGTGCACTATTACAAAATTCTCCTAGCTCGATTCACCCCCAACCTCATAACTTACGTGCTCGGTTTTATAAAGAAATGCCAATGAGCCGAGGTGAGACCCTATCTTATGTTGTGGAGGAACTTTTTTAGAGTGTCGACACCGTCTACAGCTTTTCAGGATTGGTATATGGTGAAGAAAAAACTTGTGTCATGCTCTCGAAAGATAGTAGAGGCTTATAGTGGATCTCCGATTTGGAAACCCAATTTCTTGTATGTAAAGGCCCCTGAAAAATACTGTGTGGCCTAGAATTATCGAGAAGCCAAAGGCTTCGAGGCAGTAAAAGATGAGTGGACGAAGGAGGATGAGGAGAAGATCAAAGAATTTGTCAGTGACTTAGAGAAACTCGAGAGATATCCCAAGATACTAGGATATGGAGTGGTGCAGCAATTTGTTCCTCTCATGCCAATCGAGGGAATAGAAGCTGATGAAATCCTCGGTGTCCCCTTCGAGGAAAAAAAAAAGGGTACTAATCTCATTATTATTTCTGTGTGTTTAGGTCATGTCATTGGGAAACGCCGGATCTGGATTATATGGTGACTCCAACCCCTTTAATGTCGTAAACTCAGATGACGATACTTCCACAACGAAATTAGAGGCAGAGAAGATAAAGAAGAAGAAAAAAAAGAGGGCTGTGGCCAGAGAGTCCGAGAAGGGGCCAACCGCAAATAAGTCGAAAACCCACACTTCTCCCGACAAGGAGATTGAAGCGACAAAGCAGACCGAGGTGACTATTCCCCCTTCATCTGAGAAGGAGGCGCCTTCAGAGAAGGAGTCTGGGCCAAGCGCTCGACCCAGTTGCGTCGAGAAGGGAAAAAGCCCTGTCGCGGGGAATGTAACCATCCTGCCTCTTGAGATACCAGCTGGGGGCCCTACTGTCGCAGTTCACACCTTCGACAATCCTCCTACCATCGAGTGCCCTATGCTAGAGGAGTTTGCTGCCTGCCTTACTGAGGCAGATAGATTAAAATTGGTAAACTCCTCAATCCATACCCGTTTGTTGATTTCCATATTTTAGCATTGAATGTATATATGTTCTGTGTCTGGTTTCCACAGATGTGTGCAGTCATGATGAACCATGCCAAGAGATCCAGGGACCTAAGGCGAGAACTAGCAGAAGCCCAAGCTAAGAGTGACCAGGCGGTGATCGAGAAGCGGGCTCTTGAGGAAAGGAATCAGCAGCTGCAAGCCAAGGAAGTAAAGCTCGCCTCAGTACAAACTCAGCTTGGGGAACTGAAGCAGAAATTTCAGGAGTACTGCGACCTGCACATCTCCAAGGAGGACCTTAATAAATGGTGCACTGCATTCTGGTGGAGAATGTTATCATCAGGGGGGATGACTGCTGTTGTGGAAGAGATTAACACTGTCTCGATGGCTTATGGGGGCCACGCGGTTGCCGTCGAGGGCTTAAAGAGACTGAAGTAAAAAACGCCTATCAAGGCTAAGTGGCTAAAGCAATTTTTGAAGGAAAACCCAAAGAAGACCATGTATGAGGCCTTGGTTCGGGGTCTCTGCAAACTATCCACAGATCTACTACCCCTGTGGGAGCCCTTGTGTGAGGCTCTATCCAAGATGGACTTGCCCGAGAACATTGCCTCATTTCCCGGGGATGTGGCTCCTGTTTTCTCTAGAGGTCCTTGTGAGGAATTGGCAATACCTAAGGTCTCCGACGAGGATTTTGGAATTAATCTCAAGGAAGATAAAGATGAAACTGCTGAGGAGGATGACACAAGCAATTCAGGTGCCAAGGACCAAGATCCCCCAATGGTGGGAGATACTGGAGGACCCGAGGAAGGGAACCCCACTAACGAGGGTTCGTCTGAAGACCAACCAGGGAACGACTCTCGTTCTCAAACTGCTGTAATTCCCTTGTAATAGAGTTCTTCCTTATTTTGAGAAGTTATTGTATCGCCGTTCATTGTGGTGAATGTGAACATTTTAAGTATCTGTTGGCATTTAAATAATATCCAATCTCTTTTAACTTTATCCCATGTCTTATGTTAGGAATCATACTTTGTACACCAGGTACATCTAATGATCTTGGACGAAAATCAAGCTAAATATTTTCTGATGTATGCTATGGTTTGTGCTGCAATGAGAAAGTTGGGCAATGTCCACAGTATTTCTATTGTAAGAACCCCCGAGAAAGATATTGTGGATGCCATGCAAGAATACAATGTACATATACATTCTCAGCTGGTACAACGGTTCAAGCAAAATGAAGAAGAATATCAATGCCGCCTTTGGCAATATAACCTCGATTATCAAGATTCCCTGATCCTGGAGGCAAATATAAATGAAGAAATGGCGAATTTAAGGAATGAGAAGTTCCCCATGGTTTCTGAAGCGCCGTGAAAGAATCACGGTTTCCCCATGGTTTCTCGAGAAGTTCCACATACTTTCCCTTGTTGAGAAGCAAATTCATATCAGGACAGAACGCTTCATTGTCGCCATTGAGATGCTGAAGAAAAGGTCTAAAGAGGCTGAAATTTATTCGAGACAATCTGCTGTCCTACAGAACATACTGGTCGATCGTGAGATCCCACTTCCCGTTCTCGAGGGCCTGGATGAACACGAGAAAGCTCATGAAAGAACGGCCGCCAAAGAATTCCTTCTTAGGCTCGACGAGCAAGATTGGGAAATTGTCGACTTGAAAGACAAATTGAATCAGTTTATTGACCATCTTAGGACGCTAGGCTTCTTGGGTGTGATTAAGCCATCTCAATTTAACCCCAAGGGGGAAGATCTTAATATTGAAGGGTAAACAAATGTATTTATCCCTACCCCGCACAAGGTGTGACGGCAATGTATTTGATTCGAGCCTTATCCGCGTCGGCTTTTTTTTTGGGTGTACTCAAGTAGTATTTATATAGTGCTTTCACAGCCGGATGTAATGTACACGGCACCCTGGGGGAACCAGGTATGAGTTCCTCGACTTATTACCGCGATCCAAGGCGTGTACGAGGGGACTTCCTCGGTTTTTGTCCGGGTGTTGAATACACGGCTCTGAACGAGGATGGCCCAAAAGAGGGAGTTCATCTCAAAGACTAGTCTCAATATAATGTCGACCATATAAGAAAATAACATGGGTTAGCATTACATATGAAAAAGTGTAAGTAGTAAAGCAAATAAAACAAATAAGGCAGGCAACCTAAACTAGCACGTAGCAAATAGGAGCTTAAACATAGAACCTGCGGAGGTTTTGTATGTTCCACCATCGTGGGAGGATGATTCCACTGTCATCCGTGGTCTATACCTGATAGCTGCTTGCTGGAGAAGTTTGAATGACTTTGTAAGGTCCTTCCCAATTTGCAGCGAGTTTCCCTGGAGTCTCGGCTCTACTGGCTTCGTTTTTTCTAAGTACGAGATCACCCACTGTGAGGTCTGTTGCTCTGACTCGCTTATTATAGTGTTTTGTGAGTATCTCGTTGTACATGGCTTCTCTTATTCTGACGGTGTCTCGCCGTTCCTCGAGCAGGTCGAGGTTTAGCCTGCTATCATCGTCATTAGAACTCTCGACAAAGTTGATTGTACGATGGCTTCGAGGCCTATTTCGACTGGGAAAACCGCATCCATGCCATAGACCAAGCTGTAAGGAGTTTCATCTCTCGAGGAGTGGGCTGTGGTACGATATGACCACAAGACATGGGAGAGCTCCTCAGCCCAAGCTTCCTTAGCGTCGCGTAGCGTGCTCTTGATTCCATGTAGGATAGTTCTATTATAGATTCTACTTGGCCATTAGCTTGAGGGTGAGCCACACTCGAGAACCGACGCTTAATTTGCATTTCTTCTCACCAAGACTTGAAAGGGTTACTCTTGAATGAGTGCCATTGTCGGAGACAATAACCCTAGGAACTCCAAAGCGGCAGACAACATTTTGCCAAAAGAAAGTTAGCACTTGCCTTCCAGATATTGAGGCCAGCGGTTTGGCTTCTACCCACTTGGTGAAGTAATCCACCGCCACTATTACCCATCGTACTCCTCCTACCGCTTTTGGATGAAAAGGGCCGATGATATCGGTGCCCCATTGGTAAAATGGCCAATGACTTTGAATGGTGACCATCTCGTGCTATGGTTGTCGAGTAATGGAGCTAAAGCGTGGGCACCTGTTGCACTTTTGTAAGAATTGATATGCATCTTTGAAAATCGTGGGCCAAAAGTACCCGGAACATAGTACTTTCTTAGCGAGTGCTCTGGCTCCCATGTGTGCTCCGCATGATCGTAGCATCAGTAGCAGGTATCCATGCCTGTACAACACTCCATCTCTTAACATGTATTTGGGCGCTTTCAATTGGAGCACTCGAGCGTTGGACTTATTATTGGGTAACGTCCCATCTGCTAGATACTGAATGAACGGGATTATCCAAGTGTCATAGTCTTCGGTGATAGTCATTGTCGACATTTTCCAAATGCTAGGCTCGGGGAGGATCTTGACCCAGACCTTGTGACTGAGGTGCACAAAGTTCGAGGAAGCCAACTTGCTCAATGCATCCACCCTTGTGTTTTTTATCCTTATGATGTGAGAGATTTTGCATTCTTCAAACTTATCTTTTAGCTCGAGAACTTTCTCTAGATATTGCTTGAGCTACCCATCGTTTGTTGTATAATCACCTACGATTTGATTTACCACCACCTGAGAGTCGCTAAAGAATTGGATTTTTTGGACCTCGAGTTTTAGGGCCATCTTAAGACCTGCTATCAATGCTTCGTACTTAGCCACATTGTTAGTAACTGGGAAGCCAAATCTTAATGCGTAGGTATGCTCTGCATCATATTCTTTCATGTTCTTAATTTTGGGATCAGCCGATGGCTTTGCCAATATGATCCCGGCTCCTCCCCCCTTATCGCAATGAGAGCCGTCGACGTAGAGTGTCCAGGCTCGAGGATTTATCTCGACAAGGATAGCGGAGTGATTCATAGACTTTTCGACTCGGGGAACGTTATCAGAACGTGGCATTTTGACTAGGAAGTCTGCAAGCGCTTGGCCTTTGACCACTGTTCGTGGCTTATATTCTATATGGTGCTCTCTTAACTCTATTTCCCACTTCATCATCTGACCAGAGGCTTCAGGCTTGAGAAGGGCTTGCTGAATAGGCTGATCTGTTAATACCCGTATTGGGTGTGCTTGGAAGTATGGGCGTAGGCGTCGAGCAGGCATAATTAAACTCAAGATAAGTTTCTCCATGGCTGTGTATCGTGTCTCTGCGCCTTGTAATACTTTACTGATGAAGTAAACATAAATCTCCTTGCTGTCCTTGGACAAGGACAGCCGATAGGGCCTTTTTTTGGGCAGCGATATATACATATAAAGTTTCCCCTGGATCAGGCTAAGCCAATGTGGGCAGCTGTTTAAGACGGTCCTTCAGCTCTTGGAAAGCTTGTTGGCATTCCTCATTCCATTCAAACTTTCTGCCTTTGCGGAGTGTATGAAAAAATGGGAGGCTTCTTTCTGCAGCTCGAGAGAGGAATCTGTTTAAGGCTGCCAGGGACCCTGTAAGTTTTTGAACTTCCTTGATATTCTTTGGGGCTTCCATAGTTAGGATCTCCTCGATTTTTCCCGGATCAACACTGATTCCGTCCTTGGACACGTGGTACCCTAGGAACTTATCCGACCCTATGCAGAAGGCACATTTTTTTGGATTAAGTTTCATATTAATTTTGTGGAGAATCGAGAAGATCTCGCGCATATCCTTGACTACTTGTTCATCTCTGTTGCTCTTGATCACCATGTCATCCGCATATATCTCAATGTTTCAGCCAATCTGATCGTGGAATGCTCGATTAACGAGGCGTTGATAGGTTGCACCGGCATTCTTCAAGCCAAAAGGCATCTTGTCATAACAGTATACTCCAATCTCGGTGATATAGGCTATCTTTTCTGCATCTTCTTGTGCCATAAGGATCTGGTGGTATCTTTTATAGGCGTCAAGGAAACTGAGGGTCCTATACCCCGTGATACCTTCGACCATCTGATCTATGACGGGTAAGGGGTAGCAGTCCTTGGGGCAATGTTTGTTAAGGTCCGTGTAATCTTGGCACATGCGCCGAGAGTTATCGGGCTTTCATACCAGGACTGGGTTAGCCAACCAGGTAGGCTAAAGAACTTCCTGGAGGATATTAGCATGAACCAGTTTCAACGTTTCTTCATTGATGATGTCATTGCGGTCTCGGGCAAATATTCTTTTCTTCTGTTGTACGGGTTTAACATTTGGATCAACATTCAGATTGTGCTCAATAATACCTTGTGGCACTCCTATCATGTCTATGGGTGACCAGGTGAATATATCGCGGACCTCGCGTAGCAAGGCAATTACCTCGGCTAGCAATGTTCCTTGAGGCGTTATACCTTCTGGATGGTCTTGAGGGATCCTTCTTATTAAGAACAAGCTCCTGTGTTTTGCTACTAAGTGGTGGCAGGCAGTTAGTGTCACGATCCTCTGACCGTGATTGTACCGCGATTTTTTGGACCGAGTAGCATCCTGATATGGCAATACTTAGGTTAGACTTTATGGCCCTATTCCCATTCTTGACAGCTGTGAGCAGACATTCTTGGGAACTGCTCTGGCAGCCCTGCACTACACCAACTCCATATTCTGTCAGAAATTTCATCACTAGGTGATAAGGAGACCAAATCGCTCAGGCTTGGCACATCCAGGGTCGTCCCTGGATCACATTGAACAGTGAGGGTGCATCTATTAAGGCGAAATCCATTGTTAATGTAACCATTCTAGGATGCAACCCAACCGTTATGGGGAGACTTATGATTCGGGTTGGGATAATAGTGTGGCACGAGAAGCCCATCAACAGAATTGTTACTGGGCGAATATTAGGGTTTTGAATGTTCATCTTTTTGAAGCAATCACTGTAGATGATGTCAACTACGCTGCCGTTATCCACATAAACCTGACTAAATTGCACATTTTTGATTATTGCCTCGATAACCATGGCATCATTGTGTGGACAGATATCCGGGACTTTGTCACTGTCAGTGAAAACTATGGCTTCTGTCCCTTTGAACCTCTTGTGACTAGGTTCCTGACGGGGAGTTTTTGTGGCAGTTCGTACCGAGTTTTTCATGGCTGTGGTAGGTAACACCTCGAGAGGAGCTCCATAAATGGCACCCACCTGGTGGGTGATTTGCTTGGTAAGATTCGCCGGGGGGATATGCTGAAGCGGTTGTGGGGCTCCCTCGACAGTTTGTGGAGGAGGTTGTTGCGTAATGTTCCTTGGTTGCCAATTATTCCCACGACTTTCTCCTCGAGGACCCCTAAAATTCCGTTTAGCAAAGTTTCGGTATGTACCAGGCTTGCTGTTTCTTTGTCGAGAGGGTCCTTGCACATATTGTTGGAATTTACCAGACTTAACTCCATTCTAAATTTACTTCTTAAGTTCTCGACGATCCTTAGTATCGTGGCCGTGGTCTTTGTGGTACTCGCAATACTGTTCCATCGACCTCTTTGGGTTGGGCGCTAAGGGTTTTGGGGTAGGTAACTCGTCCTTGTGGATTTGGAGGATTTCCCTGCGTAGCTTAGTCAGGGGCGTCCACTGCCTATCGAGTTTAGGCAACGTCGTCCTACTCTCTGTGTTAACCCTTGGTTTGTCTTTTGGCCCTACTGCCGTGAAAGATTCTTGCGACCTCTTGAGTGTGTGCTCTCGTTGAATATGATTTTCACTGATAGCCCACATCTCTTGGGATCTCCTAGGAGGTTTAGTCGAGAGTTTTACTCTTAGCATTGAGGATTTTCCAAATGGGTTGAACCCTTGGATAAAACCATTCTAGACATCCCGTTCATCATTATGTTGTCAACTTGTAAGGTTTCGCGGATGAAATGCCAATGGAAGGTTTGAGAGACTTTCATGCTAACCCTGCTTGATCAAGGAAAGGTTAATGGACATTCTAGAGATTTGCTTACTCTGAAGGAACCGAGTTGCCAATTTGACTGACAAGTCCTTGAAACTGACTATACTTCCTTCTGGTAATTTTCCAAACCACTGCGGTGCTTGCCCAGTTAGGTAGGAGGGTAGAGCTATAGCCATAAAATTCAAGGATGCGTTCCTGATACTCATGACCTGGACATACCCCTGCAGCCACTGGGAGACATCTGTATCTCCTAAGTAATTGTGAAGTCTTTGGAAAAGTCGAAGTCTTGGGGCTTCGGCTCATCTCAAATGTCTGGTATAAAGGGACTCTGGTCTACGACCATTCCAATGATCTTCCTCATCTCGTCCCGGATCGAAGCGTCCTGTCCTCTTATTCCCTGCCGACCTTGAGGAAGATGAGGTGGGATCCCTTCATGGTTGTTATGTTGTTGCCGCCTGGGAGGTTAATATTGAAGATGACAGTGATGCTACCGACCATAATCCTCTCCGGTGTCGCTGTCGTTTCGGTATCGTCTATGGAAAGACACGTATTCCTCCTTTCGAGGACTCTTTTGATGCCAGTTGGGCCCCAATGGGTTGTGAAACATTCGTCTTCCTTGGAGGGTTCCATTCTCCCTGTTCCATAACCTCGACACTTGGGGATCCTTGTTAGTAGTGGTCTCGGGAACCCTTGTGTGCGTACATCGCATCAAACTCTTCAATGGCCATATCAAAGGCTGGATATTTCTTCCTGAAAGCACTCCAGTAAACAGTGTCTTGGGTGGCTGTTGAATTGTTATCCAAGAAGCCTTCGCGATCTGAATACTTTTGATAGTCTCCCTCCTCCTGGACCTTTCGCTTGCCTTGTTTTTTCTCGAGAAGAGCTAAAGTGCGTCGAGCTTCCTTCTCATGAATCAAGTCAGCTAATTCTTGTTCAGTTGGATCAGGCATTCCCAGGAGACAACGACGCCTTGTTTCCTCGAGAACATATCTTTTCATCCTTTGATTTTGATCACTGTCATCCTGCAGCTTTTTGAGTTCAGCCTCGATTTCTGCCAACTTCTAATCCTCCAGACGTTTTCTGGATGCTGTGGTATTTTGAGGAGGAGGCAAATCCTTTTTCTCGGTCGCGGGATTTTTTTGTTTGATTTCTTTGGATTAGGTTGTGAAGTTCCAAGGACCAGGCGTTCTTTCCTTGGTTCTTTCTCAGATACTCTTTTGTGGCCCTTTCCTGTCTTCTTTCTTTCCTGCCGTCGTTGGAATTCTGCCAGGGTAGTGTTATCAGCTGGACAGTGCCGTCTACAGGAAGATGCCGTGCTGCTCGCGTCCTCTTCCTAGCCATGGTGTGCGTGATTCTAGAAACCCTAAGTCGCACCAGAAAAGGTTAAGAAACCTGAAAAAGTTTTCATGACACAAACCCTAGTTTTTGGGTCCCACTGAGCGTGCCACTTGACGAAGTTTGGTTTTACACCACCAGTTTAATAGTGGAACTTTGGCTAGGGTTTTCTGCAAAAGAAGGCCTCGAGGGTCTCACGAGGGTAGATACTCTGATGCTTAAGTCAGAAAAGGGTTTAAAGAATGTATGCGAGTAGTAGTTTGTACTAGAGATAGCGTACCCGTATTGTGGTCTAACCACCCCTATTTATAGGTATGAAGTTACCTTGAAGGATGCTGAATCCCACTAGATTTCCTGTTCTAGAACCGCCTTTATCAGGTTGGCTGGACCATGGCTGGTTGATGGGCCGGTCCAGTAATTCTCAGTTGATATGTACTCATCAGATTTTGACTTGGAAAAATGACTCTTTCCACATTCTGGTGGCTGACTTTAAGTCTTTGCGATGGAGAACACGTTTACTTGATGGATTTTGTTTGTGTATTTCTATGTCCAACACAATTGTTTACTTGCTTTGGAAGTATTCGAGTGACCAAAGTAGTCATCAGTTTTAGTCTCCTTATTTGAGTTTAATATATGTCCCAGAAAACAGTTCGCTTTTTGGGACGACAACGGAGGGAGTATGTTTTAGGCAATTAGAAGATTATTAGTATAAAACTCACAAGTGTAACATTTTCAGTGCCCAAAATCAGCCTCAAAATATTGGAAGTTGCTGCCCCTTCAAGCTTATGGTTATGGTGCTGACATTTCTTGCTGTATCAATAATCACATTTGAATCAGCCAATTCAGACCCCCAAACGATTGTGCTAGACAAGGGGTGCAATCAGTACACTCCGAATAATGTCACGGAATTCTACAGCAAACTTAATGCCAGTTTTGCTGATCTTAGGAACCAAATATCAAAAGATAATCAGCAGTTTGACACAGCACAAAGAGTGTGGACGTCAGACACGGTTTATGCCATGGTTCAATGTAGGAATTACCTTTCTACTGCAGATTGTGTTTCTTGTTTAAACACTGCTGTTCCCCAAATCCGAGAATGCTATTCTTTTGAAGGAGCCCATGTTACCTATGATGGTTGCTTCCTCAGGTATATCCAACATTTGTCTAACCATATATATGCATCCTCTGTTTTCTCCATCTTCTTATAACAGTTTTTTGTTACCCCCTCTTCATTAAAATGATAAGAACTAATTTGGGGTCCTGAGTGATCAAGACCAGCTACCATATTTGGCTTCTGTATACCTTTTCTTTTTCAGAGCTGAATCTCTTTAATCTTACAGATGGCTCTCTATTGATTATTATTGAAAGTTCTGTAGGCTTTTGATCAACAACTTGTTCTGTTTTTTTTTTTTTTTAGGAGGGAGGCTTCATCATTCTATGACCAGACTGTACTTCTTCCAGGAAACAATCAGGTTTGTGGCGCTCAAACAGTATCACAGCCAACTAATTTCCAAACCCAGGCTGAAGCTATCACAGGATCTTAAACTCATAACGCTGCGAATTAAGGGATTCTTCGCTGCATCAAAGAGGTAATTGAGCAATAGTGGTGCTGATGCAGTGTATGCGTGGCTCACTGCGCGAAATAGTCCGGCCGAGTGATTGTCAAAACTGCTTGAAGTTAGCATATGGTAATTTACTTGGCTGTTTACTGAAACAAATGGAAGAGCTTTTAATATTGGATGTTTTATGAGGTATTCAACAACTGATTTTTATGCTGATATTTAGATAACCAATATCACTGCATTAGTCCTTACCTAGGAGCAGGAGGAGGTGAGAGAAGCACAATATATCCACATTAGTAGTTTCATTTATATTTTCTGATTTGACAATTATTGCTTCTTCTCAGAAAGCTCAAACAGAAGGAAAGCAATTGTTCTTGGAGTTGGAGCTCTTGTTGGCGTTGGCCTTCTCCTACTTATACTTGCTTTATTGTTATGGTATCAACTATTCAGAAAACTGAAGAAAGTTGAAAAAAGTAAGATAGACAGTTTGTATTGTACCACTCTATCTCCGTCTCAATTTTTTCTTTCCAAATCAGTAACCTATACTCTTATTTTAAGCCATAGTCATATCTTTGGTACATCAGAACTAAGGGGTCCTATAACCTATGATTATAAGGTTCTAAAATATGCAACTAGAGATTTCAATGAAGAAAATAAACTTGGCGAAGGCGGTTCTAGTGAGGTGTACAGGCATTGTAGTGTGCCCTGGCATTCATTTAGGGCTTTAACTATCTTCAAATTCTCAAATGAAACTTTCATGCGTATATGATTGCTGACATTGCAGGAAACAATGAGAAAGGGTAAGGTGGTTGCGGTCAAGAAGCTAAACATAACTTCTGGAAGGGCAAAAGCTCTACAATGGTGGATTGGAGGATCCATTTCAGAGATGTTTCTGGAAATTTTCTTCTTTGTATTATTACTTGTTAATCACGTACAATTATGTATATATACAGACATATTTAATGCTAATAATCATCTAACTTTTCTAACTGCTAACTTCTCTGTACTAAAATCTAGTCCTTAACTTTACATTATTTATAAACAGACCCCTGATCACGAACTACTTTATATACAAAACTATATATGTACTTCTGTACATGCTTTACAGAGTTTGGGAGTGAAGTCAGACTTATTAGTAATGTTCACCATCAAAATCTTGTGCATGAAGTCAGACTTATTAGTACTGTTCACCATCAAAATCTTGTGCGCCTACTAGGATATGCTAGCAAAGGGGCATATCTGCTCGTTTATGAATACATGGCAAACGGTAGCTTAGATAGATTTTTATATGGTGTGCATTGTCATCTTTGAAGTTACAGAGATATGTTTCCCAATGATCAATAGCTTGTGGATGCATGTCTTCTTCTTCTTCTTCTTTAATAATTTTATTTTTGCATTTAGCCATCATACTGTCACTTCCTATTGTAATCTCAGTCCATGGAATTTTGCGGATGTTCATATTGACAGGAGAGAAAAGAGGACATCTCAATTGGAGGAAGCGGTTTAACATCATATTTGGCATAGCTAAGGGACATGCGTATTTACATCAACAGTATCATGTTAGCATCATTCATCGGGATATTAAGTCCAACAATATCTTACTACATGATGATTTTCACCCGAAGATTGCTGATTTTGGATTGGCAAAGCATTTGCCTGGAGATCGGAGTCATTTAAGCACCAGATTTGCTGGTACCTTGTATGTAAAACCAATTCATTCCTTCAACAACTATTCAAGGATCATGAAAGCATTGATCAATTTGTACATATAAAATGCTCAGGCCCTTTATTGTAATACTTAATATATTTCCTATAATGTCCTTGTTTAGAGTTTTTTATTGTCTATATATAGTCTGTATGTTGTACATAACGACACATGAATGAAATACAATTCCCCTATTCTAACTTGGTACAGAGCTAGGGTTTTTTTTTTTTTTTCTTTCGGTCGTGGGTTCCTTCTTCTCCACCGTCGACCAAAATCCTTGGCCTTTAGCCGGTGTGTGCTACTTCTTCTCCTCTTTCAATTTCGTCAGTTGCTGCTGCTGCTGCGGCTTCGTCGGCGTCTACTTCCTGCTGTTGCCGCCGTTCTTCTTTCAGTCCGCCGGCGGCTGCTGCTGCTGCTGCTCCGTCGGTTGCATCACCGCTGCTTCCTGATCTTCCTTTTTTCAGTTCGGTTCTAACCAGCCGGTGCCGTTGTTGTCGTGCAGTTGGTTTCCTTGCCGTTGTTTTTTTTGCCGGACGTCGCTGCTGCTTCTTTGCCGGATGTGGTTTCTTTGCCGTTGCTTTGGCCGTTGCTGCCGGTTGCTCGTCGGCATCAGTCCATCTTATTGCTTCTACCATCCATCAGTCCCTGCCGCCGCCACCTGCTGCTCTTTGTTCCCGGTGTTGGTGTTTTATTAAAAAAAAAAACAAACAAAAAAAAAATCAAAAAAAAACCAAAACCAATTGAGCTTTATTAAGTCTTGCTTGCTTACTTTCGACGATGACTATTACCGACTTTCATCCACCGACCAGGCTACCCATCTTCGGCCGGCGGCACCTCCTTCATAGACACCAGTATCAGTTCTTCAACCTAGTCTACAGTCTCTAATCATTCTTTTACTGTGAAGCTGTAATTTCGGGCCAACTATTCCTTTTGGCGTCTTCAATTTACTCCTTTATTGACTATGTTTCGTGTTGCCGATATTGTCGACGGCACCGAACCTGCACCGTCACGTTTTATTCCTTTTGTCAGTGGTGTCGCGCCCCAACTCAATCCTGAGTTTGATATCTGGCAGCAAAAGGATCAGGTGGTCCTCTCTTGGATTCTTTCTTCCGTTGCTGAAGAGATCTTTCCCGTTCTCCAGGGTTGTACAACGTCGGCGGCAGCATGGACAGCTCTTCAGCAGGGTTTCGGCACTCTTTCTTATGCTCAATAGACCCAGCTTGTTATGGAGCTCCACAGCTTGTAAAAAGGTGACTTATCGGTCATGACTCTCCTCTCCAAAGTGAAGGGTATCGCAGATACACTGCAGCTTGCCGGCCATCGCATACCTCCAACGGAGTTCAATGCCATAATCTTCCGCAAGCTTGGTGCCGAATTCAATGGTATCATTGGAGCTTTGCAGTAGCGATCCGAACCTATCAAGATCTCCTTGGACAATTAGTTTCGTATGAGGTGCTTCTTCACGCCCAACAGCCGGTTCTTCAGCCTACGGCCATGCTTGTGCAGTCGGCACCTTCTCCTACGTCGCCTCAATCCTCTCGTGCCGGTTGCTTGCAACCCAGCGGCCGGCGCAATCAGTTTTCTGGTCGTGGTGGTGGTCCGCGTGGGTACACCCCTCCCGCGCAGGGTGAACGTGTCAGCTTTGCGGCATCTTGAATCACACGGCCGCCACTTGCCGACGCCACTTTGATGCTAATTTTGCTACTTATGCCCAGGCAGTTTCTCCTACACAGCATTTGGCTGGTTTGTTGCCTCCTTCATCTTACCCGGAGTCGACTATGTCTCCTCAAGCCCATATGGCGTAGTATGCCCCTCCTGTCACTCCCTGGCATCCGGACACTGGTGCTACCAATCATGTCACACCAAATTTGTCCTCTCTCAGTATCTCTAATGATTATAATGGTAAAGATCATATTTTAGTTGGTAATGGTGATGCTTTACCTATTCAGCATGTTGGTCAATCTGTTTTGCCATCGTTTTCTCGTCCTCTTTATTTAAATCGTGTTTTGCATGCTCCTTCTCTTACTAAGCCTCTGTTATATGTTCAAAAATTTACCCGTGATAATTACTGTTTCTTTGAATTTTATTCTGACTCTTGTTGTGTTAAGGATCTTTCAACCAAGGAACTCCTCCCCCGTGGTCGGACTGATAATGGTCTCTATCGCTTAGATCTTCCTGCTCGTGGTTCCTTGTCTCCAGCAGCTTATTTTGTCTCCCTAGGTCAATGGCATGCTTGTTTAGGGCACCCTAATAATGTCACTCTTCATACTTTGGTTAGGCAGTTTCAACTCCCTCATTCCTCTGTGTCTATGTCCACTGATAAATGTGAGGCGTGTTGTTTAGGGAATTTGCATAGGGTTAGTTTACCTTCTACTTTTCATCGTAGCTCTAAACCTCTTGATTTAATTCACACTGATGTTTGGGCCCCTGCTCATATTTTGTCATTCAATTGTTATCGCTACTTCGTGCTTTTTATTGATGATTTCTCTTTATTCACATGGATTTATCCCATTAAGTATAAAAGTGATGTTTTCCATGTTTTCAAGCAATTCAAAGCTCTCGTAGAAAATCAATTTGGCACTACCATTAAAAGTGTTAACTCTGATTGGGGTGATGAATTTCGTTCTCTCAATTCTTTCTTTAAGGATGTTGGTATTGTTTATCGTTTAGTGTGCCCACACACTCATGAGCAGAATGGCACCGCTGAACGCAAAATTCGTCACATTGTCGACATTGGACTTGCTCTCCTTGGCCATTCTAGTACTCCTTTTCGATTTTGGGACTTTGCTTTTGAAACCGCTGTGTTTTTAATTAATCGCCACCCTAGTAAACCTCTTCAAGGTCACCTACCCTTCACTACACTATATCACCAGCCACTTGATTATACTTTTCTTTTTTTTTTTTGCTGTGCTGTCTATCCTCTTCTTCACCCTTATAATCGACATAAATTCTCCTTTCGTTCTACTCAGTGTGTCTTTCTTGGGTATCCTCCATCTCATCTTGGTTATCGCTGTTTTGATGTGGTGAATAACCGTCTTTATGTTGCTCGTCATGTTGAGTTTGATGAAAAACTCTTTCCTTTTAAACGTCCTATTTCTAGTTCTCCTTCTTCGCTGCAAGAGTCTCCTGCTACCCCTTGGTTGCATGTAACCAGTTCTCCTGGTATGCTTGCTTCGTCTTCTGCGCCCTCTTTGTCTCCTTCTAGTACACCAGTTCCTTCGTCTCCTCCCATCCCTTCCGACTCATCATCTTTAGCTAGTTCTCCTGCATCCAGCTCTTCATCATCTGAGTCCAGTTCTCCTCCGCCACCTCCTCCTCCTCCTTCCCGTCAGCATTCAATGGCACTTCGTCCACACCCCAAGCCCAAGAAAATCTTTGATCCCTCGGCTCATCTTACCTCTGTTTCCCCAACTTTGTCTACTGCTCCTACATCCTTCACCCAAGCCAAATCTTTTCCTCAGTGGTAGAATGCCATGAAGGATGAAATTTCCGCCCTCCTCAAAAATAACACATGGACTTTAGTTCCCCCTCCTTCCTCCGGCAATGTTGTCGGCAATCGATGGCTTTATAAGATTAAGACCCATGCTGATGGCTCCATTGAGCGTTATAAGGCTCGGTTGGTGGCTCGAGGTTTTACTCAGTCTTTTGGAGTTGATTACACTGACACATTTAGTCCGGTTGTTAAGCCGGTCACTATTCGCTCGGTTTTGACAGTTGCCTTGGCTCGTGGACGGTCGATTTCTCAGCTTGATGTCAGTAATGCCTTTCTTAATGGTGTTCTGAGTGAGACTGTGTATATGGTTCAGCCACAGGGTTTTGTTGATCCGGTGCGCCCTCATTATGTGTGTAAACTACATAAGTCCTTATGTGGTCTTAAGCAAGCTCCTCGGGCCTGGTATTCTTGGCTGGCTGTGTTTCTAATCACCTTGGGTTTTGTGGAGTCTCGTTGTGATCCTTCCCTCTTTGTCTATCGTCGTGGGTCTCAGTTGTGTTTTTTGCTGGTCTATGTGGATGACATTATTCTTACAGGAAGTACTTCTGGTTTAGTCCAGCATTTTATCTCTTGTCTTGCTAAGGAGTTTTTTCTTTGGGATTTAGGTCCATTGAGTTACTTTCTTGGGCTCGAGGTTCGTCCTACTTCCAAGGGTTTGCTCCTCTCTCAGCGCAAGTATGTCACTGATTTACTACGACTTGCAAATATGCATACTTGCAAACCTATTTCCACTCCTTTGCAGGCTAATGTTGTGTTGTCCCGTTTGGATGGTACTCTGTTGTCTCCAGATGATGCGACTACTTATCGCTGGCTGTGTGGCAGTCTGCATTATACCACTCTCACTCGTCCAAATATCTCCTTTGCAGTTAATAAGCTTTGTTAGTTTATGCATCAGCCTCGCACTTCTCATTTTCAGGCTCTCGAACGCATTCTTCGCTATCTTCGTGGTACCGTTGATTTCTGTTTAGTTCTGCATCCTACAGATTTGGGCACTCTTACTGCCTTTAGTGATGCTGACTGAGCTGATTGTCCGGATGACCGTCGTTCTACTACTGGGTTTCTCATTTATTTGGGACCTAATCTCATTGCCTGGGCATCTCAGAAGCAGCCCACTGTGGCTCGCTCGTCTACTGAGGCCGAGTTTTGTGCGGTTGCTAATGTCTGTGTTGAACTGCATTGGATGTGTCATCTGTTGTCCGATTTAGGCGTTTCTTTACATCGCCCTCCCTCTATTTGGTGTGAAAACAGTAGTGCAGTTTTTCTTGCTGCTAATCCCGTGTTTCATGCTCGTACCAGACATGTTGAGGTTGATTTTCACTTTGTTCGAGATCATGTTCGGTGAAAGTTTGTTTCGGTCAACTCTGTCTCTGCTACTGATTAGCTTGCTGATATTCTGACCAAACCCTTGTCCAAGGAGTTATTCTTTCGATTCCAGGACAAACTTCGGCTTCTCTCTTCTCCGCCGTCAGTTTGCGGGGGCGTATTGTAATACTTGATATATCTCCTATAATGTCCTTGTTTAGGGTTTGTTATTATCTATATATAGTCTGTATATTGTACATAACGACACATGAATGAAATACAATTCCCCTATTCTAACTCCCTTTAATGAATCTCAATTTCTTAACACTTCCTCCATTCAAAACTATTTTTTTTTTGAAAAGATATATTTTGATAAACAATTGCTCCTATATGTGGTTACAATCTTCCAAAATTGAGCAACTGCTTTTGCAATAGGGGATACGTAGCACCAGAATATGCAGTTCATGGACATTTGTCTGAGAAAGTAGATACTTATGGATTTGGCATTGTGATCGCTCAATCGAAGAGTGTCGCCGTTCTAACAACATCAGTTCTAACACGAAGTTCTATAAAGGGAAGAGACACACTGGCATTAAATGAAACTACACAATCAAACATTGGACCTATTTCAACCGACAGCTTGCTCTAACCTACGGATCACCAACTCATGAATCGAACTAAGGACATTTGCATAAAACCAGCTAAGATGATGTGATCGCGGTGGACTAATAGGGATTATTTCAAACCATGATGATCATTATATTAATGTTGATCATATAATAGTTGGTTTTCATCTTTGTTTTGTTGGTATCAAAGATGATGGAAGGTTAACACCTAAATTAGAGGAATTGGATCAAGAAGAAGGTTCGTCAGCTTTTACATCGACCTTAGAAGACCGACGAAAATGTAGACGACAAATTTACTATTTTACAAGTCTTTTCATTTTGAGTTGGTCTGAATTTTGGTAATTTTATTTTATTAACTTCCGTCGAAATTCATGTATGAAAGACCGACTTAGGAATGTCTTTTAATAATATGAAATAATTATGACATGTACAATTATTTGATTAAGTATTTTACTTTATTTTAGAAGATAATTAGAAGTCAAAACCAAATAGGACTTTACTTGGTTTGGGACTAGGTTTTGACCAACCCTATTTCCTATAAATAGAGGTGCTAGGCCACGAATTTTTTAGAGTGATTTGATGAATTTAAATGATGATTTGATAGGAACGAGTGAAGTTCTTTTTGTGTTAATCTTGGTGATTTACTTTTGATACAAGGTTTCGCAGTTTTAGAATCGCGCTCTGTTGGATCGAAAGATTCATATCATAAAACTTCTATGTAAATGGCCCTCATATTCAAATTCTCAAACACTGGCCCATACAATTACACTCGAGGTCACTGATTCAATACAACTAGAAAATCATTATATATATTAAAGGAAAGAAAGATAATCAACACCATTCATTCATTGAGACTATCAACCCTCAATTAACGAGTGTCAGTTGCTAATTGGTTGATCATTAATCAGTTAAAATTTTATGTGAACAGTTAATAACTATTATTTACTATATAAGATTTTTACAGATATTACAAATTCCTGATTGAGAGCTTGAAAATGAATATTTTTAAAAATTGCTGAGAAAGCCCCCGACTTTAGAAGTCCTTACATTCATGAGTTTAAATTTTCAACCTATTGTCATTGACGAGTCCATATCCACCAAGGATTACCGGACCAGCCCATTCGCCAATTAGGGCCTAACCGACTTTACAGAGGCGGTTCGGGAATAAGAACCCTAGTAGGATTCGGCTCCCCTTAAGGTAATTCCATGCCTATAAATAGGGTTGATCTGACCAC